ATTTTTATTTTTCAAGCGGGCCGCAGAATTATTTAACGATATAATTATTTGACAATATTCAATTGTCCGTGTAAAATATATTCATACGCATAAATACCGATACCGTTGCTGCTTTTCTTCTATTTGCAAAACAGGCTGTAGAATTATATGGCAATATTGTCCATTCATCACGATCCCTATTGTCTCGAGTAGCGTATAATGCGCGCACAGATTGCGCAAGCGCACGCCGAGCTTGAGGTATCCTCGCTCGCGTGCCTTTGAATATCGCGACCGCGGTTATCAAAATACGTATTTTTACCCGTGCTCCAACAAAGAAGACTTAAATTCTCATTTCGCCAAAGTATCGCGAACGTAAGCTTCGTCGTGACGGAACTATCATGCGTGAAAACGTTGCCCCGCTTCTCTATTTTTGCGTTCCCTTGAAGCGACCGGTTTTTGATTGTCTAATCTTTCCTCACGTGCATTCGTGAATATTGCACTCGTAGATATCGATAATACCGCATTTTCGTGACTTTTCCGATGCAATCGCGAAAAGCGCCGTAAAAGTCCGTTGGACGAGTCCATAAATTTTCACACAGTTTTTGCTCCTTGCCGATCGAGTTTATAAAGTCCGTTTCGCAGCGCATAAAAAGTTTCCACCGATGTCGACATAAAACGTTCGTTATTTGACGCAAATATCGCCGCTCTAATACAAATATCGACCGCGTCATGAAAGTGTAGCAATCACCGTGGGACGCGCTGCAAGATGAATGCTGAGCGACATGGAGAGCGGTAGCGGACATGGAAGAACATTGGTAGACCTGGTTGGACATTGGCAACGGGACATTACCAACATCATCATTGGTGAGCGTTTGACTCAATACTTACAGAGAGCTCTTTTATTATTATATTGTGCATGCCGCAAATTTGCATTGACATTTATAACGAAAAATATATTCCATGAATTATTGCCATATATTATAGCTATATATTATTGCCATATATTGTTGCGATATATTGTTGCCATATATTGTTGCCGTATATTACTGCTATATATTATTGCCACACATTGCCACGTATTATCCCCATATTATGGCCACCTGAAATCACGCGAGCAATCGAGAACACTGAATTTACCGGTAATCGCAAAAGCGCGCGGTAGACGTCACAGATTGATGCCAGCAGCCCGCATCAGAGCTGCCCGATAACAATACTCTTGCTACAATTTAACTTTAAACTAAAGCGGTCTCCGATCGCAGGAAACTTTCTATCGCGGACTAACCCTTCGAGCAGAATATTCCCGAGAAGCGCTCTTCAGATAAACGCTAGTTATAAGCGAACATGCCCCGTTAGGGCCCCGACGCGGTCTTGTTGTCGCAGAAAATTAGGAAGAAAGGAGCTAAACATCCGACACCGTTGTGAAAAGAAGGACGATGACGTCCCTTCGCGAGTAAAATATTAGGCCCTTGCGAACGCGAACGTCAAATTCCACCACGGCTGCGAACGTCCTCCGACCAGTTTCTTCGCGGAAACGGCTCAAAACCTAGGAACGCGCTTTCGCCACAATATAGTCCTATATTAACCCTATTCACACCATAAACATCGACTTCCAACTCCATGTAGAAGCGAAGATATCAACATTAAAATTAAAGAATTAAATTAAAATTTATTTAAATTTAAACATGTAATCTTCGGTATCTCATAAACGATCTAAAAACAGGTACACGCTTTTGCCCTAAATTTCGACACTCAATTCACAATAGAAGCGGAGATATCAACGGTACAAGTTGAAAAATTTTAATCTCCGATATCTCCTAAACGGTTAGAGATACAGGCCTATTTCTGGCACCAAATTAAAGTCCAATCAAAAACCTACATTTTGCCGTAAGTGACGACACTCTGCTCCCACTAGAAGCGGAGATATCGACGGAGAAAGCTTGGAAAACTTTTACCTTCGATATCTCCTAAACGGTTAGAGATACAGGCCTGGTTCTGGCACCAAATTAAAGTTCTCTCAAAACCCTACATTTTGCCGTAAGTGACGACTCTCTACTCCCAGTAGAAGCAGAGATATCAGCGGAGAAAGCTTGGAAAACTTTAACCTTCGATATCTCCTAAACGGTTAGAGATACAGGTCTGGTTCTGGCACCAAATTAAAGTCCTCTCAAAACCCTACATTTTGCCGTAAGTGACGACTCTCTACTCCCAGTAGAAACGGAGATATCGACGGAGAAAACTTGGAAAACTTTAACCTTCGATATCTCCTAAACGGTTAGAGATACAGGCCTGGTTCTGGCACCAAATTAAAGTCCTCTCAAAACCCTACATTTTGCCGTAAGTGACGACTCTCTACTCCCAGTAGAAGCGAAGATATCAAAGGAGAAAGCTTGGAAAACTTTAACCTTCGATATCTCCTAAACGGTTAGAGATACAGGCCTGGTTCTGGCACCAAATTAAAGTCCTCTCAAAACCCTACATTTTGCCGTAAGTGACGACTCTCTACTCCCAGTAGAAGCGGAGATATCAACGGAGAAAGCTTGGAAAACTTTAACCTTCGATATCTCCTAAACGGTTAGAGATACAGGCCTGGTTCTGGCACCAAATTAAAGTCCTCTCAAAACCCTACATTTTGCCGTAAGTGACGACTCTCTACTCCCAGTAGAAGCGGAGATATCAACGGAGAAAGCTTGGAAAACTTTAACCTTCGATATCTCCTAAACGGTTAGAGATAAAGGCCTGGTTCTGGCACCAAATTAAAGTCCTCTCAAAACCTTACATTTTGCCGTAAGTGACGACTCTCTACTCCCAGTAGAAGCGGAGATATCAACCGAGAAAGCTTGAAAAACTTTAACCTTCGATATCTCCTAAACGGTTAGAGATACAGCCCTGGTTCTGGCACCAAATTAAAGTCCTCTCTAAACCCTACATTTTGCCGTAAGTGACGACTCTCTACTCCCAGTAGAGGCGGAGATATCGATGGAGAAAGCTTGGAAAACTTTAACCTTCGATATCTCCTAAACGGTTAGAGATACAGGCCTGGTTCTGGCACCAAATTAAAGTCCTCTCAAAACCCTACATTTTGCCGTAAGTGACGACTCTCTACTCCCAGTAGAAACGGAGATATCGACGGAGAAAACTTGGAAAACTTTAACCTTCGATATCTCCTAAACGGTTAGAGATACAGGCCTGGTTCTGGCACCAAATTAAAGTCCTCTCAAAACCCTACATTTTGCCGTAAGTGACGACTCTCTACTCCCAGTAGAAGCGAAGATATCAAAGGAGAAAGCTTGGAAAACTTTAACCTTCGATATCTCCTAAACGGTTAGAGATACAGGCCTGGTTCTGGCACCAAATTAAAGTCCTCTCAAAACCCTACATTTTGCCGTAAGTGGCGACTCTCTACTCCCAGTAGAAGCGGAGATATCAACGCAGAAAGGTTGGAAAACTTTAACCTTCGATATCTCCTAAACGGTTAGAGATACAGGCCTGGTTCTGGCACCAAATTAAAGTCCTTTCAAAACCCTACATTTCAAAACCCTACATTTTCGACTACATGGACGACTCTCTACTCCCAGCAGAAGCGGAGATATCGACGGAGGAAGGCTGGATATCGACGGAGAAAGGCTGGAAAACTTTAAACTTCGATATCTCCTAAACGGTTAGAGATTCAGGCCTGGTTCTTGCACCAAATTAAAGTCCTCTCAAAACCCTACATTTTGCCGTAAGTGGCGACTCTCTACTCCCAGTAGAAGCGGAGATATCAACGCAGAAAGGTTGGAAAACTTTAACCTTCGATATCTCCTAAGCGGTTAGAGATACAGGCCTGGTTCTGGCACCAAATTAAAGTCCTTTCAAAACCCTACATTTCAAAACCCTACATTTTCGACTAAATGGACGACTCTCTACTCCCAGCAGAAGCGGAGATATCGACGGAGGAAGGCTGGATATCGACGGAGAAAGGCTGGAAAACTTTAAACTTCGATATCTCCTAAACGGTTAGAGATACAGGCCTGGTTCTGGCACCAAATTAAAGTCCTCTCAAAACCCTACATTTTGCCGTAAGTGGCGACTCTCTACTCCCAGTAGAAGCGGAGATATCAACGCAGAAAGGTTGGAAAACTTTAGCCTTCGATATCTCCTAAACGGTTAGAGATACAGGCCTGGTTCTGGCACCAAATTAAAGTCCTCTCAAAACCCTACATTTTGCCGTAAGTGGCGACTCTCTACTCCCAGTAGAAGCGGAGATATCAACGGAAAAATGTTGGAAAACTTTAACCTTCGATATCTCCTAAACGGCTAGAGATACAGGCCTGTTTTTTGCACCAAAATATAGTGCTGTCGAAACCCTACAACTCGCCATAACTTTCTACTCTCAGCTCCCAGTAGAAGCGGAGATATCAACGGTACAATTTGGAAAACTTTATCCTTCGATATCTCCTAAACGGCTAGAGATACAGGCCTGTTTTTGTCACCAAAATATAGTCCTGTAAAAGCCCTACTTTTGTATATTTACAATTATAATATAGTATATGTGACGGATACTATAATGAAACTAACTCAACTCGACCCAATTCTAGATTTTACGGAAACACCTAATAACTGGATAATTATCGCAAAACTCGTAAAACGGTATGGGACTTTTATGTTTGTCACAACCCAATCTACCCTCACACTTCTGGTTGGCAGCTAGTTACCGGACACTTCGTATGGTCTTCATGATATTAATCATACATAATATCAATTCTTTTCTTTTTGCACATGTTAACTCATGTTAATTCATGTTATAAACGCGTAAGAATGTGCGAGACCGTGCTTGTGAAGTACGCTATTATGATTGTAGCACGGACATAAACCGCCTGGAAATGGATGTAGCACGGACCGCCACCACATGCAGGTTTTACCGCCGAAACTTAAAAGTGGATGTAGCATCGTAGTTCCCCTCTCAAAATGGATGCAGGTGGCGCTCTTTCGCTGTGCAGAAAGTCGGTGTCGCCGAAAACGCCGTGTTGGCCGCTCTCACGTTTCTCTCTGATATTACCTAATCGGTGGAGTCTTTTGTTCGCCTCCGTGGCGATTGGATGAGATTTCTATAACTACGAATATTTTTGATCTTGGGGACTGCGTACGCGTTCTCCCTGTTTCTCTTTTATTTCCAAAATTGTCATGACTGGCGTAGGAGAAGGAGTGCAATAACTCTGCTCAGAACCATATATTGAATGAATGAATGAATGAATGAAAAACCTCGTCGGTGGTCACACGAATTCATCACTCCCATTATGTACTTGCGCCTGCTGACCCCGTCTCATCTCGGAGAAACATTAACTGTGCTTGACTATATGACAGCTTTAGTAACTACCGATTTGATAACTACTGTATTTAATAGTTTCTCACATCCGATTGGTATATTTTTTTAGATGTAATGTATACTCCAATTAGCCTGAAGGAAATGACTCGTCGATGGACGTCAAAACCACGTCGAAATGTCAATTTGAATTTTTCGACATCGATCCGAAGAATCATTGCTCACTAGGTTTGATGCGGAAACTTGGTAACAATACAATAGTTATATAAAGGATCTTTTCCAATGAATAAATTTTGTTTTATTGGCGGATACGCGCGCACTCGCCCCCGCCCTCTTTCCCTCGCCTCGTCACCCCGTGTAAATCATATATCCCGTCAAAGGAAAGTCGACATTTTCAATGCGCGTCAGGCGCATCGATATATAACAATACAATAGTTATAAAACCAATTTAACGTTGTCATACAAACGTTACACTTATACTTAATCATCATTTTTTTCTTTCCTCTTCCCTCTTACCAATTGTCCGATTCTTCAACCCTAGCGAATATTAACGTCCTATTTTCATTACTTTTGCGTATTTCCACATTTCTTTCTGACTCGTATCTCCTTTCCGAGTATTGTCGAATCTAACGAATTGTCATCTCTCGCTGAACATTCTACGATAACTTTAGGATACAAATTTCTTATGTCCTTCGATAAGCTACATGCTAATAAAGCCTAATGCAAGTTCTAATCAGTAGTCCAACACGAACTTTAAGCTTTTTCACCTCTCATTAGGAACGACGAAGAATCTCTACGAATCAATAACATTCCACACATTCTCTCTCTCTCTCTCTTTCTCTGAAGTTTATTTTCTAAAAAAAATATATATATGTAAAGGAACCACCATAAAAACTAATGGACCCTGTATATACGTACATGTTATTTGTAAATCTCAAGTCATATTTCATTCCTTGCTTTCTGTCGAAATTTATATGTATAGGAACATCTTGATACTATTGGTTAATTGTACCAGCGAATTTTATATAAAGGATATACAAATTTTTTCTTCGTATCGAGACGTAATTGTCGCAAAAAGCGGATTAATGTTGTCGTTCGAGCACGGATGATAGTTGACTCGCGATGGTTCAAAATATTCTAATATTGATAAATTGTTACTTTTCGTTCATGTTTTATCAACATCGTGATTACGTGAGAACATGTGTATATATATATATATATATATATATATATATATATATACATACATACATACATACATATATATATATATATATATACACATACACATACATACACACGTACATACACGTATGTATATACATGTACGTACATATATATACGTATATACATGCACACATATAAAACAATTTAAGATAATAGTATTACATCTCAGAGTATATACGCGACCCTACTGACACTGATCGATCCTGATGAAAAGTATGATCGACTGCTCGACGATGGCGAATAACATATAGACTACGTAAAGCACAATTACAATATATTTCACAAATTGTTTAAACATTCATACATAATTATATGAATTTTCGCTCGTGACGAATCGCGATTGAATGATTGAAATTGAAATTAACGGGAAGGAGTGTCTCTCGCGTCTGAACATCTGCATCTGAAATATGGAAAAAAGGTTGGGACATTCAAGGACCGCGTGTTTGCGTCGAAATTGTACGCCTGATGACGCCACGCCGACCTGAGCATTGACTTCTGTGAATCGTCGTGTGGCCTGCGAAGACTCCCTTTGCGGACGATTCGACGAATCTTGCACGTTTCTATATTTTCCTCGAGTTTCGCTCAATTTTCCTCCGCATTCACTGCGCAATTTCGGAATGTCGTGGATATACTCTAATTTATCCTTATCGAGGTGCGATAAATAAATGATATCTCGTTTATAGTGAGACATACATGGTTGAATAACTATGAGGCGAATGACGGGCGGGTAAAAGGAGGAGGATGCACACTGCCGCTACCGACTAGCGATGTAACCGTCCGCATAGTTTCCGCTTCCTCCCGAGTTTATCGCCGAAAACTTAAAAAAATAGAAACCAACTTTCGTAACTACAAATACCGAGTGTTGCACCGCCGCGCGCTGCGATCACTCTAAGCCTTTCCGTATCAACCGCATTGTGGGCCAAAGTGAGAGCTTACTCTTGTAAATATAGTGGACAGAGCAACATTCTCTCGTCTCTCTGTTGATCACATTTTATCGTATTTATATAATGTAATGTACAATATGCAGCTACATTATGATAATCGGTATGTCCAACGCATTCGAACTGACAACGCTGTAGGTATCTTATACTTTTTCGTTCTTTTCGCTTGCTTTCTCTCTCTCTCTCTCTCTCTCTCTCTCTCTCTCTCTCTCTCTCTCTCTCTCTCTCTCTCTCTCTCTCTCTCGCTTTCTTTCTTCCTTCTTTCCCTCCCTCCCTCCCTCCCTCCCTCTTTCTTTCTCTCTCTTCTTCTCTCTCCCGTGTTCTAAAATGTTCTCATCGAAGGTATCATTTAAATAATAACTTGTTAATCAAGGTGTATCGTATGTTTCAATAGAGAGAGTTAGGTACTTTGATATAATTACTTCCAAGTTTTTTTTCCACCTTCTTGTGTGTGGCATCTTTGTGTAAAAAGTGTAACTATATAATGCTAATGTAATAATAATAATTATAATAATAAGTTGCGCACAAGGCAATAGTCCTGTGTGGCCGTTCGATCGTGTGTGCTTGCGGCCTCTTGCCCACTCCCCTCCCCCCAAAAACTTCACAGCGCAGAGATCTTCAGAGACTTTCAACGATGATCCTTCTATTCTTTCCTTTCGAGGCCGGCGGGACCTCACAGAGTCTGTATTTCTTTTTATGTTACTCGTTCTTATGGGGGGACAGGTGTGCAGCTCTTTTTTTTTCTTTTTCTTTTGTATGGTGTTAATATAGCAACTGAATGTTGACAGAATAATTTTCCAATTAGCGGTTGGCATTTTTCAGCTGATTGGAGAGCCAATCGAGGCCCTCGTAAAGTCCGTCCCCGCTTGTGGCACACGTCGCTTGAATGTACCAATTGCGATTACGTAGAGAATGCAATCCCAACTTGTCGGTAATCTCCGCTGCGTTCATTGCATTCGGCAGATCCTGGAATGTCATTCATTTTACATTCGCACTCGCGCGCGCGCACACGCGCACTCTCTCTCTCTCTCTCTCTCTCTCTCTCTCTCTCTCTCTCTTTCTCGGCGCTCTAATTCCGATTCTGATTCGCGACAGAGAGACAGACACAGAGGAGACAGAAACTCACCTGTTTGTTTGCGAATATGAGAAGTACCGCATCTCTGAGCTCATCTTCCGCCAGCATTCTCATCAATTCTTCGCGTGCTTCGCCGATACGTTCCCTATCGTTGCTATCGACGACGAATATCAATCCCTGCGAATGTAACAACGACAGATACAATAGGAGCGGAATAAGATCGTGCGCATCATTCTGAGTTGAAACGATATTCGCGATGCGATTGCGAACTATCCGATAAAAATAATAGATCCGACGAAAGAGACAGTGATGACACGCGATACATTCTGCCTCGGTGGATGTATCACACGCACGCGTTCCTTCCTTCCTTCAAGGTATTCGACGTATTCGAGGGTACTAATGATTCACAATCGACATGATATACATACTTGCGTATTCTGAAAATAATGCCGCCATAGAGGCCTGATTTTGTCTTGACCACCCACATCCCATACAGTGAAACTTATATTCTTATACTCGACCGTTTCTACATTGAAACCTAAAAAAATATATTTACACACGTATTGTTATTCTATCTTCTTGTATGTGAGCTGACTTAAATTTACATTATTTTTGCGACAAATATGATATATATAGTTTTTATTACTGTTCATCTTGCAATCGCTCGCAAAGATCAGTCAAAGATTTATCCTTATCCTTTCTTTTTGTGGTATTGCGAATGATTGTAAGAAACAGTATACTTACCTATAGTGGGAATCGTAGTGACAATTTCCCCTAATTTTAATTTGTACAGAATTGTGGTTTTACCAGCTGCATCGAGACCCACCATCAAAATCCTCATTTCCTTTTTGCCGAAGAGGCCTTTGAATAACGTTGCAAACATATTCCCCATGATTGATACTAGTTATGTCAGGACCTGAAACATACCACCACCACCTCTGTATGATACTTCTACAACGGCGCTTTAAAGAAGAAACATCATCTTCCTTCTAAGAATGACTTTTGCCAAACTCCTCCGGTTCATCCGACCGACTGTGTTAACTGGCTCTGGTTGCCAACGATGCGATGGCTCTTGAAAAAGAGATTGAGAGAAAGAATAAAAAAGAATAAAAATAGAAAATTTTGATTCGCAACATTGCCAGTTAACCGCTTGACGAAGCTTGACCAAACGTCATTCCGAGATCCGTACAATCCGTATTGTGTACTGTGTATTGCAGACGTTGCAACGTTCCTTGTTAATGTTCAACCGATAACATTTCGCCCAATTTGCGCGATCTTTTCAGTTATGACAACTAGTCTTCGTGCACAACTTGTCACATGAGATGAAACTGTATTGAATGCAACCGAGTGCGCGATGTCGTGATACGCAAAGTCACAAAGATGCTCGTATCGTACGATTGCTGAGGATACTACGAGAGGTAAGACGAGATCATTGTTCGATTGAGAATAAAGTCATTGTTCCACCGAATAGTAAACGAAAGGGTGAGTAGCGTGAGAAAGCGGTATCTGTATGTATGCGCGCCGTGTGTGTGTGTGTGTGTGTGTGTGTGTGTGTGTGATGTGTGTGTGTGTGCGCGCGTGTGTGTGCGTGTGTGTATGTGCGCGCGCGCGCGCGTGTGTGATGTGTTGTGTGTGTAACAATGATACGATACGATGTGTCAAGTCTCAAAGTTCCTTCGTTGGTTCTTTTCTTTCTTTTACCGAACGCACAAAGCCGACGTGACAAAAGTGAGAAATTCTATGGAAGAGAAGAAAAGGGGAGAGAGAAAAAATATTGCCAGATACGATGAGAGCGCGCGCGTGAAGCGAGCAACAATGATTTTGATCTCTCTGACCGGTCGCGGCGACACGCTCTTCTCCCAGGTGTGCGGTGTGCGATGCGAACACGAGTGTCCGCCGACGCTGCCGTGGGCATACTCGTCGCGTGTATGTACACACATATGCAGGCACGTACGTGCGACCGCTGTCATATGAGCTAACTCGCGGAGCTAACCTGATTGCATTGCTGAGAGACACACACACACACACACACACATACACATGAGATACGACTGAATTTATTCCGACGAAATAGAAATACCGTACGTACAACTGTCAGACGAGATTCAAGTTGGAAGAAAATGGTCAGGCACGCACGAGATGCTCATGCTGCCAGCTATCGATTCTCATTTTAATACATCGCTATGATTATCGGACTAGCATACCCTCGGAGATCACGATAGACTGCTTTGCCGGCGATCTACGCACTTTCGAAAGGTGTGATCGTACTATTTAGAAAGCCAGTGCAGCGTGATACTGCGAGCGAGGCGGAAGATATTGTGCGGTCTGAGAAGCCACTGCGTACACCCGGTTGTCTGTCACCTTCGACCTACTCCCCAGCGAATCGTCCGAGGTACCACGCTCAAAGATCCATTATCTAGAGACTTGCTCTTACTATCGAGCTGTCTGGTAATGCCACGTTGCACATATATGTCACTTGCGTTACTTACGTTTCAGTAAAAAAGATTATTTTCACGAGAAACGATAAAACATAAAACCAACACTCTCGAAAAGTACCGTATGTCAAAATGGCGGACGTGGAAAGGATTTTCATGCCTTATGCCACGTATAGGGTCACCGTGCTTACGCTATTGGCCCGATGAGTCACGTGACAACGGAAATTAAGGTTGGTACATGACCACCCTTATAGATGACGGTATGGGACGCGTTATCGGAAATTTCGAAATTGTTATTATTGTCCGGTGCGGAGTAGTAGTTGCGAGTGTAGTTGTATCGTGAGATAAATTGATAATAAGGTAACGCACGAGCCAACGGACGTAATCTCGCTCGATTTCATCGCTGTATGATTTATAGTACGACTATAGGTAACAGCATCCAGCCGTGGACCGTGCGCATGCGACGATTGAAATTTTAAACAAATTAGCAGTGACAGGCAAATGTGCTGTGTACCGCTATACGCTCCGCGGTGTGCGGAACACGAGAAGACAGACACGATGGGTTTTTCTTTTCTTTTTAACACCATCGACGTATCTTCTGTGGCGGAATGGAATGATGCGGGATGAAAAAAGGTTAAAAATTTATGCATTTTCTTATTTCGAAAGAGACGCACATATGCTTGTACGTCGTAAGTAGATGGGTCGTGTGACTTTTAAAGTGCATTAGGCTAATATTACATGCATCGTGCGATTAGCTTGTCGGACGTTCCAACTGGCTGTGAGATGGGGAATTTCTAGGGTGTCTAGAGAGAAACGAAAACAAAAAATTACGCGTTCAGTCAATGGCCGCGTTCAGCAGAAAAAGCTGCTTACTAGGCGCATTATCTAGTGATTATCATTCCTGATTGGTTCGTTCCTCTTCTTTAAAGATTCATTAAAGATCTAAAAGAATACTCTAATCATAGATAATAATCTCTAAGCGCTCAGTAAGTAGCTTTTTTTGCTGAATATATGGCTGAGTCGCAATCCAGTCCAACGAGCTCGTCGTACGACGCATGTAATATTACCTTTTAAGTACTGAGTATACACTGAGCGAACGAACAGTGAATTTGGCAAATGTGCCCAGCACATTATACGAACGAAATCTTCGTTAGCATTTGATTCACTTTCGATACGGTTCGCTCATGAAGAGATACATCAAAAAATGGATACATCAATGTTTGTTCGTTGTTCGCGTTCGCTCGATATATACGCAGCTTTACCCGAAAGTTTCCCACCAAACAGCGCAGCGAAGATCCACCTGAGGAGCTGTGTGCACCCGGCTGAACTTTCCGCGAACGCGAGTCCACTTTATCGGAAAAACATGTTTTTCGCCCCTCTACATTTGCACTGATTGTCCTGGTTCTTCTACCGAAAGATTCGAACAAGGCTGTCAGCGTCCAATGGGAAGAACGATCTTTGCGAAAATTACTCGAAGCATTCTCCCGATTAGACGTCGATTACGTTTCAAGATACATCGAAGAGAAAGTTTTCGAACCGTTTGAATGTGCAACAAGTACGATCATCGTGTAATGTGTACAAGTGTAGAGATACGACTTGTCCCTGTGAGAGAATAATACCTATAGATAACAGGCACGTTTACGTCCCATAGAAGACACCATTTTGCGACTATCAGATTTCCCGCCGAGCGCTTCCCAGCGATTTGTAAACTTTCAACGGTTGTGTGGGTATGACAGACCCGTGTAGAGGACATAACTTGGCGCTGTATATTGTGTTTCCCGATTCAAAAACATCTGATAACATAAAAAAATAAATTTTACAAAGGTAGAAAATGGGATGACAGCGACGATTGTATAAATGCTGTTTATTAATAAGATACTCCCGATTCGTGTACTTTTTAAGATATTTTCCTGCTAACTTGATTCAATGTACAAAACAATATCTACACATACGTATACACGCACACATATCTATATATATATACAATGCATATGTGTGTACACATCTCTCTCACACACACACACACACGTCTCAATGCCAATAAGATTTAAACAATTTCCTAGTTGACTGCATCGTGTGGGATGTCCTCTCGTTCTGATTTATCCAATTTAGCCCATTGTTGAGCCCACTGATTCATACACGATGCTTTTACTGAAAAGTTTGCAATGACCTGTGTGTGAGCGATGATGAGCACACGATGAAACATCATCGACGATATATAAGATATATGACGGTACTTACGCCGCATAAAGCTGTTGACTGTTCGCGAACGCATAGTTGCCAAATTGTAGTCTTGCACTCCATGTGACACATTATCGGACAATCCCTACATTTTAGCATTATTTTCCCAAAGCGGATTCTGACATTGAACAAAAGAAGAATATTGAGACATCTTTTCACGGTTGTTACATTGCGTGATTTATTTGCGCTCGAAATTACCTCTTACCGCAAGGAGTGCACGTTTCTGGTTTAATCACCATCTTTGACACAAATATATGATTCGCATGTACTCTTGTTTCCGACACTTTAGAATTGACATTTTCGTTGCCACCAGATGTGTCTTGAGTTTGACAAGACACCATGTATGTACCATCGCTTGATTTAGCTGCTGCTCTGTCCGATGAGTTAAATTCTGCGACTCTGACCAGTGTATTGTGTTGTTTGCCTAAACTTTCACAACTAGCTGTGTGTTCTTCCCATTCGTGCTTCTGACTTTGTAAGAGCGTAACGTTAGTATCCAAATCATCTTCTGACTTTGACAAACAATTTAAATCGCTCAATATCGAACCTGTAGAGTCCATTTCCATTATCGCATTCAGCCTAAAAAGAACCACCGGATTGGACTGGAGAAAGTAATATGTGTCATATATTTCTGTGTCGATTGTTCAATGGTATTTGATGACTCACTGCCTGTCGTTCTGCGTATCACTGATATGCACGCTATGTTTGCTCCTTGTGATGACAGGTTTGTTAAGAAATTGTAATCTCTTCTTTATCCCTTCGTCCAAGCTTACTTCCTCGTTGTGAAATAATATCTCTCGAACCGCACTAATTTGGCTCTCCTATCAAACAACTGTAATTAGTTTGGCCGATTGACGAAAGTTTCAATTTCATTGAATATTTCTTCCGTATCTTGTTCGTGACGTAAGAGAAAGCGACTTACCAATAAATCTCTCTGTTTCTCGACCATTCGACGCTTACGTTTCTCTTCTTCTAGATTTCTTCTGGCGTGACACAATTTCTGATCGAGGTTCGTAACCTCTTGTTGAGCTTTGTCCAAGGCTGTTTGAAATTGTTGAAGCTCTTGCCACTCGTTTTTTAATTCATTCCGAGCATTCGACATATTTGTTATTCTTCTCCCTGATGAGAAAATCAATCCGATAAATTCTAGCACATCGTCTCCTAACCATGAATACATTTTAACTCGAAACACCTATTGTATCGATCATTGCCTAAGTAGAAAAAGGTCAGGAACTGATCGATTGTACGTTCCATTTATCAAGCTGCCCCTGTATCCAGCACGACTTTCTCGTTACTTGATAGGAACATGCGTGTCTTTCATAGATATCAAGCGCTTACCGTTTGTTACCGTATTTAATTACGTTTCACGCAACATAAAAAGTATATCGTTGCACAATGGCGAACAAGAATAACCGCTCGAAAGAAAATATTTCTCTGCGATGCTGACAAACGATAATGTCTGTTGTAGGTATTCTCTCAAACCCATTCCAACTCCTCAGTCTTACCAATCAACTAAATAGAAAATTTCTGTACATGATACTATAGGAGATATTCTTCGCCCCCCTCTTCCCTGTTTTTGTTCTGTGCACAATGATAAAACACACACACACACACACACACACACACACACACACACACACACACACCCCCCTTGTTGAATTTAAAAATGTGTACTAAATATGTACATGATATATTAATGTTGAATACAATATTGACGATATTTTACAGAGAACAAATACGATATCGAATCAACAATCGAATCGACAAACAAAGGAAAGAAAAAAACAGGAGACAGGAAAGAGAGAGAGAGAGAGAGAGAGAGAGGGAGAGGAGGGAGAGAGAGAGAGAGAGAAAGAGAGAGAGAGAGAGAGAGAGAGAGAGAGAAACATGCCTTTGCGAAATACTTTCGGAGAAACGCCGTTTAAAAACAAAACCGAAATACACGGCGATTTGATGATAGATTTCGGAAGGATAATCACTAGCGGCGATCACCTACAGAGATCTCGAGTACAGGTATATCGATGGAATCATGTGTGAGCTTTTTCTCTACTTGGATGTAAAATCAAACGTCGTTTGCTTTGTTGTCTCGAACAAATTATAGGATAAAGTTGATGCCTTCTGTAAATGGGTGTGCACAACACCTCAAAGGAGTATTTATAGATTGGGCCGTGGTGAAGTTGATTGTTCGAGTGATCTGGAGAAACTACGCGGAGCATTGAAGCAAGTATGTTGACACTGTAGTCGGCGGCGGGGTAGTCACTCCGTATTATATCTTGGATAATTGATTTTATCCTGGATAGTGTGATCTAAGATAGATAGAAAATAGATTAGAAATAAAATTTCCAACTTGTCCAAATTTCATCGCGCGCGAATATGCCCCCCAAGAGAAGAAGAGGGATGGACAGGAATACAGATGTATCGTACCTGTACTTGATTTTCTCACTGCGTTTTACATACTTGACACGCTGCATTACAGGATAACAAGCCGGATCCGATTGTGCACTTTTTACCCGACCTGCCGGATGAAGTAGTCGCTGTCGACAGTTGGGACGCGTCGGTGCCTCTCGATTTGAGGAAATATCCGGACGAAATTATCGTCGATGCTAAATGCGGCGCAGCCGTGCTGAGAGGATCTCATGTTTACGCCCCTGGCATCATGGGAATATCGAGTGGTAATTTTTCCGTAAGAAATTTCCCCTGTGGTAATTTGTCAAAATTTGTCGGATCGTTCGTAATTCGTAAATTCTCTCATAGGTTTAAGTATCGACACCAAAGTCAGTGTGTTTGCCGATATCACCGGTCGATGTAAGAAAGGTTCGATACAACCGTATGCTGACGACAGTAAGATGTACTTGGGTAACGGCGTTCTACGGCAAACGAGAAAGCAGTTGTTTGGAAAGACCGCGAAAAATCCGTCGTAAGTAGTTGGAAGTTGACCAAGTGACGAAAATATGGGATATGGGAGTAGAATCGCGTTCGCGAATGTGTGTGTGTGTGTGTGTGTGTCATTCATCATTTATAATTGTCGGAGAAATACAGCACACAACTGTGGTTTAATCGCTGCTGCGATTTACACAACGGTTGTGCATACACCGCGTTATTTTGTCACTGCAAACTCTTGTTTAGCGCTGTCGTCGTGTTGAACGAGCTATTTGTAATTTGCCTTCCAGTGGTATCGCGGTAATTATGACCGATGTGATCTCACGAATTCCACAATTGAATGCGACCGCCGATCCCCCCGAGTCCCTGAGGCCGCTGTGCGCGCTGTTGCAAAATTTACCGTCTATCGTGTGCAGCCTGGTTTTAAATCCTCAACCGGGTGAGACGATACTCGACATGTGTGCCGCACCTGGTAACAAAACCACACACATTTCATACCTTATGAGAGGACAGGTATGCACGTGAAGACAGGTTTCGATCGTCGAATATGTAACGACGATTACATCTGTCCCTTCTAGCTACACTTTCGTTGCGTTTTTCCTACTTGTTTTGAATTAACACGAAACAAGAGAGCTCGTTGGAAGAGATTCTTTTGGAACAACGCACGGAAGAATACGAAAACGTAACGCTGCTTATTCGCTGCTCGCTGACAATTGCCGGTATAATTTTTAGGGTATGATAATAGCTTTGGAGAAAAATCCGGGTAAAGTGGCGCGACTTAGGGAAAAGTGTAACGACGGAAATGTTAAGATATTTTGTTGCGATGCTGCGAACGCTGTCGTCGGGCAAGAACAGGATTCCGTCCGCGCCACCGATGGGCCACCGTTCCCGGAGGATCACTTCGATCGTATTCTCTTGGACACTCCGTGCAGCGCGTTGGGCCAAAGGCCGCAACTGTCTAATGCGATCACGTCGGTGCAGCTCCGTTCTTACGTTCCTTTGCAACGACGTCTGTTCTTTGCCGTGAGTCGCCGAATTTATCACGTCATGCTCGAACACGTGTAAAACACGTGTTCGAGCATTTGTCCCGTGCGAAAGAGCGAAAGGGCGAACAAGTTAGTGTGATGAGAACGTGTGTTTCGCACTTTCAGGCTGTACGTCTTCTAAAGCCAAGGGGAACATTGGTGTACAGTACGTGCACTGTCACAATAGCGGAAAACGAAGGGATCGTCGCTTGGGCGCTGAAGCGGTTCCCACAGTTAGAATTGGAATCTATCGAGGAGCGGATAAAGACAGACAGATATGGCACTCGAGGGTATACCGTGAATGGCTTGGCGGACAAAGACGCAAAGAAAGTACGTAGATTCGGTCCTGAGAGCGACTCTGTTGGATTTTTCATCGCGTGCTTGAAGAAATATCATTGATACACGCTCGAATTACGAATCACGTTGAAATTTTATTGTGTGAAGTTTATATATTATTGTTTAAGACACACACCAACCGCACTGATAAATTTGTAATGTTTACAACGGAGCAAAATGTTGCAAAGGGGTTTCCCCTTTTCCCCTTTCTTCTATCGCAATTTTCATGCAGTTTAAAGGGAAGAAGAGCAATAGTTAATATTTAGAATACATCGAATACATCGAAAGCGATGTGGCGATACACCTGTCTCGAGTCTCGCATTTTATAGCTGCTCACACGTGACGCCGTCTCCGATAATCTCCATCGTCATCACGGAGCAATTGTCGCATATCGCGTACAACGTTTCCACCTAATGTTCGAGAAGCACGTCGCTTAGCCGGGAATTATGATAGCCGGATATTTGATTTCCTCGCGTTATTATAATTTACATGCGTTCCATGAGCATCAGGGAAGAAATAGAGATGCAAGTGTATATATTCTTGCGGTCTGAGTGTAAAATATGCTGGCCACACAGCAAAACACTTGGTTAGAATCAGCATATTTTTGTCAGTGACATCCTGGAGAGCAAGACGGATATTACAGACAATAACGTAATTGCTGCTTCTGTCCTGCTGTCCTGCTGTAATGATGTTTCACCCTTACCTCGATATGCATCGAACACCAGTCCATCTCGCTCATAACGAAAAATCTTCCCTCACCGCCGATATTCTTTACGGTCAGATGTAAAATTGTTTCTTCTCCTACGAGGCAAGTTCCGCAATCGAAGCTCCTCGATCGTCTACAGTGCGGAAGATCCTCCTCCGTAGATGTGCTCGATGCATCGCCGCTTGTTGCAGTAAACTGCAAGATTTTCATTCGTTTCATTTCTTCCTTGGTGACACAATTTTACTCGCGGGTTACACGCGGCGGAACGCTGTTGAACGCTGAAAGATAAAAGAGACATAAACTGTACCTCCTTGGAGGAAGATACTTGTTCAAATGGAATTTCCATGACCCACTCCTCTGTACTCCTTGCCATTGTGTGCGATAATCGTCTTGAATGTCGAAAGCACGGAACGTTAAACACTGCGAATAACGATGCACGTTATACACACAAAAGGGAACTCTTGCATTCTCTTGTTTGCGACGTTTTACCCTCTGTTTGTCAGTATTTACGTTTTAACGTGCGTGATAACTACACTTTCGTTTACCTCTCAATATCGGTGGATCTCGATATCCGCTTAACCTGATAATTACCGAACGTCCTCGTTGTACATTTACCGTTACCGCTTCCTCAGATTCGTCCAGGACGTCACAACGGAAAGAAACGACTAGTTTTACGCGCATTCCAGGAGGAATACTTCCCCTTTGCCTTTTGGAATCAATTGTGACGGTGAATCGAGAATTGATTGGTCTTGCCATTAGTTGAAATCTCGCTAAAGACGTACTGACATTTTGCAACGAGACAACTTTCTGCAATGAAAAATGAAAGCAAAATTACACACTATATATATATGTGTGTGTGTGTGTGTGTGTATGCGCGCGCGCGTATAGTGTACGTACATAGTGTATGTACACACATAATTTCTATAAAATAGTGATACACCGATACCGTCTATTCAACATAGACAGATTTTGCTTTCATTTTTCATTGCAAAAATTTATATATATATATATATATGTGTGTGTATGTGTGTGTGTGTGTGTGTGTAAAATTTTTGTGAAACATATTGTGACGCATACCTGATATATCTTGTTGTATTCATAATTGCGAAATTCCACAGAATTAGGGATCGCGATTAGAACAGTTCTCGGTGCCTCTGTTTTCATTATATTTTTCCTTTCCGGTAAACTAATTGATAATTCGGTAAACATTGGAATTGATCTGATTTTTCTAAAAATAAAACTACATGATGCATCGTAGCTATGAATTGTTGGTTAATAGCCCGTTTGCCCGTATATCGCGCGACGTACAGATTAGCGTAGATAATCGCAGTGCTGGCGTACGCGTTTTAAGGTTACATATGGTACAGAGAGAAGAAATTGCCGAATAACAAGAGCTTCGTGGATACCACAATATACCGTTTTGTCGCGGGCATTACAAGTGTTGACTTGGATTTCCAATCCAATAGAAAATTGTGACTCGTATTCCGTGGAGAAATTTGTGCCGCGAGAAAAAATTCAGTTAGCACGACAAAATTACCATTTTATATCTATGAGCTATGAATTGGTCTTGTCATCAGCTGAGATCTCACTTAAGACCAAATACCATGACGATGTCTGAACGAGACAACTTTCTGCAATGAAAAATAAAAGCGAAATCTATGTCTGTATTGAATGAGTACTACCGATGTATCGCTAATATTTCATTGGAAACATTTACATATTACGTACACTCGTGAACTAAAAGGTATGTGCACCGATTTTTTGTTGACTTCGGAACGCGCTCCAACTTGAGGAGAAAGACAACCACTACTTCATACGTCAACGCTGTCACTTATTACGAGAGCAGAAAGATGGCATATACGAGTGTCAAATAAGTAGTGATTGTGGCGTAGATACAAATGTCTTGGAGACTTTGAGTTATAATTGAAGTTAATGAAGAAAACAAATAGTGATTGTGAAGAGAAATGGCAAAAGGCTTCATAAAATTTGTAAAACAGCATATTAAAGGAGAGTATTAATTGTCTAATAATATTTTAAGTGAAAAATATTTTTAAATTTGAGTGTAAGTTAAAAAAGTTATAAACCATAATTTCTTTAATGTTAATAAATTTGTCATCGACGTTGAATGAAAATATATATATATAATGCAATTATTTCCATAGGTGAGGAATTATATTATTGTGTTCAGCAGAAGTAAGCAGCAGATCAAGTTGAGTGATATGAGTATCTTGTTAAAAAAATATCACTCGTCTGCTGCTTATTTTTTATGAGCGCAATAACATAATTTTCCACCTATGTAAATGATAGCATTACATACATATTCATTTAACGTCGATGACAGATTTATAGCTATAAAATTAACATTAAAGAAATTTTTCTCAAATTTAAAAATATTTTTCACTTACAATATTATTAGATAATTAATACTCTCCTTTAATATGCTGTTTTATAAATTTTATGAAGCCTTTTGCCACTTTTCTTCACAATCACTGTTTGTTTTCTTCATTTCTTCAATTATAACTCAAAGTCTCCAAGACATTTGTGTCTATGCCACAATCACTACTTATTTGACACTCGTATATGCAATCCTTCTGCTCTCGTAATAAGTGACAGCGTTGACGTATGAAATAGTGGTTGTCTTTCTCCTCAAGTTGGAGCGCGTTCCGAAGTCAACAAAAAATCGGTGCACATACCTTTTAGTTCACGAGTGTACGTGCATGCATACATGCATGCATGCGTGCTGAAATTGAAACGACACTAATTGCACGATAATTGTACAGATTGTATGGCAAACTTCAAAGTTGAATGAATAACAAAACAGAAAAAAACGTGTGTGTGCCCGCATATCTTCCAATATATACTACGATCCAACAAAGATAAAAGATTGTCGACGCACATACATACACACATTGCATCCTCCGTCATATTTCGTAGCTGTGTGTGTGTGTGTGTCACAATGTACGCTACGAGATGGTTTAGAATCGCTCGTTCTTCTCCTCAATTCTACAAAGCTTCTGATTGTCACTGGATATCTTTGCTGCGACGCAAATATTCAACTTGTGTGTATCTCTATTCGTAATGTCTGCGCTATTACACTGAAATGCGTACTGATGCGATAAAAATAAACAGGGAAAACGAATACCCTTGTTGAATTTGAATCGTCAACGCTATATCCGCATTATCCGCAATGCTGTCAATGATTAATTCTTAATTAAAATAATATATGAAGCCGAGATATATCCGTTGATCGTTATTCGATGCGACAGCGCGCCCGTGCGATCATTTCGATGCATTATCTCGAAATCAGACTTGTCCGCAATCTGGATGCAGAAACACAGGTGATGTGATATATGATAGGATGCCAGCTGTGTACCTGTCCGTTCAACAACATTGTATTTTAAGCCTTATAGACTCGGAAACTACAAGTGTTTCATTAGTGCACTTAGTTATCCTATAGATAAGCATACATAGTCCATGTTATGTAAGACACGTTTTACGATCGTATAACGAATATGGGATAACTGTTAATCCGAATGATTCATACAAGAATACTTCATTTTAATCATATCATGTAATGATACTCCGTTACCACTCGCAATATAATGAAAGCAACGCACGCGAGTTTGAAATCAAGACTTCCTGTGATATAAATAGCATTTTGTGATATTCTTTGTAATGTCAATATACGTTTCGTCACAAAGTAAATCCACTTCATTACAGATGTGTCCGTTGTGATAACCATACGATACTGTCATCTTGGACTTTGTATGCGTGGAATAAGATTTTCTGTCTCTCTCTCTCTCTCTCTCTCTCTCTCTCTCTCTCTCTCTCTCTCTCTCTCTCTCTCTTTCTTTTTTTTATCTTTTTACCAAAGCTTATTACTGTTTGGAAAATATAAAACCCCATATTATATACTCAACTATCCTACAAATACAATGTAATAATTACGAACATACTACAATGACGTCACTGTATTGAAAGTACTGCTTTATCTTTGCTCTGTATTCGTAGTGTCTGTGCTATTTTATGCGGTAAAAGTAAACACGAAAATCGAGATACCGGTTAGTTACTCTGAGCGTATATTTCTAGAACGTCGTAAGATTGATTTAATCTTAATTTTAGATATCTCTCTCTCTCTCGACGTGTTCTTTCTTGCTTCTCCCCCCCCCTCTCTCTCTCTCTCTCTCACTCACTCATTTTTTTCTCCTCGTTTCTTCTTCTTTTCTTTACATCTCATTTTGCGATACCTGATCTAACTCTAGCCGATAATATTTAAGATTACGTCATCGAGCGCAACCGTACGAGGTGAACGTTCTTACATATGTACAAATCACGATCACACGTAAGCGTACAATTTGCGCGTAACGCGTAAGTCGTTGCACACGTTGCCGTGTGCATTCTGCTTGGTACGCAAAAGAATTACACGTGTATCTTCACTGCGAAAAAGAATCGCATATATCTTCTTCACTTGTCGAGCTCCAGTGCGGCGTATTGCTCCTCGTCTACCTCGGTCATCATAAAATTTCCATCCGGTAAGAGCAATACCACTCTCCTGGTTCCACCTAAAGAGGGACACAAAAAAACAAAAAAGATTGTTGGTTTGGAACTCGATCGGATCGAAAGTGTCGTACAGCGCGCCGAAGCATGGCGCTTGTGATCTCTCGCGAAATGGAGATACGTTCTAGCTGCGATCGCTACGAAAAATATACATCGAGAATATACATCGTACGTACCTGGGGTGGGTTCCTCGGCTTGTACCACTTGAGCTACCACTTGGGCCTGTCCGTCGTTGTCTTCTTGAGTGCCGGCTACATCGGTCGCGTTTGCGTTGTCCATGATAGACATCACCATTGAATTTTCGGCCGGTTCTGCACCGTCTTCCTTCACGTAAAACTGAGGAGTGAGATTTACTTGGTCCGGGATCAATTGCGCCACGGCCTCGGCCACAGCGTGATCCAACGTCAAAACGGAGCCATCGTCCCCTTGTTGTTCGGTAGTAACGTACACGCATTGCTGCTCACCGTCAGCGCCGCGCGTTACCAAGAGTGTCTGTCCGTCTTCGGCTTGCCCCGCAACCTGATAGACGACGCCGTGTTCGGCTATAGTGACCAGATTCGACGCCTCGTCGGTTACCTTTCTCTCCGACTCCGACGTCTTCTCCTCGCTCTTGTTGACGTCGGCCGTTGTCACCGACATAGTGACGCCGGTGGGTGTCGCCGCGACCGTCGACAACGCTGCGGCGATGGATGTTTCGTTGGTGCCTGACACGGTCTCCGTCAAGGACGTCGTCGCGGACGTGGTTGTCGCCGGAACTGCCGGCACTGTGTCGTCCAAACAAGGTAGATCCGGCGCGGTTACCGCGACGCTTGACAGATTTATCTGCGCAGTTTCGCCGGTTTGGACGATAGTGCCCGTGGTACCACCGGGACTCATTTCGACTCTCACCATGCCACCGCTCTCCGCCGTGAGCGAGTCGAGGGAAGGTAAGACTAATTCAGCGGTTGCGGCCGCCGCGGTGACGACGCCGGTGGGACTGTGGCTACTGGTAGCGGCGGTGGTGGCGGTAGTGGTGGTAGCAGTGGTCGTGGTGGTGGTGGTGGTGGTGGTGGTGGCGGCGGCGGCGGCGGCGGCGGCGGCGGCGGCAGCGGCGATGGCGATGATCGCGGTGTTGGTGTTGGCGTTGGTGGTGGTGGTGGTGGTGGTGATGGTGGTGGCGGCGGCGGTGGTGGTAATATTGTTGTTGTTGGTGTTACTAGTGGAGACAGTGGTGGTGGTGGCGGCGGTAGTGGTACTGGTGATGTTGGTAGTGGTAGTAGCGGTGGTAGTGTTGGTAACGATGGTAGTGGTTGTACCCGCCGTGGCTTCTGGCGTCGCGGTCTCGGGCGTGAGAGAGGCTGTCTTCGCGCTGGACAACGTCGTGGCCAAAGGTGTCGGCGGCTCAGGCTCCTGTTCCGTCTGCTGCTCGAGCGGTTCGCCGTCCGGGCCCATTATACGTCCTGTGAGAGGACACAGTGTAAACGGACGCGGTGGGCTGTCCGGCTCGGGAGCTGCGATGGTATCTGGATCGGGCGGGGGCAAGTCCGGTTCGCTCTCGCTGCTGCTCTCCTCCGAGCCAACCTCGTGAAATTCCATGTGCAGCCCATCACCCTCGGCCAGTTTACTCTCCTTGGGTTTGTTCCCCCCTCCCACATGCGCGATCGTCGTAGGGGAGGATTCGGTTACTTTCGCCCTGCCGCGTCCCGCAGCGGCGCGAGCACCTGCCAAAAGTCCACGACCACCACCCGGTTTTATTATGCCGGCCGCCTCTTGCGCTTTCCTCTTTATCATCAGTAACTTTTGCTGCGGAGACAGCGTCTGCGTCTTGCTCACCGGTGACTTCGGGGACTGTTGTTTCTGTGCTTGCTGCACCAGACTGGTTACGCCACCGCCTGTCTTGATCACCTGCTTCGGTTGCGCGGTAAGCACCGTGAATTTCGGCCTGATCTGCGTGACCGTGTTAGCGGCGTTCGACGGAACGGCTTGCGTTGTTGTACTCACGACCGTTGTCGTGCGTTTCTGCAGCATCTGACGTGGCGTCTGTGGCTGTATCTGCCTCGGAGACGGTGCTCTGACCGGTGTGCGTATAGTACCGAGAACGCTGGTCGGCGCTGTAGCCCTTAGGGCCGGTCTAGGCAACAAAGGACGACCGTCCGCTGTTCGTTGAGGCGTGACTGAAGCGGGTCTTATACCCGCGGCTATTCGTGGTTGTAGAGTTATCGGTGCTGGTACCGCGGTTACAACATGTATCTGCTGTAACTGCGACGGGTCCGGTTTCGGCTGTATTTTAATAGGCTCCATCTTCTGTACACTCGCCGTCTTGGGCGTGATAGACTTGGTGACCACCTTCATCTGGGTTACCACTTGGCTGCCGTCCATCTTCGAGACTACCTTCACAGGAGTCATCGAGTTCGATTGCGACGTCGAGATTACTTGCTTCCTCACTACATTCGTGTTATCTCGATTTTGCACCATCAAAACACCCTGCGTCGTGGGAGATCCTTTGACCGCTAGTTTCCCACTGGGAGACGAGTCCAGTTTGATGATACCGTCCTTTCGCGACATGACGTAAACGCCGGAAGATAAATTCGGCATCTGTTTGGGATCGACTTTAACGACTCCTTTGGCATTGGCCACCAGAACGGGAGGCTGATTGGATTTTGCCCCTTCGGGCGATTGCAGTCCCAACGAAGTCGCTAAATCGGTAGTGGAGACGGATGCTCTGTTGGATCCGTTGGACTGAGCGTTAGCGCGATTGAAAGCACGTTGAATCACGTCGCTACGACCCATCAATCTCTCATCTTCGGACTCTCCAGTCCATTCGTCGTCGCTTCCTGTGTCGGCTTTCGTCCTCTTTGCAGCATTACCTCCGCCATCCTCCGAGTCGCTATCCGAGTAATCGATCCTTCTCTTACCTGTTACTATACGTAGGCGTATAAACAAATACACACACATACATCAGCGGAACAATGCCCGATACCTATAATACTAATAATAATCGAATCGGTCGAATTAAGAGTGGTACGATATAATAATGACGAACGAATAAATACGCACGATCATTGTCCTCGTCCTTCATCGAACCGACCCACTGCTTCACTTGATCCATCGCTTTTGACTTACTGGACCGCATCGGTCTCCTGACAAACAGAGACAGACACACACGCGTACAGCGAGCGTTGCGCATGAAATATCGCGAGACATAGCACGCGCTCGACTTGAAATAAAAACTACGAAAGATCGCGAGGCCGCTGCGCTCACCCTGCTTGAGACGCTGTGCTCGGTCCAGGTTTGCTGGCTTCGACTTTTATGACTGTTTTCTGCGCGGGTAAACTCGTACGTGCCACGACTTTCGTACCGGTCTGTTGCTGAGCAGCTTTCATCTCCTTCTGCTTAGCGAGATTTCGTTCGAACTCTTCCAGCAAATTTTTGCAAACCGCTACGTTCTCCGCGGGCTCCCATGTATTGTCTTCGCTGTAAAGTGTTTTTATTTTATACTGTTGCGTTATTTTATTTGCTTCTTTGAAAAGGGAGAGATACCCACTTTGCGTAACCTTCCCATTTGATCAGATATTCCGCGCACTTCTTCTTCGTATTCAGACGTTTTGCTAAAATTCTCTCGACAACATACTCCTCGTTACTCAGATCTGCTGCATCCTCGTCGGTAGCTGCCTTGCCAGACTTATTCTGCACAAAGTTAAGTAATCTGATTAGCAAGTGGAACGAATGTAAAAGTATACAAACACTTTGTACACGTAAACATGCGTCACAAACGATGTTGAACCTTCGGCTTAATCGATGGCTTTAGCCTCGGTTTCTCCCTCTTGTCGGTCTCGACCTCCATAGGCTCTTGTGCCTTTGTTTCCACCATCGTCTTTGAGGTGTCTTTCTTGGTATCGCCTGTTTCCTCCGGTTGTCCATTTCTAATGACTTTGCGAACTACTATGGGTTTGGTACCTACAAAGTTTACGACGAGCGGACAATGAGCCGACGTATTATCCTTAGCCCCCGACCTCGCGTTAAGAGATACATCACCTTCGGTGGTGTTTGATTGAATCTGCCTCGGTGTATCTTGCATCTTTGCGTTACTAATTTTTGTGAAGGTTTGTATGGTTTTTCCCGCTGTGATCCACGAATCTCTAACGTGTGTGTCCATCCTGCACCATTTCTGATACAGTTTCCAAGGGTTAGTCGCATCTTTGTCATTGCCTTCCTGTTGAATCTGCGAGTCTTTCCATAGCAGAAATGCCCAAACTTGCGCCTTCTGCCCATTCTATATGTACGGAAAGGTTCTGACATTAGGATCATTCGCAAAAAAGGAATGACATACAATTGATCTTGATCCGATACAACGGTTCGACACAGAACATGATAGATACTAACATCGGTATTTTCACGAAAGTGCGACACTTGAGAGCAAGCTCCTACTTTTGTGCGGTGTTCCTGAAATTCCTCGATAAAGTGAAACACACTATGACACTGTCCGCAAACTAGTACATCCAGTCGTCCCATTTCCTCTTGCGCCGCTGATAAAATATCAAAATAGCAGAATGACACCCTCGAGGTGCAATTTATTAAGTAAAATATATCTCTTTTGATTAAGGTCTAAGGAGGAACAAAGGTATCCAGACAAGAGATATTAATCGGCGAGTATAAATAACAAGTATAATGAACAAATGAGGATATATGCGCGCAAGCATTTTGTGTAATAAATACCTTTGATAATAGTAGGTTTGTTACTAATGGCCGAAGGGCCATCATCTCCCTCCATTCTGTTGTGTAGGTTTATTTAATTCTTTAGATCTCTCTGGCGATGCTTATTTTCTGAAACTTTTAAACAGCACAGATTAGCATTGGTGATAGCACGGATGACGCAAATATATAGATGCTCAGCGAAACACGTATGATCGTACAAATGCTAAGCATTCGTATCATCTTGATATTGCGTTTGTGACGACGACTTGTCGTAACTTACACACCGCAGAGTTAAATTCGCAACTCGAGGTTAAAAGACTCGACCGATGCGTTCGACGAAGGAGAGCAACACGATACAGAAGTCTCTACAGATCAATCTCTGGAAAGCTCTCGCGGGAGCCGGGACGATAGCGCAAGAAAGAGGATAGCAGGCTAGAGCATTGGTTACGAACAGTCGCTCACAATAGCATAGGGACTCGTCCGCGGGCGAATAAGCTACACACGTTATCGACTTCCACGCGTGCGACGCGGGCGAAAGAGGGGAGGCGAAAGAGGGGCTGAGAAAATTCAATTTTTTCCCACACGGGATATCGGATGTTTCGACGACCAATCTTCCCGCTCCCTACACGAGCCACGAGGAGAACAGAAACGAGCAACGCGCGCATATCACCCGCTCGGACTCGGAGTCTCTCACCGGATTACCCGAACGGCGTTCGATTGACCGAAGCGCAACACCACGCCGGCAATCGCGATCGAACTGGGAGTATTTTTTTTTCAAGAGAACACTCGCCGCGCCGTTACCACGATTCGTGCACGCGCGATTGCACCTCGATTCTCGCGCGTGCACTCGTGGCACTCGCGCGCATCGTACCATGCGCTACGTCGTTGCGCGACCGTAACAATATCCGGCGACTCCGTCCGGCTGCTCCGTTACTAACGTTCAAATTCAATACATAGCCCCGCATAAATAACACAACGTCGAGAATGGACGCCAGGATGCGGGGCGATTGTAAACGCGACCAGCGGCGTGTGAGTTGCGAACCGAGGGGGCACAGGAGAGGGAGGGGGGAGGGGGGGCGGCAAGCTACACTCACTCTCCGATTTATTCCCGCCACGTTCCGCACGAGCAGCTTTGTTTCACGTTATTTCACGAACGAAGACTCATTTCCCAACCGCGAGAAATACACGTGAGGATGACGCGGCAACGATTTGCGAGAAACAGGTGCCATCGCCGGCGACGTGACGTCGTTGTCGTCGACGTTAAGCTCGACGGTTTCCTCTCGCTTCACGGCCAAGCCGATGCTCGTCAAAGATGGCTCTCGTCGCTGAAACTCTTTCTACGACCTACTCACTTCCTGTCCTCGACGTGAATGCTTTTCGAACACACCATGGCAGGAGACGAAATCGATCAACGGCATGGATCGGCGAAAGCAAATCAATGGTGTTCACTTACACACTGTTAAGTTGGCGATCGGCTTGATTTTCCTCGATCCAGAAAATTGCTCGTCGTCGTGCGAGACAGGACGAAAACAGCAACCGCGTCGACTGACAGTGGCGCCAATGGCGGCCGCCCGTTCGCCCTCTATCCGTCTACTCGGTCTACCCGGTCTGTCCCAGACTGCCCCGGTCCACCCAGCCTATCCTGAGAGAGAGAGAGAGAGAATCTTTTGGCGGGAAATCAACTGTCTGTTGACATTTCCTTTCGATACGTGCTACAAATCGAGAATTCAGATTTTGCCCCTTCTTGACTGTGTGATAATCTCTATAATCGCAGATTCGTTTATCCTTTCGATTTTCATTTCGAGCGTCATCTTTCTCTTTCATCTTTGATAAACATAATCGATGAGAAATAGTCCAAGTAACAATCACGAAACAATGACGATATTTTTGGTCCGCCCCAGCGACGGGGGGAGGGGGGTTCTCGTCCCGTCCCACCGTTTCGCCACCGAATTCGCTAGTGTGAGAAACAGTGGTCTCTCGCGTCCTTTATATTTCTATATCGAAATATTGTTCTCGACATATCGTTGATCGCTTTCCGCTCTTATAATCCAAAATTTAAATCTTTAGTTCTTTCAGTGAAAAAATTTCATTTTTAAACTTTTCGATCTTGTGTTCTTTTTTCTTTTCTACAATAATTCATGATTTTGGGCATGTTTCTCTGGAGACGTTTTCGTTTCCAATATGTATAGGTTACAAATGACTAATTGGATGGATGGAACAATCACGTACTTACGAACAGGCAAACAAAAAAGTTCAAAGCAAATAGAAAGTTCGGTTTCGTAAAGCGTGATTTAGTATCCCAAAGAGAAAAGTATATCAACAGTGGCGGAGGAAATTTGAAATCTTTTGTATGTGACACAAGATCAGACTCGGATCTGCATGCGTCTAACCTCTCGCATTTTCGATAACATTTTCTAGTTATTCAGACACACCAGTTATGACGATATAAACCACTTTATAACCTATTCTCCGTATTAGATAAATTATATATGAGCATGTGTGTAAGATGGTACTATAAATTTTCCTACTTTCGTGTAGTGTATGGTATGTACGTGTATATATATATATATATATGTGTGTGTGTGTGTGTGTGTATATGTGCGTGCGTGTGTGTGCGTGCGTGTGTGTGTGTGTATGTATGTATATGTATGTATGTATCTATGTACGTTTGTTAATATATATTAGACAATCGACATTATTACTTTTCACTTCAGAATAGTCCTCGAATAGTAGCTCAAACTTTGATAAGGGATGGCGGAGGAAGAAGAAGAAAAGGAATATCGCTGGGAGACTGGTTATGAGAAAACTTGGTATGTTTTCTATTTAATAATCGATTATATCCATTACACATAATAATGTTGGTATTCATGGTATCTTTTAAATATTCAAGTGCAAATTTTACATCCGATATTTGCTCAATAGCTTAATTGCGTAATGATATACTGTAGGGAAGCGATCAAAGAAGACGATCATGGATTATTGGAGCCATCTGTGGCAGATATTATTCTTAGTGCCAAGAGAAAGCGTCAGTTGGAAAGAAAACAAGGTGCCAGATTAGGGATGATGAGACATCTTTATATCATCTTAGATGCTTCTGAATCAATGTCAAATCAAGATTTGAAACCAACTCGTTTCTTGTGTTCCCTGAAGGTATAATATTGAAATATATACTTGTGTGTATGTGTACATATGTATATAGTGTACAAGTGTGTACATGTAGTTTATTAAATATTTATTTATTCCAAGCTTCTAGAAAATTTTATTGAAGAATTCTTCTATCAAAACCCTATAAGTCAGTTAGGTGTAATCACTACTAGAAATAAAAGAGCTGAGAAAATTAGTGACTTGGCTGGTAATTCAAAGAAGCATATCAAGGTAATATAATGTTCTGCCTTCATTCAGATATAGAACACATATTTTATGTAGCTTTACTTTATGATAACACACACATATATATATATATATGTATATATTGTTTGTAGGAATTACAATCATTGCAGCAAACAATGGTAACTGGTGAACCATCTCTACAGAATTCCTTAGAACTGGCTCTGAAGTCATTACGATTATTACCATCGCATGCTAGTAAAGAGATATTGATAATTATAGGAGCTCTTACCACTTGTGATCCTGGAGACATCAATGAGACGATACAAGTATGTTTTATCTTTTATGGTGCGTGCGTGCGTGCGTGCGTGCGTGCGTGCGTGCGTGCGTGCGTGCGTGCGTGCGTGCGTGCGTGCGTGCGTGCGTGCGTGCGTGCGTGTGTGCGCGCGCGCGCACGTGTGTGTGTGTGTGTGTGTATCAGTTAAAATTTGCTTTAAAGATTTCTAATGTTGAAATTATTCCAGAACATGAAGTCAGATGGCATTAGATGTAGCGTCATAGGATTAGCTGCCGAATTGTATATCTGTAAGCGAATGGCAAATGCCACTGGTGGCGAGCATGGGGTAGCACTCGATGATAAACATTACAAAGAGCAATTAAATTCGCATATAGACCCTCCACCCGCTGCAACGCGATTAGATGCCGCGCTTGTAAAAATGGGATTTCCTCATCACGCTTTGCATTCCACTGTGACAGACACACCTATGACAGTGTGTATGTGGTAAGTGTGTGAGTGTGTGCAAAATATTTTAACGTACACCTTCGTATTTATTGATATTATCATCAATCAATCTTCAAACTCGTGTAATCTTCCAAACGACAAAAAAGTGCACATGTATACCCGAATGTTTCTTATTATGTTGCAGTCATGCGGAAAGTTCTGATGAATTGTTCAAACTTATGAGCACAGGTTACCTATGTCCCCAGTGTCTCAGTAAACATTGCGAACTTCCCGTAGAATGTAGATCTTGCGGTCTCACTTTGGTATCGGCTCCGCATTTGGCACGCTCGTATCACTATCTGTTTCCAGTTGCAACTTTTACAGAAATTGAATTTGAAAACAATCACTCGTCGTGTTTTGGTTGCCAGAAAGTTTTTACTCAAAAGGACAAAAAGGTGATGCTTTTTTTTTTTATTATTATTATTATTATTATTTCTATACACTGTTGGAATTGTTGAGTGTTGAGAGGAAAAGTTGAGTGTTTCTCCTACGGGACACTTGAGAAAATGTACTATGCGTATGTACAAACGTGCGCGCACACGCGTGTATGTAGTGGATATAAAAAGCGAAATATACTTCCGCTCTAAATTAATACATGCAATCAGTAGGATATAGCATATAATACTATATAATACATTTATTTACATATAATACATTTATTTATATCTTTTTAGATATATATCTGTGAAAAGTGTGATCAACCATTTTGCTTGGATTGTGAGATATTTATTCACGAATCTTTACACACATGTCCTGGCTGCGCAACAAATCCCGAGACATATAAAAAATCGGTGGATAAATCGTAAAATATACCCTTCGACGAAAAATTATTACATACACATGTAATATTCTCTGGAGCAATTATCACGATAGTGAATACCGAGAGGTCACGAGTATAAGTATCGTGTTACACAGTTGCATGTAAAAAAAAAAATTACAGTTTTACAACTTTCATTACAACCTAGCCAAATCTATCTTGTAATATAAATGTACAAATCACTCGTATATCTGGAATATATCGGGTATATGGAACTTATACAAATGCATATTTATATACATACATATTTACAGTAAATAAAATATAAAATGTCGAAATAATGTCTACTTGCACGCTCTATCTGCTTGCGACTTTACAGCAATGTCAATGGCTAATTTGGCTTATTCGCACTGATAATTCAGGTGATATAGTGTATACGATAAGAGAAAGAGGAAAATCCTGTTGCGATCTCGATAACGTGGCTATGATGAGAAGCAGCACATTCACAAATGTATCTTGTGTAAGAGAGGTGCAACGCGAGATACATCTTTGAACATATTAATGCGTGTATACGTCCAAGTAGCGAGCAACAATATTCGATAGTTACACGTGTGACTGGGACTTTTGTGCGACGACGAGTGTAGCACGACTCCGCTCCTAACGCAAATGTCCTACTTCAATATTTACTTGGTGGGGGAACATTGAAGCTTATTACTACCTAGACAGGTAGAAAGTGAGCATCGTGACGCTACAAGCACGTTATTAATTGTTGGTCACCCGCCGATGCCTGTCGGTCGAATTTATGTGCATGCGATACGTATTCCGCTCGAGACTTGCGCTGATATTTCCAAATTTGGTAAGCCTATTTAACCAGATATCTTGCGGTAATTATTTGTTCAGATGTTTCGCCAGTGTAAGGTTTGCTTTACCAATCGCTATTTAATACTTGTACATTTACACAACGATATTATAGTGGACATGTTGCACTTGCATTGCAGATTTTCTTGTGATTAATAATAAACATAATTAACATAAGACGATGTAAACATTGTCGGAATATAGCTCCGACTGGCCGAAGTTGGCCGATATGACAGAAACCGATATATCTGTCATGGAAAACGACACACGATAAGAAATTTGCAAAGCTGAACACGCCTATTCGAAGCAATCCGCACGTCGTCATGCGCTGTGTAGTCACGTGCTCAGTCATTAAGTAAAATGTAAATTACTACCGCAAATGTACATTTCTGCATGTACTCTTGGATCAGTTTACTAAAAGAACTATATATATGTCAAGGAGAAAAATATATTACTATATATATATATATACACTGCACGCGGCACTTGAGTTCAGATTTTAATGTTAAGAATAAATATTAGTTTCCCAGTAATATATTTCTCCTTCGCATTGTCGTGGCACGACTTGCGAGTACTCACGAGACTGGCAACCTCGCAATAATCAGCGGTTAGTACAATTGTACACGTATACAACATGTACACATACACGTACCAAACATGTACGTGTATATATTGGCCTGTATAGAGAACACTGGCTCGTAAATAACGTAATTGTAATCCCCACACACATTACAAATCGCATATTGTTTCTGACGCATAATGACTCTGTAGTTAACTCCGTTAATGTAATGTACGACACAACAGCGTAGCGTTATCGTTAGCAAAGTAACTTTCTCCTGATTCGACTAAATATCCTGATCATAAATGTTTTTCTTCATAAATTTTCTTTTTTTTTCGGATATCGGATATACAAACCATGTGGTTACCGTGTGATTTACTTGACATTGCCTGCGGAGTAATCTTTTGTCATATTATTTTTTGCGCTATAGGAAAATTTACGATTCGCAGCATGTATGTAGCGGCATTCGGTATCTCTCGGCAACAGCCGATGACAAGGAATGGAAGATCGAGCGATATTTCGTAAAGACATAAAAGACAAACCATGCGCGCCAAGACACGCGCGCATCCACGATTGATCCACGATCACGTTGCATTAGTTGATTAATGATTTATTAATTATAAATATGTGAAACTAGAACTTTTGGTGCAAGTTTTCGATAACAAACAATTTGAATCGAGTCAATAATCCAGTCCAGTAAGATGCATACACGTAACAAAGTTGCAATTCCCATTACCGACCAAAGATTATAACGAGTCTTTAAAGTCAAGTCAAGTTTTATTTTATGTCGAACGCGAAATAAACAGTCTGATGTGACTGTGGTCACAGCAGATTAGCATTGGCTCATTGATGACGTTTGTCACATATATATGTACGACAAGGCGATGTAACGTGAAGAAGTGTGTTTTTTTCTTAAGCAAAACCAAGTGCAAGAGACGTTTAATAAATATCGCTTATGTTGATTTCACGCGTCACGATGCGAAACAGAAATGTTTTGCAAACGCGCAATGAGAGTGTGAGAGCGGAAACCGTGTACGCTGCTGTTTGATCTTGTAGCCGATTGTCGGCTTTCGATCGATGATCAGTCTACCGTATCTCATCTCGTGCTCGTTATCTCTCTCTCTCTCTCTCTCTCTCTCTCTCTCTCTCTCTCTCTCTCTCTCTCTCTCTCTCTCTCTCTCTCTCTCCCCCTCCCTCCTTCCCTCTCTCCCTCCCTCCCTCCCTCCCTCCCTCCCTCTCTCTCTCTCCCTCCCTCTCTCTCTCTCTCTCTCTCTCTCCCTCCCTCTCTCTCTCTCTCTCTCTCTCTCTCTCTCTCTCTCTCTCTCTCTCTAAATATACTTACAGCTACTGTTTGGGCGGAAATCATTTTTGCGCTCCCCTCCCCTCCGCTTAACGACAATTTGTGTAAAATTAGTATTTTAGTACTTTAGTATCGGTGTGTTTTGACTCGCTCTTCTATTACACATGCAACTGGTTGAATATACCATAAAGAGTGAAAGGAGGGGAAGGGAATGTAAAAATTGTTAAACCTTCACGAAATCGATACGCGAAATCGATACGCAACGTGCTTGCGTGTATTTCATCGCTGATACAAAGACTGCTATCGCTGTCTTGCCACAACGATATGGTATATTTTGCAACTGTCCGGTTCAAAGCACGGGGAGCGTTGATAAGTATAATTTTCGCAACACGGCTCTAAACGCAACCTTTACATACACAACGTGTACAGTGTTAGACTTATCGTAGAAAAAAAATATATCATTCGTTCGGTGTTCACCGAGTTGAAACCATACGGTATGTACATTTGAGTTGCTCGGAACGTGAGTTTCTGTCTCGCTTAAACCGAATGTAGAACTGTTAATTTTACATACACGCGACACGAAGCGTGTATTTTTAATAGCGCGTAACAAAAATCGAGACATTTGGACCTTGCTGTTTGGATCTGAGCCTACACATCTCCGGATAGTACTAAACTTTATATCAGTATATGCGAAATTTTCCAAACAAAAGCGGAACGAGACACGTGTGGTGTTGGGATTTATACGAGTGAACGGAGAGAAAGTGACACTTTTTTTTTCTCTTTTTCTTTTTTCTTTTTCTCGCGGCTTTCAACGTCAAGGTCGTGTGGCAGTAACATCAAGTCGGACGGTATTTATGCGACTTCAATCGACACAACATGTCCCGGCATTTTAGTAAATTCTATAAAAATTAAAATCTCGAGTCGTTTGCGAAACATTCGCTTGACTTGTGAATTTTCACGGTTTACTTACTTGTACGACATACTTTTTAGGACAAAATTGTTCTAAAAAGTTCTCCTGATACGAAAACGATACACATTTCACATATCTCAACTGCAGGTGCAATAATTTGAAACGAAACAGAAATAACACTTCCTTCCGTTTTGTAATTTGTCGCGCACTGATGCGCGTGTGCACTCTCCAGCAGCACAAGTTCTTCGAAAACGGACAAACCTGATAATCCAAAGGCGAGGACAAACGTACGTACGTTTTCCCTCGAGAGGAGAATCAAGCTTTCTTCGTCTCTGTCTGTCTCTGTATATTATTCTTCTTCCGTTCTTTTTTCATATCTTTCTTCGAACAAAAGTTCGTCACTTTGGAAGTGGACTAACTGGCCAGTGTTCAATGTTTTTGTTCTTATATAAGAACGAAGCGACAGATCCGAAAGTGAGTTTCATATTTTCTTTTTTCTTTCCTTTTTTCCTTCCAATTGTGCACAAAACATAGAAGAATATATGTACGTATATAGCGTTTGGAAGATACATACAGACGAAATCCTTGAATCCTTAGAATATAAGATGGACGTGTGATACGATGCTTTCGACGAAGCTGTCGGGCGACTATTTGTTTCTAACCTTGATGTTGTTCTTTCGTAAATAATCGTAAATAATAATCTATAAACTATATGATATACGAATGTGCGACATTGTGCGCAGGTACGGGAGAGAGGAGTCGTCTGAGTTGATATGACGAACCGGCTGTGGAAAGCGTTGTCGCGTAGACGCATCGAGAAGAATGCAGAGGGGAAAGGTGAACTAGCACGGGTGCTTGGTTTATTCGATCTAACTGCGCTCGGCGTGGGTGCGACTCTTGGTTTAGGCGTTTACGTGCTCGCTGGAAGCGTGGCCAAAGACACAGCCGGGCCTGCCGTTTGTATCTCTTTCCTCATAGCCGCCGTCGCGTCCGCTCTTGCGGGTAATAAAATATCCACCTGAGCTGAGATTTGCAGCTAAAGTCGGTGGCAATTGGTCCGCTTTGAAAAACTCGATTCTCTTCATTCTTCGCAAGTATTTGCAAATGAAGCCGTTTCGCATCGAGAACTGCGAGAAATTAGCCACTGCTCAGCAGCATCAGCTCAGTCTCTCTTTCGTATCGCAGATACTCTTATGTCTACTAACTTTATTCCTCCTTTTCTTCTTTTTTTTCGTTCCGTAGGTATGTGCTACGCGGAATTCGCATCGAGAGTACCAAAGGCTGGCTCAGCGTACGTTTACAGTTATGTAACAGTAGGCGAGTTTGTTGCTTTCGTCATAGGATGGAATTTAATTCTAGAGTATGTAATTGGTGAGTATATGTGTGTGTGTGTGTGTATGTATGTGTGTGACGATGAAAATTCAATATTCTCCTCAATGAGGAGAATCGAATTGTCGTTGGTAAAAATAAAAATAAAATTTCTCTTCTCATCTTTTTTCGTTTTTCTTTTTCTTTTTTCTTCGCAGGTACTGCGAGCGTAGCTCGAGGTCTCAGTAATTATGTCGATGCACTTATAGGAAATGTCATTGGTAATACTATGCGTTCCTTCATGCCTATAGATGTGTCCTTTCTGTCGGAGTATCCGGATTTCTTCGCTTTTGCGATGGTAATGCTGTTAGTAGCGCTACTGTGCGTAGGAGTGAAGGAATCGTCCATCTTAAATAACGTATTTACCGTTATAAACTTGACAACAATCGCGATCATTATTGTCGCAGGATCGATAAAAGGTAAGCCGGTGAGTCGAGTATCGCGTATGTTAGAATTTGTCCCGATGTACTCGATCTACCACATCTCACCCCTCCCAGTCGTGAGGAGAAGAAAAGAAATTTGGCTCGAGGCTTCACTCCTTTCTTCCTCTTTTTTCTTTCCTCTCTTTCCACTTAGAAAATTGGTAGGATATTTGGTTTGTTGTTAGAGCGCGGATAATTTGTGATCGCGCGGTCGCGCGTCATTGAATATTTCCAGCGAATCCATCCAACTGGTCGATCGCGCCCGAGAACATTCCAGGTACCGTGAAGAACGCTGGTACCGGTGGATTCATGCCATTCGGTGTCGGCGGAGTAATGGTCGGAGCGGCAAAATGTTTTTACGGATTCGTCGGATTCGACGCTGTCGCTACCACCGGCGAGGAAGCGAAAGACCCACAGCGTCATATTCCTCTAGCGATCGTACTGTCCTTAATCGTTATATTCGTAGCGTATTTCAGTATCTCGACGGTCCTAACGATGATGTTGCCTTATTACGCTCAGGTAATACACGCTGTTCACGCTACAAAAAATAGACCGCTTGGAATGTGCGCAACGGTCAACGAATAAATGGTAGGAACAGGTCTGGTCTAGTCTAAAGCGAGTGTGAATTCGTGTTTAGAATGCGGACGCGCCGTTTCCACACGCGTTCGATGAGATCGGATGGCCTGCCGTTAAATGGATCGTCAACGTAGGTGCGGTATTCGCGTTGTGTACCAGTCTCTTGGGCGCTATGTTCCCACTGCCCCGCGTACTGTACGCCATGGCAAGCGATGGAATAATATTCAAGACTCTCTCCAAGGTCCATCCCAAAACTATGACGCCTATACGCGGTACGGTGCTGTCTGGTCTACTTATCGGTGGGTGCAAATTCAGCGAAGAATCACACATCACAGATCATGCGAAACGTCCTTTCTTCTGCTTCTCGAATCTTCTCGATTGGTAGTGACTCTGTGCTCTCTGTTGCAGGTCTTATGACGCTCATTTTTAACTTGCAACAGTTGATCGACATGATGTCTATCGGTACTTTACTCGCGTATACAATAGTAGCGATATGCGTATTGGTGTTGAGGTAACGTCCGACCGTCGTCGTTCGTTTGTGAATCATCACGTCAGCGTAAAGCTGTGTAATAAGTGTGTCATATCTGTATACCAAATTATTGTTCTCCGTTGCAGATATCAAAAGGAGGAGAATTCTTGCAACGCTCATACTGCGCCGACACTGAGCAATTGTCAATTTGTATCTGTAAATCTATTTAGAGAACTGTTCAATTTGCACAATCAAAAGGAACCGACAGAGCTTACCAGCAAGATCGCCAATATCAGCATCGCTTTATTCTGTGAGTTCGTGAGTCGGATTGATACAGCATAGCTGATTGTTATAACAGCAAACCCACCGTCGTGCCCGTGGTCCGCATACACACGCGTGCGCGCGCGCGCGCGCCCACACACACACACGCACACACGCACACACACACACACGCACACACACACACACACACACACACACACACACACACACACACACACACACAAATGCGCGACTGTCTGTAATTCGCGATGATTATTACAGGTATTGTTATATGTATTATCGCATTTTTGACCAGCAACATGGGCACACAATTAGTCGCTGGGGACGCGATAGTATCTGTGATACTAGTTATACTCGTGACGGTTCTTTTTCTAAATATAGCGGCAATCGGTAGGCAACCGGTACAGAAGATTCAGCTGTCTTTCAAGGTAAGAACACGTGTGCTGTGAAGACACACAGTTACCCCGCATCGTATCGCAACGGGATGTGGAGACTTTGAAAATTATCGACGTCAATGTGATATATGTTCTTATGATGTACCACAGGTACCTCTCGTCCCGCTTGTTCCGTGTCTCAGTATTTTTATAAATGCATATTTAATGTTACAACTGGATGTTTTTACATGGATTAGATTCGCAGTTTGGTTGTTGATCGGTAAGTTCCGTAATTTATAAAAAGCACAGTTATAAAAACGCAAAACTTATCTAAAAAAGGTCCAAAAGTTGAACATTTATCTATCTCGTGTATAGGCTTCTGTATTTATGGTTTTTACGGAATCAACCATAGTGAACAAGGGAAGAAAAATAAGGCGGAAAGTGACAAATTGCAAGAAAAATGTGTGGAGAAATTTCGAATATTGATCACACATCCGTAGAAACTTATGCGAGGAAAAAATGAAAAAAGGGAGAGGCGTAAAATTTTATCGCAACCTTACCATGCCGAGCCGAAAGAACGACCGAAAAGGACGATTTTACACAACAGCTAATGCAAAAATACGCGAATGTGTAGCGCTTAAGGCGTACGGTCGTACTTGTAGATAGGATATGTAGGCAGCGATTTATTTCTCGCCATCTTTTAAAGCGTGTCCATCTTCCCAGCGAGAATCCACCAGAGAGTCGAAAATATCATTCCACCGACTCTTTTCTTACGCACAATATATCTTTTCGCCTCGTTCGTGTTCTTCTGATATATCTTTGTAATGCTCGCAATGCTTGCAGAGGTATCAAAAGCGTGCACGCACATGCGCACGAAAGCACGCGCATACACACGTACTTTATTACACGATATTTATTTATAAAATAGAAACAGTGTGCTCTCTTTTTATACTGGCGAGGCAACAAACGAGATACTTTGCTACAGAATAATGATATTTGCGATATATTGGCAATGTACGCAATTCACAACACTCATAAATAGATCACTTATTTTACACCGATGTGTTGGTTCTCAATCGTTATCATAGTCATAGCATAGCATAGCGTACTAAACGTCTCAGCTAAAAACAATAAAAAATAAAACTGATAATCTGCGGCGTAAAAGGATTTTATTAGTTATACCGACATTTGTCAATTTGTCGCTTGAGTCACTTGAGAAAAAAGAACATAGCGGTACAAGAATGTAATACATGAAGATTTGAATGTACGAACGTTATACATATTTCTCGTGGTCGTTGGAATGTCTTGTATGATATTACAAAATAACAATTAATTTTAGTTTCGCTATACTTTTGTGTGAGCATTTTGTGCTATTACGCGCCGAAGTCATAGATACTGTTTATATCCGACTGTTGTATCTTTCGTATGTGTTCTGGTGATACTAGAAAAATAACAAAGTGCTGGTATAACAATTATTATCTTATCTTGCGAGAATAATCTGACGAAAATAATAATTTACATGATCATATTCCAATTTCGGAACGATGTATACGTATATATTATATGTGACACATATACGCGCGTGATACTATATTTAACACATTACCATTTTTATTAATAAATAAAATTTCCGTTAATGTGTCCGTTATACTCAATTTTGAAGACATTTTGAGGAAAAAACAAAAAAAAAAGATAAATTAATATGGTAATGTTAACGTTAGTTTCTAATTCTTGAGTAATTCGCCGTATATAATTCATGATTAAAGAGATTAGCAATATGATTGGCATAGACCGCATAGACGTGCGTTTGTATACGCGCACGTTTGTACACACATAATATTATACATTACAAGGCAATCGCACAGAATTGCTAATTATTTTATACTAGCATAGCCGAATTTTAATTTATCGCAGTTATATAAGTCATTTTGTCTTATTTACAAGCCCTCCGAGACTTATATTTTGCCAGTTTGCCTGTCGAGAATAAAATTAATATTTTAGTTGTACAAAATGTCACATGAAAAATGTGTGCGTGTGTGTCATTATTATTTATTAAAAAGATGTTTAGTTTCATACGAATCTCTGTTATAATTTTACACGCGCATCTCTCCTCCCCCTCACTCCCTATGCGCCTGAAATCAACTCTAAAGTAACTTGTGTGCTTGAATTTTCTCTACTTACTCCTATACCAGTTACCCATCCAGTTCCAGCTGGATTTTCATCGGTAACACCAATTCTTCGACAGATAATGCCAGCTCCCGAAGTTGCCCAAACTTGTCCCTGTTCCCTCGAAACGGATACATGTCGAAATCCTTGCTTAGCGTTCACCACTGCCATATCTGGGCAAATTTATTGTCTGATTTATTTGGATTTTGACTTGTGAGATAATAAATGTATAAATATAACCGGCATAATATAACAACGAGCACTTTCATCGAGGAAACGAACCTACCTATATGAATGGGATCATTTGGCATAGCCGGCAATGTTTGCCAATGAGTTCCCTCGGGAAAAACATTCGACTGTACGTCCCGACGCACTGACAATCTACCCGTTGTGTCCAAGGCCCACGCAACATCGTATCCCACCGAAATCTGCTTCAACTGAGCCCCTGAGGGTGGCTCGACGTTTTGCCATTGTATACCTAAATTGTTGGACAAAACATCGACTATCTTCAATTACAATCGAGTGCGGCAAGTTGTGCATCTAGCTCAATCTCCTCCTAGTAAATTTTATACCAGTCGGTTTCGCAGCGCTGATCCCTAATCTCCAATAAGAGGAGCCATTTTTCCCAACGGCCCAAACTTGTCCACATGGGCCACACGATATACTAATTAACGGTTGATCACTCGGTATATGCTCCCATGACACTCCCTGTTTAGTGGTAGAATACATTAATCACGTTTTGTCCCAAAACCAATCGCCATACGTTTCTACGAGACCGTCACCTCTGCGGTAGGTCAGAAGAATTTATATTTTACTGAACTGAAATGCCCGGTGTTATTACACATGAGCAAAAGAAGGGAGAATTATTTGAATGTTCATACCATTGGACATGATTCTGATACGCCTCGTCTGAATAAAGCCTCACCGTTCGCGGCAACTGCCCATACATGAATAGGAGCGTCCGTGCCAGGTTTTCCAGTCGCCTAATTGAGAGTGCCAAATGGTAAATAATACATATGCACGCACGCACGCACGCACGCACGCACGCACGCACGCACGCACGCACGCACGCACGCACGCACGCACGCACGCACGCACGCACGCACGCACGCACGCACGCACGCACGCACGCACGCACGCACGCACGCACGCACGCACGCACACACACACGCATACACACACACACACACATATGCTCATCCCGTGGATGTCCTCATCAAAGATGAGGTCGTGAAGGACGTACGTATAAAGAAACGTCGATGAGTTTGGTGTTTCCTAGTTCTTGCCAGGGCCCGCTGGTTGTCAGTTGACATCTTCTGAACCATCGTCTTCGTCGAACGTAATCGGTGAACTGCTTCTTTCCATGGTACTGCGAGGGGAAATCGGTAGCGTATTGCCAGCCGTCTCTGTCAACACCACCGGGTGTGTGAAAGTCGACGATCCAATCTGATACCTGTGTACATACACATCAGTACGGTGTTTGCATTTGAGCTGTACAGGAGGAAAAGAACATTTGTCATCGCTCTTCTAGGCTCCGTCTTCGAGGCGAGAGAGATCGATACGATCAACGAGTCAACGAGTTCGTCGCTTGCGCTCTTACCCAGTGCCAGTGCATCGACAATAACTTTGTGTGTTCCCGCGTGCACTTGTGTCGGCCGGTCGCGTCGCTCCACATGTAACGGTCTGTAGGAAGTCCATGCGCGGTATATCCAGTCACTGGATTCCAACGTTGATTTTCGTACACGTAATAATTATGGGTATCCACCATGGTATTGATCCCGGTGTTACTCGTGGCCAAGCCTGTATGTGCACGCCAGAGTATCCTCCGTTATTTCGATTCGCATATCAGTGAGAATATTGCTTCCGAATGCAGCCAAGTGTCGTGTTACACTCCCAATTCGGAGTGTTTTTGCGCGGTGGTTGCGTGAGATAGATTAAACCTCGCGCAACACAACACAACGATAAGTTACCGTGAAAACGAGTGGTAATACCTTTGAGAAATGCGCCACCCCAACCACCCGTATACACCCAAGCGGTACTGTCGTAACCGATGCCCCAAGTAACGCCCGCGGAACATGTTTCGACCTTCTTCAAGTGCCCGCCAATTTGCCTCCAAAACATCGTGCTTGGCTCGATGATCACCTGCGCGGGAGGTGCGAAAGAGTTTCGAGAGAAATATTTCATCGATTAGTTGTCGATCTCACGAGTCTCACGAGACGGTCGATGGAGAATCACGCACGAGATAGAAACACGAGGAAAAGTTTCACTTACGGATGTAGATTTGTACGTGATATTGCATAAAGTCAACAGCCCCTTGATGCGTAAATGCGTGATGTTTTGCGGATATATTCTGTGGCTATAAAAGGTATATTCGCTGTCGTTAATAAAAATTCTATAACCGCGTTCTTCGCAAATAATATACAGCGTGAAGTCACAGCCTGCCTTCAATGGACTACCTCCATTTCTCTCCTCATCTCCCCACTGTCCATTCTGATATGTGTTCCGTACGATAATATTCTCTTTGAGTCTTGGGTTGAAATGAAAAGCTATGTCGTGATTATCCGCCACAGCTTTTTGCTTCACAAACGTTGTGGTGTAACAAACCAGATTGAAATACAACCTGAAACAATGTTGCGGCTTAATCGATCAGAGGGCGATCCAGATCTGCGCGAAACTGTGTGCGAGCAAGAATGGTGCGAACAATTCTCGAAGAGATGGCACAGCTGTTGGATCTTCGATCCAGCTTTTACCTGTCGGCGTCGTCGTGGACGCATACTGCAATTTTTAGAGTGCTACCGTATCCAAAACCATTCTGTAATATGCTCTCGAATGGCAAATCTCTACCGATAACATCCATCTCTTGTACATATCCGTTCTCGAACAATTGATATTCCTGTACAGTGGTAAAGTTTCAAACGGTCAAAGAAAGGATGATCTTGCGAGATTTGACGAAATGACGCAACGGCATATTTGTCGGTGTATTTGTTTTACCTCCGCGATTGCAGGATCGAATACATACACGTCGCCCAGTGCGGTCGTGATCCAGATTGAATTTGGGCTAGGCGTACCGTACACACTGTTCATCCGGCAAGATACTAGAAAAGGGAGGAAGAAGGTATAATCTGTGTTCACGTTGCCTCCCTTCTGATTGAATCGAACGCGTCACGCCGCGTCACGCTTCTGCACACCTGGTTAGCTATATATTCTGGCTTAAAAGTTGCGTGTCCTTACCTGACGTCAAATGCGCCAACCAGTCTTCCATCTCTGTATCGCTAGCAAACTGTAGCCTGATTACTTTTGAACGAGTCAATTTGGGAGTATGAACCGCTATTCTCGGATTACCTGGCTCGCTGCAGCAGACAACGCATGTAATTTCCGACACGGGAAATTGTATCTGCAATACAAGTACGAAAGAGTCGCATTGCGCGAGCTGCTACACGTCACACGTAATAAATTTCAAACAAACGATCTTATCGATGAAAATCTTGACTTTGATAAACACACCACACTTGTTACGCCGTCTGAATTTAAAATGATCAAAGTGCCGGAATCTAAGGACCCAGTATCACTGCTTATCCATTCCAATTCGATTTTGCAATCTTCGTACAACGTGCCGCCTTTAATTTTGCACTTGGCATCGCCTGTCTTAACCCAAGATGATCTGCGTCGGAAAAAAGAAAAAAGAAAAGAAAAGAAAAGAAAAGAAAAAAATAAATAAATAAAATTTATTTTACGAGAACAAAATACACTTTCCAAGAGCGAGCGCCTCAATGCACTATCGATACAAGTATAATTTTCTGCTTACTTTTCAACAGCTCTTTCATACACTACCGAGGAGTCGAGCGATACTCTCTTCAATCTCGACTTTAATTCATCCAAGATGTATATTCTCCAAGACTCTCCAGTTTCCCCTTGTATCGTACCACTGCCGTCTGCGATCCTGTTCGATAAATATCAGATTTACAGAAAATGTTGTTACAGTTTCTCGTCGCGACTCCCCCTCTCCCCCCCCCCCGACTTGTGATATCATACAGCCCCCTGTATATCCCGATATATCATCCATGGTACGATGTAAAACCGACATACTAACCATTTCGGTGGATTTATCGGATCGACGAAGCATGCTCCAGCTTCCACTTTGTACCACAATACGTCACACTCGGCCCAATATATTATTCCTGCGCTCTCATCTTCGCCGTATACCCCAGAATCTCCAGTTAAATCCGGATCGAACACGCTCCCATCGGTTTCTGGATGCGCTTCAACCCCAACCATAGAACCGACAGAATGAACGGGACTCCAAGCGGCAGGGTTTATCTACATTGCGATAAATAATTTATTACAATTCCCTTTCCCATATGCCCAATATGGTAATCGATATTTCGACCGATAGCAAAAGCACTTGAACCTTGACGGTACTACTCATTCCTTTTCCCGAAACGACTATGGACTCCCCACTTTTCGCTAAAGATTCGTTAGATATAGTTATACTAGCGACACTCGCTTCGTTTAGATCACTCGCTGCGTCTACGGAATTTGCAGACCTATAGCAGTCACACACAGCGTAAAAAGGTTACGTTAATCTCACTGTCGAAACGTCGGTTCTGTTATATCATGTTGCTGTATCGTGTATGGTATGGTACGTTATAATCATTTCTATAATCATAAAAATCATGCGGGTTATACATTCCATCACCTCTTTCTCTCTTCGTTTAAATATATATCTTGAAAAGATGTTTGTTGAATATTCTTTGCGGATGTACCATCGCCGGTACGTTGCCACAATTTTAAGGATGTGGGTGTTGGCGCTGAACGCGATTGCTCCTCCCATTCTCTGACCAACGTTGTACCTTCGCTGGTACTGTGAGGGCGATTCTATATAAAGAGAAAAGGGGAATAGGATTCGATCAGAAGCATGTCGAGTCGCGCATTTGTCATACGTGTCGTATATGGCCGGCATATGAAAGACACTACCAAAGAACTCCAGCTCTGATGACGTTGCTGCTGCGGTGTGCCACACGTACTGTGTCTATTACTGGACGACAAACTGGCGTTGCTGCTTGCTCTACTGAGTTGAAGCGGCGCGTTTATCAATCTCCACTTTTTTCCCGTTAATTCCGAGCGTGTGATGCCAGTACGGTAATACAAACATCGATCGTCATGACCGATAGCCCAAACCTTTTTTCGAACATGATAAATATGAGATAACACAAGAACATCCAAAAATCATATATGATCAATGATATCCTAGGTGACTCCTTGACTTTTATATAGACATTAAATGTGATAAAGTGCGTCTTTCCTTTCTTTCCTTTCCTTTTTTTTTTTTTTTTTTCGTCTCTTACGTTTGTTAACAAGTTTTAATCTTATCGATTATGGTTGACCCATTGACTCGTTATCTTTGTATTTTATCTCGCTAAATTTAAGACGGGCATCGCTATATCGGATACACACAACGATACGCATATGCTCTTGATCGTGTGAGTTAAGACTCGTCGTCGCTATTACCTGATCGTTTGGAGCAACGGATACTAGGGCCATTTTGCTTAACATTTCGACCCAACCGGTTCCAGTAGCCAACTGTTCACAGACACCGCTCATTTCGCCTTTGATACCTTTTCGGAACCATATCCCACCATCGTGTGTTACAGCCCATACAGCGTCAGTACCTACGCTAACTTGTACCAATCTCAAATCTTTTTGCGGTGGTTCCACTTCCGACCAATCTTCGCCTACATTCGTTGATGTTGTCACATCAGCGTACCGTCAACGACAGTATATTATGATACGTCTCATAATTATATTTATATTTACCCATTGGGTTGTCTCTCGTTACACCCGTACGGACCAATGCTTTCCCAGTCATAACCACAGCCCAGACAAGACCAGTTATTCCAACGCTAATTTGACACACTTCATAGCCATTTGCCAATTTGATGGAACTCCATCTTTGTCCTTCGGGACAGGTTGTACTTGTTCCAACGCGGAACATTACCTAAGCAATTACGAAAAACGACACACCGTCTCTAGAGTATTAAAACTGATCAAAATTGCATTGCCGATGAGAGAACTTTGATGAGAGAAAGTTATGTTAAAAGTTATACCCGTCCGTGAGCAGTTACAGCCCAAACTACCAAGCTTCCAGGACTAGCTCCAGGCATTTGATTACCACCTACAGCTACATCGATAAAAGGTTCCTGAAAGTGTGTAACATTTTCTTTATTGGCTTTCTGTACGCGCGCATGGAAAGTTTCGTTGTACGAAGCTTTTCGTTACCTTGGTTGGGTCTTTGTGAAGAGGGGCAATAGCGCACCATGAATTCATAGCGCTATATCTCCGATAACGAACCCATTTGCGTCTCCTTACGCAAGATTTCCACTGCTTTTTTGTAGTGTACGTTGCTGGAAAATCAATTGCGTATGTCCATCCCTATCAAAATATCAGATTCTCTGTGATCATAAGATTCTCTTTGGTTGTGGGGACAACTGATAACAAATCTATACATAAACAAAATCATATGAAGAACATATTATACTTGTAAAAAACACAAAAGATATATAAATAATTAAACAGTTTCATATAAATAATCTGAAACCCCTGTGTGTTCTTGATATGCATGCAATCCTAAATTAGTGATTGTACAGACTTGTGTTTTAGTGAAATATACAAGTATTGTGCAAAGATATGAGTGTGTGTGTGTGTGTGCGCGTATGTGTGTGTGTGTGTGTGTGTGTGTGTATGTGTGTGTGCGTGTGTAAATATATTACAGAGGAAAACATGTTCTTCAAAGAAATACTCAAGCTTGTTAATTATAAGGATCTTATCTCAATATGCGTATAAGTTTATTTATGCAAAGTAAAATAAGAGCTAGATCCTTTTTCATAGAATAAGGAAGAAACTTTACTACTTTCAACTTCAACATGTGCAAACAGACCGATAAAGAGGAAAATATATTTACATCATGATCCAATGGTTGGCCATCTAATGTAGTCTCTATTTGCCAGTCACCTTCCCATTGCCATGCCATTGATGGCAATTTTACCTTGTCCCTGCTGCGATCGACTGTACCATCTTGATTTGAAAAATTATATCTGTCGGTTGGAAGTAATCTCCCGCTAAAACCTTCTAAAGGCAGCCAGCGCTGGAATTTATATCATTTAATTATGTGTTACTTGTTTATAAATGCATTTATTTGAAGCGGTTGACCTTTATCCTTCTAAAAATTTATAGATGATGATACATCTTACAAATATGTACCTCATTTTCATAAGTTTCCTCTTTTATCCTTATTGGTATGTCTAAACCATGAACATGAACGTAAACTTGACGATCTCCACCAATGGCCCACATAAAATGAGGCACAGCGGATAACTGTTTAAATTCGAGGCCTAAATACATGAATTCACGCCACATATTTCCAGACGTCGACAGTCCAAACACACGTCCTTCATTGTTAATAGCATATAGATGCGAACTTGGCATTTTTAACGCGATACAATATTATAAATTCATCTGTAACCAAATACACTATCGCAACTGCACTTTTAATGCATTTTTATGCGTAATTTTAAGCAGCAGCGGAAAAGACACGTACCGATTTCTCGACAAACACCGCTGTATATGATGCATTGAACAAGACATTAGTCATTTCCTAGAGACGATTATCATTCCCTCTTACATCGTAACACCTTCCCTCATGTTGATTGTACATATCACATGCTCCGACATATTACGCTAAAATAAATTATATTCGTTGCTTTACACGCAAATATACGACTGCATATAACGCGAGAAGAAAGAGGTATCGCCGATTGGGAAACATTCGGCAAACCGATTATAAATACAATAATATCAGTCGGTGATACTAGAGACAATTTTTTATACCGCTCAAATTGACATGTATCTTGTTACCGAGAGGACTACTAGTCTGTTCCTTTTAGTTGCAACACTGCTGAACTGGTGCGATAAGTTAAGCTAAAGCTTGCCGCAACCGGCCGGAGCTGCGCCAGCTGTCTCCTGACTGGTCACCGCAGCATTTGCCGGAGTTCTACCTGGTTCTACCGCATACACGGACATCTAAAACCAGCGGCACACGGTGCTTGTTTTCGTGCTGGATCGCTTGCTGGATTAAAATACTGCGTTGTGATTGGTATATTTTCGAAGATGGATGAAAATGCACCAATCAGAACGCAGTATTTTCATACAGCAAGCAATCCAGCACGAAAACAAGCATCGTGTGCCGCTGGCTTTACTCAACCGTTGTGTTTTCTGAACGCAGCCATTGAAAAAAGAAAGAGAGAAAGAAAAGGAAGAAGACAAGCAGTGACATGTATACACGTACGTGCGTATATTTCGGCTTGACAGTGGTCGAATGATGTTTCAGTAACTTGGGACGGTATTGTTGATGCGGATGCAATGGGACCTCCACCCGTAGTCACCGGGATATCACCTAAAGAAGGTCCGCCTGGCACTCGAGTGATAGTCCGCGGCGAGTTTTTAGGAAATAAAGCCCAAGATCTTTTAGGTTAGTGCAATTTATCGCAAGTACAGATTTCTTTTAATTCGCCAGAAACGTATGTCTCGCATGAATTGTTGAACATGTGTAAAAAAAAAAAAATAACTTCGCCATTATGTCACTGTTATGTGCAGCGTAAGAGAATAACAAAATACCGTTGTCATCTGTAACATATTACATTTCAGTTAGTATCAACGTTTAGTTGTCTGATATAGTTGTCGCTAGCCGCATCTAGCGGTGACATGATATATGAATAATTTAAATATCTTGCATTGTTTCCTGTGCAGGGTTGACAATATGTGGATGCGACTGCTTGCTTTCGGCCGAGTGGAAGTCGTCGAACAAAATTATAGCGAGATCAGGCCCTTGCAAGGGCCGCGGCGACATAATAGTGACCACTCGGAGTGGAGGACAAGGGACTTCAACTGTGCAGTTTCGTGGCTATCATGAAACTATAGGTCCTATGAAGGAATCGGCGGTATGGGTGGAGGAAGCTCCTATGCAGAGTATTGTCTGGGGCAGAAGAACGTTGTCACCTACAAATTATCAGCAGGAAGATCCTTTGGGTCTCAGCGTAGAAGGAAACGAGTAAATCCATGTCTGAGATATAAGTCTGCGACATAAGTTGTGAATTGTGTCGCGATATAGTCAATATTTTGTCCTAAAGCAAAAAGTTTCCCGAGGATGAGTTGATCGAACTGTTTGGAGATGGCAGTGGAGATCTGACGAGTGAAAAGTTTCATCCTGGATGGTTTTTATTGCAACATCATCACGCCACCACTTTGGAGGACTTGAAAGCTGGCCTAGCTTATCTCAGGAGAAAAGTAAATTCTCAAAAAGAGGGACAACTGTCGTTTCTCAAAGTGAGTACAAACACAGTGTTATCTCCTAATTATACCCGTGTAATTATACTCGAGAATTATACACGATCAAGATCGCGTGTGAAATAGGCTAATGTAGGAGCAGTGATGGAGCAACTTGATACAATAATGTCGCTGAAGGACCAGTTTGAGATAGATATGAAGAGCTACGGTAGCGATCCTACCGAGAAACTGGAGAAGGCCATTAAACAGTCCATGTCGGAAGCCAACAAGTTATTCGACGATGTTTTGGCAAGAAGGGACAGGGCGGATGCCACGCGTAACGCGCTGGCTGTGATGCAACGTTACAAATTTCTGTTTTGCATGCCGATAAACATCGAGAGAAACATCAAACGCGGCAATTACGATCTGGTGATTAACGACTACGCTAGAGTGAAAAATCTCTTTAAGAATACCGAAGTGGAGGTCTTTAGGAAGGTATTGGAGGAAATTGACGATAGAATCGGTAACTTTAAAGTACTATTACGAAACAAGTTGGAAGAGATGCCGTTCAGCTTAGAGGAACGTAAGAAGATCATCAGAAACCTTGTCAATCTCGACATCGAAGGCGATCCAGCTTGGGATGCGATAGGTACGTAAGAAAACGCGATACAAAGTGCATTGATATTTTACGTGAAAATTCTCTTCACGTCTTGTATATTTTGCGCCTTATAGTTTCGCACGCAAATTATCTGGAGAAAAGTGTCGCCGGTGCTGTGCACGAGCATCTAGACTCAGCCAGGATCAATAGCGACGACACGTACAAGTCTACGCCAATAAATATTAAACAATTGCGCACGCAGAAGAATAACGCTAATAATTCACCGCCGCAAATCTCGTGTATCGAAGCGATTTGCGATATCGTGGTGGAACAATTGCCGGATCTGTGGAGACTGGGACAGAGTTACTTTACGGGACAGCTGCATGTAGCGGTAGACGTAGAGAAACAGAGTCACTTTAAGGTATAAACATTACACTCGAATCCTTTTACGCCAAAGAAAAAAAGGATACTCGACTTGGTACTTTGCGCTTTGAATATCGCTTTATTCCGAAATAAACACAATTGTGTTCGCAACACAGAGTTTAGTTCTATCGAGTATGCAACACGCCATGGAGGCCATGAAAAATACATGTAGTCACGACGTGGAAGCACCGTGGCTCCTACACATTTTGCGTTGCGTCAGGCAAATGTACGCGTCTCTGATACATCTGGATCTGCCTAGCGACGCTCTCGATATCTTCGGATCGTTTATACTTGATTTAAGGTATTCAAGCTACTTATACGAAATACCATTCATATTCTCACAAGTAGTGCTCTTTTATACAACCGGCTTTCTTTTTCCTCTACGTCTAACGTAGGATACAATGTCTGGTTGCTCTCTTTAAACAAGGAGCGGATGATATAACGGCTCTGAGCCGAAAGGAAATGTGGCAAATAGAATATCTAAACGAAGATTGTAGTGTTACAAAATTGGTACATGGTAACGTTGCAACTTGAACATATTCTATTTTTACTTCTTGTTATCGTAATAACGTATACATTGTCTTGTGCCAAACAGCCATATCTGTTCGAAGAGATAGTTTTGAAAATATCGAAGCACGCGCGTGAAACGATAGTCGCTTGCGGTCCAAGAGAAGGTCCATTGTTTAATAACACGGCCCACCAAATGTTCTATCACAATACCATTAAAACGTTATTTACATCATTTGCACGATGTCTGCAACAATTGGCGTTTAGCGGCTGTGAGGAAGCTATGGACAATGATGAAACATCAGTCTCACAATTGATCGGTTCGCCATCCGGATTCAAGAGTAAAACCAACAAACAGCAAGGACCGGTGAGTCGCGCGTATACATTTTTGTCTATCTCCCCCCTCTCTCTCTCTCTCTCTCTCTCTCTCTCTCTCTCTCTCTCTCTCTCTCTCTCTCTCTCTCTCTCTCTCTCTCTCTCTCTCTCTCTCTCTCTCTCTCTCTCTCACTCTCTCACTCTTCATGCACTGTATATACGATCCCAGTGAATCTTTCATCATCAGACATGGGAGCAGTGTCTCTTAATCTCGCTGAGCAATATACGATACACGCTAAATATCGTTTTACCAAGAATCGAGGAGTCTCTGAAAGCCCAAGGTTACCCGGAATTATCCACCGCAGTCGGATGGAATTCTGACTGGACGCAATTGAAGACGTTAGATAGCGCCGTTCTAGACGCATATCTAGAACGGCGTTGCGATCCGCTAGTCGGTACGATCGAACCTAGCATGTACTTGGGCGGTTTGGAATGGGATTTCGACACCGAGCCGACGCATCTGAAGCCGTACGCTCAAGAGATACTGGCAAACCTGATTGCGGTCCACGCGGAGGTATCGCGACTCGTCGCGACATAAAATTTGACATATGTTATTACGCATCGTTGACACGAGACTCTGTGACATATCTCTTTCTTTCTTTCTTTCTTTCTTTCTTTCTTTCTTTCTTTCTTTCTTTCTTTCTTTCTCAAGGTACGCCGAGTCGCGCCGGCCCTGTTGGGACGGATTCTGACTCACATAGTGGAGACTATAGCGGAGGAACTTGCGCGGCTCATGTCGTGCGTCACGCAGTTTCGTCCAGCCGGAATTATTCAAGCTCGAACGGATATAATACTTTTGAGAAACGCCCTGCAAGCCTACAGTACAAGCAGAGCGAGGTAAGAACTGTCTCTCAAAATGTTTATCGAATTGGAATCGGCTATCGATCGTAATGTTCATCCCAATACGCGACAGAAGTTTCTTCGAGGAAGCTCTAGACGCGATACCGCAGCCAGTGAGCAGAGAAGATCGCACGCGAATAGACGCCCTTCTGTCGAAGATCACTACGTGCATGCGACTGCAACTGTTGTGTCTCGTCCGCGACGGAACGGAAAATATTCGTTACCTAACGGCAGACCCCGAACGCGTTACCACCGTGTAATTTACAGTGACCAAAGTATCTTAACGACAGCGGGTATGTGTTGTAATTTATTCCAACTTTTTATCGGTTGTATGTTGTATGAATTGTGTACGCGCTAGATATATCGTGTGTACGCGGAACAGAACGGACGCGGAACATAAAAACTTAAACCTCTATATCTATCCCTGCCGTGACTTACGTTCAGCGTCCGTTGTAGGATAGGTTTCTTCATTATTCATCTCATTTGTTCTCTGTCTCTTATACAGCACATGATAAAAATGATAAAAAAGAATACACGAGTAAAGTAAAAGCACAAGTAAAATTCATATATAGGAAACTTTGAATAATTAAAAAAAAAAAAATATATATATATATATATAGATATATATACGACCGTAATATATAGTAACAGTTGTTGGAGGGGGGAAGGGGGGCGCGGAGTTAGGCGAGAAAAAGAGGAGCGGACATTACGCATGTTGAGTCTTCTCGATCAATTGCAACGTACCAACGTCTGCAGCTAACAAGACAGTGTCACCTAGAAACAGAGGAACGAACGTTGCGTTGATGCAAAATCGATCGATTCGCATGCAATATACGATACAATATTCTCTCTGACGGAAATATTAATGCAGACAATTCACAAAGTGTATAATTTCATGTATAAATGAATTTCATTCATCTAACGTGATACAAACTGTGCCATTGTCTACCGTTTGAATTTAGTTACCCGTTTGAAAAACTTGCGTCGCGTGTTTGGCTCCAACGATGCAAGGAAGACCGTATTCTCGCGCCACAACAGCACCGTGACTTATAAGACCGCCCAATTCCGTTACGATACCGCCTAATAGCGGAAAGTATGGGCTCCAGCCGATGTCAGTGCAGTGTGTGATGAGAATGTCCCCGTGCTGTATACTTTTCGCCTCGGATAGATCCGTTATTACACACGCTCTGGCCATTATAGAACCGCCGCAAACAGCAGTACCTTCGACTTTAGTGCTATTTTTGTACAATGCGATGTCAAATGTCTGCTATTGTGAGAAATTTTACACGTAAACTCTCGGGAGGATGAAAAGAAAAGAAAGAAACGATAATTTGATAATGACAAATTTCCAATAACAAACCTGTATCGGCATGGGCATACCGGTGCAAAATTCAGGATATTCCACCTTCGATGCTTGGTGATAAATTTTCCTCCTACGTAATGCCCTACGACGAGGAAAATTGTACGATAGAGAAAGAGAAAATGTTACATGTAATGCAATACGATACGATACGTCAGATGTAAGATCAGTGACAAGAGAGAGAGAGGACTCACTTTCGTACGATTAACGGATTATGATGGCTATTCAAGAGTCGCGCAATCTCATAATTTGTCAGGAAAAATATGAGATTTTCATCGGGTATGTAATTTTCCTTCACCATCAGAATACCGAGTCGTCTATAAGCCATTCTCATTTTATGTATGGCGAACACCGCAAAGTTCTTCGTCATTTCTCTGCGGGTAACTGCTTTACGCGAAAGAGGTATCACCTTTTGTAAAAACCACTTGGTGACCGATGGCATGGGTGTTTTCAAAGACGCTATGGTTTCTTGAACGCTGAGCGTTTTGCATACATAATTCTCTTCGATGGACGTCACCAGTGACTGAAAACAATATGAAAATATGAAATATGTATATACTGAAATTTGTATATATGTATGTATGTGTGTAGACACACACACACACACACACACACACACACACACACACACACATGCGCGCACGAACTCATCTCAGAAAGGAATGTGAAAATGTTGAAAGTTATATATCATACTTGTATCGTGCTGATGATGGTATCAGGCTCAAGTATCCATGGTTCTGAGATAAAGTCCATTTCTTGAACACATCTATGGCCGTGCATATCGTAAAAGGCTAGCAGCTCTTCCGCTGCTGCAGGACAATTAGACTTTAACCAGTCTGTAGCATTCGCTGGTTCGACTTTGACAAAGTCCTTCGCCTTGCCGCATCTCCGGATGCATACTGCTATTTTACTGAGAGCTATCGGCACTTCGGTACCGATAACGTTGGTGCAGGAACTGAGAAGAACAGCAATATCCGCGATGTGTTCAGGCGTGATGTCGTTGCTCTTTGCTGTCAGAAGCGACATTGCCAACATCTGATAGCAGACGCTTACTCTCGACGTGTGGGTATGATACATTCCTAGCTAAAGCAAAATTATATGTTCATATTATAATGAAGACAATGAAATTATTATATTTCTGCACAAGCAGGCAGAGAGAGAGAGAGAGAGAGAGAGAGAGAGAGAGAGAGAGAGAGAGAGAGAGAGAGAGAGAGAGAGAGAGAGAGAGAGAGAGAGAGAGAGAGAGAGAGAGGGGGAGAGAGAGAGAGAGGGGGAGAGAGAGAGAGGGGGAGAGAGAGAGAGAGAGAGAGATGAAGTGGGAGAAAGATTGGAGGGAGAGAGGAAAAGACCATACACATAAAGTTACAATTATATGTTATTGAAAGACGAATTCTTAATCGATCAGTTGGACCAGTTCGCTCCGTCAACTTACCAAAAAAATCTCTGCGTATTTTTTGTTAATAACATTGTATAACTCGTGAGCTGTCTGAAATTCATTTGCATTCAATTCGTATTTGTGATATACTTTGGTAGCTTCTTTCACAATCCGCTCGTTTATCCATGCCCATTTGAACATGTTGATAATTTCGTGCACCACCTGCTTTATACCCGCGACGCCGAGTTTCCTCACAGCAGTCATGTGTACTTCAGGAGTTGTTACTACCTGTCCGCAAACGGCTATGTCTGCCATTTTATTTAACTTCGTAATCTTCTTACCAATATTCCGCAGAGACGTCTGATATAATAAGAGAAAACAGAAAATAAAATAAGAAGCAAGTGTCGATTCTTTCAATCCGTTGTTAATCCGATGCAAGACATGATGAGAAAATGCAGGAGATTGCGGTACTCACGATGCAGTAATTCATGGCGCATCTCATACCGACCATATGGAGGTAATTGCAGTTGTAACCAAAACTCTTCAAGCCAACCGACATATTCAAAACTCTTAAAATGGTAGTAATTGACAAGGGGCAGACAGGACGCGGCAATACTTCGCCAACGTTGGCGAAAGTCATGAGGTCGACGTCAGCAGGCACACCCGAATCTAGTTCATGCGTGAGCTCAAAATCTGTCCAAGCGTTGATGGTGGTGATGGGTCGCGCTTGTAGCAGATAAATCTGCTCATCGACAACCGCCCATTCCACATCTCGAGCGGATCCAAAGAAAGATTCTAGATGCAAACCTATCTCAGCGACACGCAGAGCGATTGCGTCGGATATTGAAATTTTCCGAGTTTCCCCTTCACTGAGATTATTCATCATCACGCCATCGTCGCTTAATGATATCTTGTGCTCTTTACTACCTAGCACCGTGGCGCTTACAGCCAGAGTGTTGTCCCACTTTCTGCGAATCGTCAAGGTGTCGGGCTCGACTGTCCCTGATACCACTGTCTACGAGATAAAATATCATATTACAGGACAATATTTTCAGGCGACAAGCTCGCGCATCACCGTCTGCGGCAAATTTTAAGCTTAATTGGAATGGCCCATTGAAATGTATCCGAACGCGATGTTTCTTCATGATTCAGATTCAGACACACATACATACATACGCACGCACGCACGCACGCACGCCGTTCAAACACCTTCTCGCGAACTGTATGTTGTGATCGTTTCGATTCAATTTATCACGGCGCTCATCAATATCGTACCTCTCCCAGACCGTAGTTGGCTGTAATAATAATGCTGGACGGATCTCCCGTCGTGGGATGTCTGGTGAACATAACACCGGCCGCTTCCGCGTTGACCATCTTCTGAACGCAAACGCCCATACACGCTTTCAACGGCAGTCCATTTTGCCGTCTGCAATATGGCGGGATAATATAATATAATAATGAATACGAACGAGTTAAGCGCTCACTCACTAAGCAAGGTGGGTGAAGCAGAGTGAGTGTGAACTGTGAACTTACCTATACTCGACGCTCTGATACGAATATAGACTGGCCCAACATTTGGCGACACTCTCAATAACGCCGTCGGCGGTATGTACGCCCAGATACGTCGAATTCTGACCAGCGGCTGAGGTTTCCTCGCTGTCTTCCCCGATAGCGCTGGACCTCACGGCGTATCGATTGTTTGCCGTGTTTGTTTCACCCCCATTCATCTCGTCATACGACTCCAACTTCTTCAAAGCGTCCAGTATGGCTTGCTTCACGTGCTCTTCCACGGGAGTGTTTTGCACGACGGAGACGGTTCTAAAAAGCAAAAATGGCTCTCATAGAGAAGCAGCAGATATGCAATATCGAACGAAATTACGATTCGTTCCTCCTTTCCCCTTTCTCCCTCTCACTTCTCGCAACAATTCTTGAGATCCTCCTCCTTCTTGTTGCGACCGATTGTGCAACCGACGTCTACTATATCGGTGATCATGTCCCGCAACTGTTTGTCATGCTCCAGTTGCCGTTCCAGAGCAAAGTTCGTTACGCAAAAGCCTCGGGGTATCACGAACTGAACGAGACAGAGGGCGAAAAATTAATAGTGTCTCGTAGTAGCGTGACGAATTTTTCGGATTCGATTGCAACAACACATACAACAACCGGATACATACATCATCGGTTTTGATGGACGTTAAAATTGCAAGTGAACATCCCTTTCCTCCGACGACGCTCTCATTCTGACATTGCTTATCAGCAAAGTGTAGAACGAAATTGTCCCTGTGCATCAACGTCTCTGGTCGTTTCAAGTGCTGAATTCTCGCGGTCGGTACTTTCATTTCGTTCGGTCCGGTTCGGTGCGGATAACACACGATCATCAGCCCGGCACCTGTATATTTGTACAGTTGAATGAAGTACTTTTCTCTGATTTCTGCACGAACAACGAACACACAAGGGGGGTCAGAAAGCACACAAGGGAGGGAATTGTGCTTAACAAAGCTTATTTAACAAGAAACATCAAACACGATTTTTTTACATCAGTCTACTGATGAATATGGACAAGAATTTAGGGCGCTATTTCTGTAATATTTTGCAACTTGGCATGTGTACCTTTGCTGCCGTTCAGTTTTATATGTAAATTACGAATTGAGACTGCCCAACGCCACGGTTGCCCGTTGTAATAATTGATCGCCTCGCTCCCCGTGTGATTGATAACGGCATCGTACTCGACAGCATTCGCTAAGAAAAACAACGTACACACACGTGTCAACGTCGCCCCTTATGACGCGCTACAATGTAAACAGAATCTCTACTGCAACGAGACGAAATTGACTGCCTCGAAAATCAAACCTCGAAATTTAATCCTGTAGTTTGCGGGAACGTAGTCTCCTTGCTTCTCAAAGTCCTCCATTGTCAGATCCGTCCAATCGACTTTAGACTGCGTCTCGTTGGTATTGTTCACATGACCGAACCTCATGCTACAACCGGTTTTCTTGCATTAGTACGTGTCACCGATAAAATTTTTGTGACATTTTAATCGGCAATAAAAATATCGTCCTCGTCATTGCAAATCGATCGAGTCATCTGAAGAAAAGTCGGGAAAATCGGGAACGCCCTTCGGCGTATACCCAGAGATCCCCCCCATAAAAATGCCAACGACGCTATTTTACTTTACTGCGTGTATCTGTCATCTTACTGTGAAAAACTATTTTTGCTTCTGCTCACACCAAGGCAGTACATCGCTCCTGATGCCGCTACACCGAGAAACGTGACGGTTCGATGGAATTGATCAAATTCGTGTTTGCCCCAACGTCGTTGACAAAACCCACGTAAATACAATGCACTCGCTGTGGAGTCTTTGAACGTGACTTGTCCGATAGCAGAGCCCCATTGATCGAAACCCGTGTAGTCTAGTAGTTTGCTGCAGCAATAAGAGGACAAATGAATGCTTGAATACGCGCTCGAAAAATACGCGCTACGCTCGAGAAAGACGAGCTGAGAGTTAACAAGACAGCTTTCGATGAAGTTAATTGGCTAATCTAATTGTGATGGAATGTTACATTTTGTGCATCCAATCGGGGCCTTTCCACGGCTCGTGCGCTAAAGCGGCCGCGTGCAAACGAGTACTCCAGTCGCCCGGCCATTCGAACGAAGAATTTCCGATAAATCTAGAAAATAATTGCGGATTGCTGTAGATTAGTTGGATCTGGGTCTCCCTTCCCTTTCTTGTCATTTCTTCGCGTGTCTTTGCTCACATGAAATTTAAACGAATGTGTTCCACGTTGTCGTCGCTAAGCGCATCGTCGAAACATTGATTACGGAGGAGACCGTTGTAAGTAATTCTCCAACGTCTTCGTGGTTCCAATAACTCAATTTTTAGACCCGACGCCGACCATTTCTGGCCAGTACCGTCCATCACAACTGTATGGGGATAATCTGCGGTGCGTCCAAAATGTGTTTAAAAAATTTTCTTTTTCTTTTTCGATCGACTCTAGTTCTACTCTAGTTCTACACCGCCGCGTTACTACGCGGCTTTGTTCGGCAAAAGAAAAAGATTCTTGTTGGGAAAGTTCTTGTTAGAGGAAGCAAGGCTCACCGGGTAACACGTAGACTCGGCCATCCGACAAGGTCACTTGCAAGGCTGACTCCGTTATGCGATATCCTCTATGATTCATTTTGACAAATAACGAATTACCTTGCTGATCCGCGCCGTAGAAAAGTACACTGTCGCAACTCTAAACACCACACCACATACAAAAATGTACTGAGGCTATACCGAGTATATTTGTTTTGCATGTAATTCCGATGCATTCGGAAACACGCCTACTCACATTCTCGTCCATGATAATTCGCGGATTATCCGGGCATGGCTTAAATATCTCCTTCAAATTGGATGTTATCTCGCCATCGGTAAATTTACTTTTGGTCTTTTTCTCTTTAGAAATGCACCAGAGTGCCCACCATAGTTTCAGAGAAAACTGTATATCTAAGATAAGATCCGTAAACACATCAACTTTATGATGTAAACGCATGTTTTATCAGTTAAACAGACTATTATTACCCGCAAGCGCGTTTGTGTGTGTGTGTGCGCGTATGCGTGCGTGTGCGCGCGCGCGCGTTGTTCTCGCGTGAAATTTATCACGAATATCTAGTGATTAAATGATATATATACTGTGTGTGAGTGTGAACATGACACACATACTAGCGCGCGCGCACGCGTGCACTAGTTCACTGCTAATGTACTTTACTGCTAAAATACACGTTCAAAATTATCGGTCGTTATTCGATAAATACATTCGATCAGTTATATTATAATCAATGTGAGTTGAGTAAACAAAGATTTTACCGTCATCTCGTGATTCTGTTTGAAAGAGATATCTGTTACATAACACATCATCTGAATGTGACTTACCTAGACCTAGATAGAGCGAGAGCTGATGTATTTTGCGTTTGTCGAACCAGAGATATATCCAAATAGGGAGGATAGTCAGTATTATGATTTGTATGTAACATATGATATGCTCCATCGTGTCTCAGGTGACCCACGTCTGCAATATGAGTATATCTGATTACGCTATCACGATCGAATATTACGATGCGAATGTCACCGCCATCGCCACGGGAATATCTCTCAGGCTATCTGCCGTGTCATCGCAAAACCCCGGCATAGCACTGCTATTGTTTTTCGTACAGAAAGATCCCTCCCTCTATCTCTTATCGCGTGTCAAAAGCGAGCCAAATCACACTTAGTTATGCAGATTTTATGGCATTATGGTTTACTGGCACTTAGGACGCGCCAATAACGCTCATTTAAAGTATAATAATCACATACCTCCAGATAGCAAGATGACGCGGCGACTGCCGTCAAAAGAGCCTCTCGCACGAATATATGAACGATGGAACCGTTATCTAACACAGTTTTTTCCTACCAATATCCAATATTAACTGTTGCATAATCTTCCTCTAACTGTTTCTTTATCGTGTTGAACGTTGAACAAGTTGCACTAATGCTGATAACACTGTTGCACCGACTACGACTCGTCGATAAGGAATTAACTATAAGATATAAGATATTCGATTGGAAAAGTCGGGAACGCACTAGCGCTAACGACACGCTACAGGTAAGAAAAAAAAAAGGGGAGAAAGATCTATAAAATATATGTTTTTTAGAATAACTGTATATTAATTATAAACTTCCACAATAATGTAATATAAATACAATTTCCCGGCACATTGTAGACACGTTAATGAGCTAGTCGCGTAAAGTCTTAGGCCGTGAGGAAGGACGATGACAACAAATAACTGTACGAATATTCTATTGACCGTTGCGCTTGTGTATTATTGTTTTCTTACTGGCGTCACCAAAGTCAACGGTCTCCTCTGTTACCGTATCGGTATCCACGCGTGACTTATCTACCGGATATAACCTGTGGGTAACATTAATGAATTCTTATTCTCGTGTTTCGAAACACACATTGTTTCTACATCGAGGTATCCGAGGTATGGCATACGTTATCGAGTTGCATCAAAGTGAGTGACTTACCATCTTTGGTACAGATAAATCAAAAAGACTGCGTCGTCCCTGAAGCAAGCTATTCTGTGCGCAGTCGGCATTGTTATAATAAAAGCGAACACGTCGTCGATGAACGTGTTGAACGCTTTGTACATGAACGCCCGCCACGGTAGGTGCGCCACGGACTTTAATTTATAATTAACGAACAACTGCGGCAGCATAAAGAGGAATCCGAAGGCGTAAACACCGTTCACCAAGGAATTTATGGTCCAAGAGTACCAGCTATAATCCAGAGTGGTTCACTTGTTACCAATCTCACGTAAAATCTTATTATCATGCGTGCATATATGTGCATGTGTGTAGTGTCGAGTTGATAAGTGTCATCGTTTATTACCTCTTATGCGGCTGATAAAGAAGAGAGTAGACTGCACCGCTAATTACTATCGGATACAATAGATAACTCAGATAGCGCATGCTCTCGGCATCGAACTCTCTGGTTTTCATTTCCGCCGCGTTAATACTATCACTTTTGAATTGTATCTTTGGCAAAATGCCCTGACACGTAATCAGTTCCACTCTCGATATCTTTTTCAATTTCCACAACTGTAACAAAGACAACGATGCGCACACGCGCGCATGCGCACACATGTTAAACAAATTTAACATTAACATTGTATCATCATGTAATGTCACCAGTCGTTGAGCGCTCTTCTATCGATTTTACACGCAGGACACAGTACACGACGAAAAAAGAATTAATTATATCGTCGATATAATTCCTCTTTTTTTTCTCAATAATTTTGTATGCATTTGTATGTGTGTGTGTGTGTGTGTGTGTGTGTGTGTGTGTGTGTGTGTGTGTGTGTGTTAATATGACATTATATATAATTAATATTGTATCTCACATTAATCGGCACATGTTAAATTAATGCATAACATTGCCTACAACACGTACCTCGATAACAGTGCTGATACCAGTTGGGATGAGAACAAGCAAGGAAGATTCCTCGTCGCATAAGTAAAGGAAAATTATGGTCTGACTGAATGCGCGCCACATCACAGTCCACTTGCTAAGACCTATCAGATTGCTCTTCTTCCGCCAAAAGCTAACGTCATTTTTTATGGCGAGAAAGTCAAATAACAACTGTAACGAACGATACATGTCTCTTTTTCTCCTTTTCTTTTCAATTCTACAATATAGGTAAATATCCTTTTTGCTATGGGCGCGCTTCTAACGGCCGTGAATTGTAGCATCTGCTACTTACATGCACACCAGCGATGAAGACGGTACCGCCTAATAGATAGATATTGGTATCCGCAAAGATACCCTTCACTTCGTCCACATCCTTGTCAGAGATGCCAATATTCCTCAGGTTTGCTATGGCTGTCTGCACGTGTAACACCAATCTTAACTTTCCTAGAGACACAGGCGAATACTCCACCGTGACATTCATCGCGTTGTTCTGAGGCATAATCCGCTCAAGATCTCGTTGCCGGGTTTGCAGGAAGTCACAGTTAACAACTGGCAGAAATGTCATTTTACCAACTATCCTATAAACAAACGAACGAACAAAAATGATAATCCATTCACATCAGCTTGTGACATGTATAACATGTACGATAGAGTATCTAGTATCTATCTAATAGAGAGAAATTTATTAATTTGTGTAATACTTTATGTGATCCACAAGTTCGATAGGCATGCTGTACAAAGGAAGCGTAACATCATCCGTCATTATTGTGAATGTTACGCGACTCTTAATGTGCGAGACTGGACGCACAAAAGTATCCTTTGTACCAGGATTTTTTTCTCCTAGTAACTTGAATACTTCAGCTTCAGGTACTGTATACTGTGTCATTTTAATAGTGGTATATGATGTATATATATCCTGCGCAACACACAGTGCAGTGATTAGAGATAAATTAAAGATTAAATATAAGGATCAATAATTAGTTATTCACAGAAGCTAAATAATCTATTGAATAATATTGTATATCATCTCACCTTTTTCAAATCAACAAACGATCTACTCTGATCTACGAACGTTGGTGTCAATAGTATATGCAAAAACAGTGTTCCATTGTCCTGTGTTTTGCGTGGAATATTCAATGTTGTTGGACTGGAAGGAAAGAAAATATATTGGTTAAATTTATGTGTGTGTGCGCGCGCGCGCACACACACACACACACACACACACACACACACACACAGAACTCTCTCTGGAGCTATTTCAATAAGTATATTAGACTCGTTTCTAGTTTAATTGATTCTTGTTTCAATTATATCCTCAAACAAAAAATGGGAAAAATTATTAAAAATAAACTTTAACAACCATATGGAAAAGGGGGGAAGAAACTGAAAGATCTCTCTAAGAAGATGCCAATAAAGATGAATAATAAAGGTTTAAAGGTTTAAAGAGAATTGGCTGAGGATTACAAACGAATACAAGAACGGTGCTTACATGGTTTGCGCTCGAGTGTAATCGAAATTATGCGCCGTGTACGCAAGATCGACATCTCTGGACTTCTTGTAGACGGAGCTATAGATGTAAAGATCCAACTGTGGTCGCTCGCTCAAATAGGACTTGAGACACGGCTTGCCATCCTCGCAAACCGGCGATATAAACAGCAACGACAACGAGTAAATCGAATAAATGATATATGCTAGAAATATCCCGGAAAGTATAACACTGAACGAGAACCACTGCATTTTTCAGGTAATCCTTTAGCCTTGTACGTTGTATGTGTCACAACAATAAATATACAAACGGCATTATCCTCGCGCTGCAGCTTACCGGACGGCCGATAGCGATGAATCGGCGGCGGCGGCGGCGGCGGCGGCGGCGTGCGTGCGTGCGTGCGTGCGAATGTTTACGCTCGATTGAATGTGTTACGTCGATTACGATTACGGTATTCCTCCACTCTCATATGCATCGCACGACTCGCGTGGTGTCTGCCAATGACAGTTCATTGGCTCGCGTGTCACCTTACGTGTCACTTATCTAAGCAATATTTGCCTGCGTGCATCCCCTCAACGTCACTATGAGTATTTTACAAACTGTATTTGATTGAACCACACACAGCTGATTAATCGATCGGATTAATGCAGACGGACAACACGCGAAACTGCTCGCCTTCTCATCTCTGATTATCCGTTTTGTAACATGATTGACTCTACCGACACGTCGCGTGTCGATAAAGGAATTCGTTCGATTACCGCACGAGGACACCACTTGTATGAAATCGGCGTGTAAATTATTTCAAAACCGTTGGCCGTTCAGGGGGCATTTCTATATTTGAGGATATAGTGGTGTGTCGATTCAACATGTGCTCTGTGAATTAATCAAGTGATGAATGATTATTCGACGTATCATTAAAAGAATCCCCCAATCTGATCGTGTAACAAGATCGAGTGTCAAGAGACGGTGAGTAAGATGAGAAAGAAAATCGTGTTCCTTTTCTTTTTGTTATTGCATTTCTTTTCTCAATTAACCTCCCGAGTATGTGATGTTCAGATGTATGTACGCGAGATAAAAATCAATTGTATCAATCGGCGAAAATCGATGCAAATCATAGAATTCGTTCGAAGATAACAAAGAGATTATACATTGTTCTTCGTTTATTCCAATTATTTCTATTATCATCTTGATAAGAGGCTTTTCATAATCGTGTATGTATACAATGTAAATGATTCTTTTAGACTGAATGAAGCATGCAGATACGAGATTGAACAACATGGAAATTTATTCGCGGCGGAATACCGCGCATTTTTCCCCCAACCAAATCACCTTTCGTCGTTCACCGGCAATCGTAAGGGTAAGCACACCCCTGAGGTTTACGACGAGCGTGCGCGACGTTACGCGAGCACAAGTGGAACACGACGCGAATGGTCACGATGTGCCGCTGCGAAAAGGCCACCATGGATCGCGTCTGTTGCAGAATGCAGCTGGCATAGATTGTCAAAATGTAAGACGTGGGGATGCGGCGGGAATGTCACGTCAGAGGAGAGCTGTTGGGCCCAGGTCGTAAATGCGTGAACGCGACGAAGGGTGCGGGATCGAAAGAGAGAGAGAAAGAGAGAGAGAGAGAGAGAGAGAGGGAGGAGAGAGAGAAAGAGAGAGAGAGAGAGAGAGAGAGAGAGAGAGAGAGAGGAGAAGGTGAGAAGGAAGAATCAGGGCTCTGTGTCGACACACGAGTCGTCGACGAGAGTCGAAGAGCAAAGTATACGCAGAGCAATGAAATAGCTGGAGAAGGGGATCGATCGTTCGTACGATAGTTGACAATGGAGGACACGAGACTGGGGTAAGTACCGTGTCATTTCCATTTAATCGAGAGTTGCATATATATGCGTGCGTTCGTACGAGAGAAGATGAGCGCGCTCTCGCTGAAGGGAAAAGTAGGGCGTCGGGGGTGAGATGTGTCGGAGGTGTCGGTGGAGCGGGGTGGTCGGGCGGCGGGAATGATTGTCCTGCTTTTCGCCGCGACCTCGCCGCTTCGAGCCTCCGGAAACAGAACGGAAACGGGAACGGAGCGCGATTCTCCACGGCGCGGCGCGGCGCGGCGCGGCGCGGAGCGGAGCGGAGTATCGCACGTAGAGGGTAAGTGAGAAGAGACACGGTGGCGATGTCGACGGCTCGACGATGGTGCGTGCGCGTTGACATGTACAGCGAAAAGTCTACGAGGAAGGTGCGGCGGGAGCAAGAGGTGTGTGTTGGTGATGTTGTGATGGTGTTGGTGTTAGTGAATGGTGAATGGTGATAACAGCGAAACGGCACCTTGAAACCACGTAGCTGATGAGCCTTCTCGAGGAGCAAGGGATGGATCTCGAATGAGTCAACGCTCGCGTGAGGGACCGGCGTGAATCTCGGTGAGTCGGGTTTCCAATGTCGCACGCACGCAAGAAACGATCTTACTTGATAGTCACGTTCTGTCATTGCGTTTAACACCGTAAACTAATAAGAACAGGGCGAGTGATTCCACAGAACCAATGGATATGTGTGTGTGTGTGGTGTGTGTCGTGTGTGCGTACGTGTGCGTGCGCGCGCGCGTATACATATACGTATGTATGCTCTCGCGTCTATACAGTATTTTATAAAGATCCTTTCGTTTAACCACTTATTTAAGATACTTGACGATCGTCCTCTCGTGTCCGTGGCATCGAGATCTGACATCATCGATGATATGCCGGTTTCGATCGCTTCACCGAAGCGAATGGCTCACCACTCTTGTCGCCGATAACAGTCGACTCTCACGGTCGAACCGCGCGAACAGCTAATTTCGAACGAGAGGGAATTATTTATGCCCCATATGATTAGCACGTATGATCCCGTTTAGCTGTATACAATTCTACCTCATTTTCTTATAATTCTTTGCAACACGAATTTATATAGAAAGAAATAATTAGTTGGAATTACAGACGCTATATGTGAGATATACTTGAGACAGTGTTATCATGCGTGAAACACCGCGTATGGGGTTAGTAAAATGAAAACGGATCGTTGAGACTCCATCGACGAAGGAGGAAACGTCTTCTACGGGATTACACGACTCGTCGTCGTTGTCGTCGTCGTCGTCATCGTGTCCCATATTTCCCCTCATCTATTTGCGAGGTATCGATGAACTTCTGACATCCTATTACTTCGTCTTTTCATAATCAATCATCGTTGTGATACAAGGATAATCCCGTGTAACATAAAACACGTATGTGTATGTATGGATATATTTACTTAGAAATTGAGATCGAAATAATCACTTTGATTCCCCGCGCAAAGAATGCGAAAAGAACAAACTTTGCGACTCGGCAAAGTCACGCTCACGGATATATATATTTTTTCTTTTGATTTTTCAGGATAATTCTCTTTCTCCCCCCCTCTCTCTCTCTCCTTCTCCCCCTTCCTCTCTCTCTCTCTCTCTCTCTCTCTCTCTTCTCTCTCTCTCTCTCTCTCTTCTCTCTCTCTCTCTTCTCTCTCTCTCTCTTCTCTCTCTCTCTCTCTCTCTCTCTTCTCTCTCTCTCTCTCTCTCTCTCTCTCTCTCTCTCTCTCTCTCTCTCTCTCTCTCTCTCTGAACAAGTATCTCTGTATCCAAATAATGCGACTAATTATAGAATGCTTAATCGAGCGACGAAATGCTTTGGCCGATTATCACGGTGGTAAAAGTTTCAACGAAATTTTATCGATATCTTTTTTTCCTCCGCAGGAAAAGGATAACCATGAGCTCGATAGCGCTTCTACACGATAATCCGTGATGTACTTTAGAAAGTGATTTTTACACTGGGAAATGCAGCGACTGCAATGTATCCAGGCGACTTGAAGCAATTTCTTACTCCTTTTTGCTTAAAAACTTACCGGATGCATAGCTCTCCTTGGCAGAGTCAAGAAAATCGCGGGAGCAAGCGCGTAGGCTCGCATTTGCGCTACGCAGGCGATGTGCTATAAATAGAAGAACCTTGCTAGCAACTGAGCAACGTGCGACCTGTACTGCTACCAGATGCATCAGGTAAAACAACTTGACAGTGTAAACAGGTGTCCCAAACCCGATCATACCCGATCGCGCTTATAAGCGCAGATTCGGTGAATTCAATATTTCCTTGGCGAAAGTTTGATGTCATAATCTATCGCGCGCGCGCGAGAGAGAGAGAAAGAGAGAGAGAGAGGGAGGGAGAGAGAGAGAGAGAGAGAGAGAGAGAGAGAGAGAGAGAGAGAGAGAGAGAGAGAAATATTTTCACATTATTCCGTTAAATTCGTGGAAAAAGGTAGTTATCCGTCTTTTGAACCTGAACAACTGTTTCGAGACATTGCTGCGAAACCTCGTCGGAACAGTTCCTCGTGATAATGTTGTACATTCGTTCAACTAATTAGCATTAACAACCCGTTCGATTATTAATGCAATTTCGTAGTAGCTCAATGTTATCGCATTCGCTTTGAATCACGAACGCTTCCAAACTCGCTTCGGGTGAACAAAAAAGGGAACGTGTAGTCTCTCCGTTTATAATTTCTACTGAATAACAGAGTTACCGTGGAAATATTGGCTGTAGAATAAAATTACACCTGTCACTAGCGACTCTTTTACATTTATCATCATCATCATCATTGTTGTTGTCGTTGTTGTCATTGTTGTTGTTGTTGTTGTTATTGTTATTGTTGCTGTTATCATCACATTGCACTATAATATTGTGCAGTTTTATCTAATAACGTGCCCTCTTTGAATCACGCAGACATCGGAACTTTGATTGGGCAAAAGGCCAAGCAATGACAATTACCATCATTTACGCGTACTAATACGGAGCGCAGACCCCGTCTCAGTCCACTTCGTTGGTGCAATTTCGCGCTCGGTTTGACTTAGGGATAGCCAGTCCGCAACGTGCCATGCACACATGTGCACACGGATATATCGACGACGATAACGACGACGGCGAAAGCGACAACGACAACGACAACAACGACGACGACGATCCGGCAAGTCTCGCCACGATCGATCTCTTCAACGCAACGAAGCTGTTTGTCGGCAACGAGCATTTTTCGGCCGGCTGATCGGCTACAATCGATTCAAAGGAGAGTAACCTCACGATCTGCGGAGCTTGCTGGAAATCGCATCTTTCTTTTCTCTTTCTGCCGGTGGTTACAAAAGCTATTTTTAAGCTAGTATTACACGAATATACATTTGCATTCAAATAAATAGTTACGTTATGTTCAAGCAGTCACGATTTTGACAATGTGAGATCGCGATTTTGTTTGTCTCTCACAGATCGATTATCGAGCTGTGTCTCCCTTGTTTTCTCGTCTGAACAATTTTTCACGCCCAATATCCAATGTTTTAGAACGATGACGATCTCAATAATTCTCGTCGTTTGTGTTGTTGTCGCAAATAATGTTAAACTCTCGCAAGCACAAAAGGCTGCTTTGTACTTGAAATCAATTGCGATAATCGACGAACTCAGATCCACTTATTGTCGAGTTATACGGTAAATCGAGAACTTTCGGAACGACGTTTGTCTCAAACTATCCTCGGTATCCTCGCACCTCTTTCTCGACTGAAATACATAAACTTGAATAGATTAAGAAATCGCTATTCAGATTGAAAAGATTCGCACGTTCTCAACACGCCGTCAGACACGTGAGGTTCGAGCGGTTCACGTAAGCAAAGAAAAGTGTGTTTAGCTTGACCGCGAGGGTTGGAATGCGCATTACGGCCGGCCAAAGTAGCCAAATCTTATGGACTTTTATACACGCGAAACATGTGTTCTTTCCGCTGCTGATTTAACAAAATACATTTTATACAGTCGCTCTGCGCAGTGTAACACTAAGAAATCAACTTCTTGTGCGCAATTTTTCCCTATACGACGACATAAGACCGGATAAGTAATTAACGTAATTCTTATATATCTGTGTGTGTGGCTATCGCGAGCTATTTTTGTAATCACCGGCACAACTAGCACAGCTCATTAAACGAAACAAACAAACCGACCGACGCGACGGTCCCCGACAAAAATGAGTGAGAGAAAGTCACGTTAACGTCCAAACGTCGCACGGTCTCGAGGTGAGAAGAAAGTTATTGTTATCCGACGGCGAGTTTTGTGTCGTCACATCATTTTATAGTTTAATCTGAGAGGCTCCCTCGTCGGCGCGTCTCTTCTCGAGACTCGCTATCACGTTTCAAGAAGACGATATTTAAAAGTAATTGCATACCTGAGCGGAGAAGGCGATCCTTTTTTTAGCTTACTTTTCCACGCATCCATTCTTGTGAGGCGCAGAAGAGATAGCCGGATAAATTGCAGACGAAAACCTCGCTTCCGCTTATAAATATGGATGATTTTGCATCCCTAGTCTTTTGAATCTATTCGTTTCAGTCGAAATGCTAATATATCACCCGCCGTCACACATTCGCTATATCGAAAGCGTTACGATAAAAGGTACCGATCCGTATTAAATCTCCGTCAGTTGCCGATAATCAGTTACTTGAGCAATTAACGCGACTAACAATTAAATCATCGCAGTTCATAATAACTACCTCTCCCTAATCTTTCGTTGTATTATTTCGCACAGTCACACAGCATTGTTTCGCGAGTCGGCTTTTAAACCGGCAAAATCGCCGGGTATATAAGTCCTCACCCGCAAGCAGGTCCTCCGCGCGCGAACGGTATTCTAATGAACGCGTCCTTCGCTTGAACGTTCGAGCACTACCAGCGGTACAATCGCTTGCAAGCAACAACCAGTTTGCATGTATGTACAGGCGATTCTTTCCAGCATAGTGTTGCGTGATTTTCATAACCCTATATCGTTGTAGAATAATCTCTATGCTCAACAGTTATCGTGAACATTATTTCTCCACTCAGTTAACCTACCATGAGAGTGAGTGAGATTAATGCTTTATGAGTTTTCACTACAAGGCTTATACATTAATTAATCGAGTAGTGACGATTGAAATCTCAACATACACATGATGTATCTCTATTTGTAAAGTAAAAAAAGTGTCACGGTATATAAAAATAACTTTATTGTTTGCTGTAGACAGCGTTATGAGCAATTTCTTAAGGTTTATCAAGCGAGAAATCTCGGCACGAGGCGTCGTGCGATACACCTGTTGGCGTTATTACATAACGCGAGAACCGTCGTGTAACAACGACATGCGAGAGTAATAACCGATCCGATGATCTTGCGCAACACGTGCTTCATTTCCACGCCGCTACTGGCAACGGCGCTTTTCAAAACTCCGAGTTTCACGCGTAAATCTGGTCAGCACAAATTCAAAGAGACTCGCCATCTCGACTTTTCACGTTTTTCCAGCATCATCGTGATCTGAGCACTCGAAAATGGCGTCAGGACTGCCGAGCGTCCATCAGAGGAAGCTTGGACCAGCGCCGATAGCATCCTTCGAAGACCTGTCCGACGAGGTGGAAAACGTGAGTCCTACTCCGAGTTCTCCTTGAGTTACCTTTGAAAATCCGTAACCGGTTTATATTGTTTCTTTTTTTTGTTCTCTCCCTTTCTCTTTCTTTCTCTTTCTCTCTCTTTCTCTCTCTTTTACTCGCGCCTACAATCGTGTGTACAATTTTCATCGGTCCCTGTGTGACTCCGGGATGGGATGTTGTCGATCAATCCATTAACGTATCATCTGTGAGTTCCGTATCACTGTGAGAGGCCAGCCCACGACCTGAGTCCACCAACCAATCAACCAACCAACCAACCAACCAACCAACCAACCAACCAACCAACCAACCAACCAACCCCAACCAACCAACCAACCAACCAACCAACCAACCAACCAACCAACCAACCAACCAACCAACCAACCAACCAACCAACCAACCAACCAACCAACCAACCAAAACCAACCAACCAACCAACCAACCAACCAACCAACCAACCAACCAACCAACCAACCAACCAACCAACCAACCAACAACCAACCAACCAAAAACCAACCAACCAACCAACTAACCAACAACAACCAACCAACCAACCAACCAACCAACCAACCAACCCCGTCACTGTGACAATTTACAACAAATGAATTTGAATACAGGGAGAATCAACAATAGGGCGAATGCCGGGCATCGTCGAAGTCACTACACCTGCTACGCCTGGCAGTTCCCTTAAGACGCCTAGCACGCCGCGAATTGACATTAGCCGGGCGAGCAGCTCGTCGCACCATGAGGATAGTAATTCCAGGGACTCGTCGCCCGAGCGTGAGCTCCTCGCAGGTAATATCATTTAGTAAATTATCTCTTCTGGTGCGCGCGCGCGCGCGCGTATGTGTGTGTGTGGTGTGTGTGTGTGTGTGTGTGTGTGTGTGTGTGTGCGTGCGTGCGTGCGTGCGTGCGTGCGTGCGTGCGTGCGTGCGTGCGTGCGTGCGTGCGTACGTGCGTGCGTGCGTGCGTGCGTGCGTACGTGCGTGCGTGCGTGCGTGTGTGTGTGTGCGTGTGTGTGTGTGTGTGTACACACACATTTTCTCACGGAAATGAATATTTTCGCTCATGTGTCTATCGACGTACCGTCAAATTTTCCAGAGTACGAATTGCATGTTTAATATGTGTTTTAATATCGATGTTTTAATATCGATGATAAACTAATTGATATATGTACTTACGTAATGTACTTATGTAATATACGTTACGATATGTCGACGACGTGATATGTATCGAATTAAAGGACGGATCAGTACTTTTTTTGTCAAATGTCGCGCGTTAATACAAATACAAAATAAGCAAATACATTTTCAACATACGCAGATGGTGATGTGTAATTTATAGGTGGTAAGACATGTGCAATTAACTAATGTCACAGTTCGCTTTTCGATAACAAGAGCAGATAACGAGAGCGTAATAATAAAAGGACGTTATTAATTTTGTTCTAGATCGTGTTTGGTATTCCCGTAATATCGTCGAGGCAGGATTTTATTGTTAATCGCCAAATTTAACGTGAACATGACATGTATTAATTGTGAACGTAATTGAATACACCGTAGTGGCCGGGGCGAATTTGCGTAATTAAATCGGAGATGGTTCAGTAGGTAGTAAGAAGAGACTCGCTTCGCGTGCTCAACCAACTGATTGTACATATTTCGAATAACTTCCGGAAAAGAATTTCTCGGGTCAAGGTTCTGATCGATTCAACTAGACGGCTCTAAATGGTCCGTGTTGATTACATATCTTGATTATCCAGCAAGTCTCGCACGACACACGCCGTGCAAATTAACACGTTTAAGCCCAGAATTTGATTTCGAGACTAGACCTTTTTCTGCAAGAAAAGAAAACTCCTCATTAAAATCGATTTCATCAATTTTCTGAAGAATCGTTAAATCGGTTCTCTTATGAGATGGGAAAGTGATTGTTAGATTGTTGGATTTAATGTAATTGGGAACCGTTGCCTTTAATCGTTGCTCTGTGATATTAGTACCGTCGTTGAGCACTAACCATAAAGAAACACCATAAACACGGACAAAAGATTCGTTCGCGAATAATTCGACAACACACACACACACACACATGCACACATAGAGTGCAGATTTGATCCAACATTAAAGAAACCGATTATACAACACAATAGTGCATGAGGAGGCGATTTGAACGTAAACTTATAACACAAAACAAATTCAGGAACATAGAAGCTGTTCGTGTAAGGTTTTAGGGCAGAATACGACAGCCATGGGAAAGCGACACAAATGGAAAATTTCTGCCAATTTGTAGGTGCGGATCCTCCGTCCGGCTGCAAGCTCACTCTGGGTTACAAAGAAGACGCCCAAGATCTCAGGTCCTCCACGGAAGAGTTGGACCTGCAGGATCCCGTTCACGAGCAGGATCTCAAGCGGGAATCGAAAAAATTGGCGCGTAAGCGCAAGGATGATGGATCACAATCGGATTACAGCGGCAAGCAGCAGCAGCAGCAGGATCGCGAACGCAAGGACAGCAACTGTTCGGAGATATGCCTGCTCAACATCAGCGGCAGAACGTCCAGGTTGTCGTCGGTTGGCAGTCAAGGCTCCGGTGTATCCGGGAAGCTCTCAGTCGTGTCGGCGACTTCCTCCAGGTATACGCGGAATGTTAGAAAAGGAAACAAGACATATACATACATGTACATGTAGTAATCGCCATTAGCAACATCTCGTTCTCCGAGAGATTCCGAATCGAATTGCCGAGTCTTTGCCGGAGCTGCTTCGGCCAAAGCTGCTGCCCATCTCTGAGATCTTTCATCCTTTAACCATCTTCTTCGATTGCCTTGCGATTAAAAGTTATGTCGAATTAAGACTCTTGTTACGCCACTCAAATCATATCTGCAGATTGATTGGGAAATAAAGTATTGTTGTTCATTGATACTGTTGAAGTTTGATTCCCTGATGATTCCCTTTGAACTCTCGGTATTAACGAACGAGAATAAATATATGTATGCACGTACTTGCGTCCACGCGCGCGCGCGCAATTTTGATGCGGAGAAATTTTCAAGATGAAAATCTTCACTTGAGAAAAAAAGCGATGATTCATCTACTCGCACTGCGTTTCTCTGTCTGACTCTGGATATGTAGATTCGACTCGGGTTTTTTTAGCGGGAAAAACTACTTAGACCTAGAACGCATAATTTACCGAAGAACAAAGAGTCTCGCTCACAAACACGAATTTATGTGTCCTTCAGATCGCCGAGTCCGCACAAGTGTTTATTGGAAACGTCGTTCTGCGGTAGCAAGCCGACGCTGGCCGATAATTTGATAGAACCATCAAAACCGGAGACCGATGATCTCGAGAAGATACTTTTGAAACGAGAGGCTGACACCACGAAAGCACTGATCCCCGAGAGCATCAAGGTGTCAATGGTGGGAGGCAACCTGAAGCCGGATCCGCTGGACAAGCCCAGGAGACGTGGTCGCGAAGAGAGAAAAGAGATCTTCAAGCGGGAGGTGGAGATTACCAAAAGATTTCTGGAGAAAGTCAACATAGAGGTTGGTCCGCCAAATTGTTTTTCTCTGTCCTTGCCTGTCCTCCGCCCTTAGGAATAAAGTAGCATTCGCCGCCAAGTGCGTCTGATGAAAAAAAAACAAAAAAAAAACAAAAACAAAAACAAAACAAAAAGTGTTGGCGTCCCTGTTTCGGAATAGGTACCCATTATCAAGAGATCTAGCGAGCAGGGACCGTCGACATTGCAGCAAGACCCAACGAAGACTCAAGTACAAGAAGTACAAAAACCCGCGACACTCGATTTCAACGACAAAAGGAAGAAAGCTCAAAACTTTAAGGAAATTGTACAGACGACGCCTACGACGAGCAGCGTGACTGGAAGCCCCAAGTTACCGAGACATCAAAAGGTACGGGACCTCGAAGGCTCGCGAACACCGAGTCCATCGTCCGTATCCAGAAAAAGCAGCTTCGCTTCGTTGTTCAAGGTAACGCCGTTCATCGTTATCTACATCGCTTGATCACGTCGAGTTTGAACGATCGCGTCCGTAACTCCTTACTCACGATTAAACAGGCGAGAACCGACGGCAGCGTATTGAGCCCGGAATCACCATCTCCCAGCACGAAGCCACGGCGGAGTCTGACCTCAAAGTTGCGGGATACCACGGAAAGTCTGAGAAGTCGTTCGAAATCGCGCGAGAGGGTATCCGCCGACAAGAGCTCGAATCTGAAGAAGGATTCCAAGAATAAGGGTGTGTTCTCGTCCACTTTGAGCCTGTTCAAAAAACGCGAGAGAAAGAAGAGCTATGACGAGGCGATCGCGGCTTCGTGCGATCTTGATGCGCCTAGCGGCGAGCACCCGTCCTTGGAGAACATCGGCCACGTGGAGTTTACATTTAATACCGAAAAGGAGCGTCGACACGATGATTCGATATTCATTAGTTTGCACGCGGACGACAGAAACTATGAGGAGGCCTTGCCATCGGAGAGCGTGTCAATACCGTTGGAAACGCCGACCAAATTGCTGGACGAATACGAGTCTGAGCCACACACGGGAAGTATAATCACGGAGGTATCGATCGAACATCATCCAGCACCAGTCGCCAAGATCAGGACCGAGGCACAGATCGAGATCACGGCCATATCCAAGAGTTCTTTCAGAGACGGTCAGCTTCCGCAGAGCGTGTCCAAGGATTCCCAGCTGTCCAGGAGTTCGTCGAGAGACTCCAAAATCAGTGTTCAGACTAACAAGATGGTTGAAACGCTACCGGCGAAAGCCGGTACAACAGTAGCGAAGCCATCGACCCCGGCGAAATCGTCGAGCCCAACGGCGATTAAATCTGCGGAATTGCGGGTATCGAGCGGCACATCGAAAGATTTCGCTGGCAAGAGACCGGACATAGCGAAGCCAAAAAGAAAAAGCAGAGAGAGTCAGCAGCAGCAGCAGCAGCAGCAGCAGCAGCAGCAGCAGCAGCAGCAGCAGCAGCAGCAGCAGCAGCAGCAGCAGCAGCAGCAGCAGCAGCAGCATCAGCAGCAGCATCAGCATCAGCATCAGCAGCAACAGCAGCAGCTACAGCAGCCACAGCATCTCGAATCATCCGAGAAAATCCGAGAGGACGATGATGCGACGCAACAAAAGAAAGCGATTTCGAGAGAAGCCCCATTACTCGCAGAAAGCAATAAGTCCGATCAGCTCAACGACAAGATAGGCAAGTCGCAACAGGACAGTCTCGTAAAGACCTCCAGTATGATATCCGATCTAGATCACAACAGCTCGGAATCAGAGAGAGATTCGGAGATTGAATTTATCCGAAACAAGGTTGAGAAGATGGCAGAGGAGCTGCCCGATGAGAGGAAGGGTCTCTTCTACGAGGAAAGTTTCGAGGAGGATCTTCCGTATGTGCCGACTACCTTGCCGTTGGAGAAGAGCGTTGCTGTACCAATCCTGCCTGTTAAACAACGACTTCAGGAAGTAAGGTAATTCTTTCAGTGACGAGATAGATACCATATCGCTAAAGAATCAATCGCAGCTTCTCATTAAGAAGCAGCAAATACAAGGCTCGTACATAAATAATTAAAACGTGTAAAAGAGCTGCGCACAGCTGCGCTCTTTTACACGTTTGCACATTCGTTCGAGTAAGCACACAGTTAAAAATTAACGCGACTCCAACGCGCGTTTACGCAATTATTATATAATCGTCGCCGTAGGACGATACCGATCGAGAGACCGCGCTCGACGACGCCGATAAATCCTACTCTGCTGGACGAGTTTGTGATGCAGACGTCGCTGGACGAGCGGCGCGTGGAGAGAATGAAAATCTCTTTGCCGCGGGAGGACAGCTTCAAGCTCAAGAGCCCGCGGCGGCACGCGGCGAATACGTTCACCGAGTTTGCGGGCAAGGTGCCGCCGGACGGAGGTCGTAAGACCACCCAAGGCAAATCACCTAGTCCACCTCCACTGCCACCGAGAGCACACGCGGCACGACCGAGCAATTGGATCAACTTTGAGGAGATACCGGAGAAGCGGAAGGCACCAAAGAGGATACAGACGATACCACGGCCGGAGGACGAGGTCGTAAAGGGCGCCGGCAACTATAGTTACGTGCAACCGGAGGAGTGCAAGTGTGAGTGCCATGAGGAGTCCAGACGAGCGTCCATGAGGGAGATGGTGGTGGTAGCCGCCACCGTAACCACAACTACTACAACCGCCACCGTCACTGCCACCAGCACCTCCGCCGCGGCCAGCACCAGGACCTCCTCGTGCAGTAGCAACGGTGAGCGGCCGTGCAACGGCGAGAACTGTACGGCGCCGACCGGCAGCTCCGTCGACCGCGCCAGTATCGTCAGGTAAACGCGCCCGGGTGCCAATTGTCGCGCGCGCCAACCACGTACGCCACCGGGAGCGATTCGCAAAGGCGCTAGTGATGAGTAGAAATCTGTTTCTGTACTTTCAGTGACAGTTCACTAGAATGCAGCCTGAGCATCGACGACGGTCAGAGCACGCAGGCGCTCCTCGGCAACTCGACGAAACCCTTCGCCATGGATCTCGACGTGCGGTCCAACAGGTCGAGCATCATATCGCAGGAGGAGAACGACGAGAACCAGCACCAATAATGATAACGGTGTAGAGCACTCCTATGTCTTAGCTGTTAGATATTTTTTTGTTTCATTCGGAAGATAGCCGAGTTAACTGTTAGATATTTCTTTTTTGTCGGAAGATGGCCGAGTTCCTCCCTCTGATGCAAGAACCGACGCCGACGTGACGATCGGTAGGTCGTAGCGCGCGTGCCAAGCGTATGTCTATCAAACATTTAGCAATCAAAGGCATAAATCGCGCTCACCTTCCAAATTTCCGGGAGATTCGAGCTTTACCCTTCTTCATTTTGAAATGCACGATACTTCAGTCGTGCGGCATACTGGTCAAACCGTTTTCTTTTTCTTTTTCTTTTTTATTTTTTATTCTTTATTTTTTCTTTTTCTTTTTTCTTTTTTCTTTTTTCTTTTTGTTGGCACTAGGTGCTCGTTGCGCTCGTTGTCGCGGCTTTGCCATCCGCGATATCGCGCAATTTTTTTTCGTATACATGCGTCGATGCTTCCTCACGACTGAGAGAAACCCGGATGGTGGCTCGCTAATGTCTCTGTTATTCTTCCCCTTCAAACTATTACTTTTTTGGCTTTTCCCGCCAATAAAGAGTACGTATGCGCGCGCGCGCCGTGTGTGTGTGTGTGTGTGTTTGTGTGTGTGTGTGTGTGTGTGCGTGTGCGTGTGCGTGTGCGTGCGTGCGTGCGCGAGCGTGCGCGTGCGTGCGTGCGTGCGCGTGCGTGCGTGCGTACGTGCGTGCGTATGTGCGTGCGTGTGTGCCTCGCTTCGCGTCGCATCATTGAAATGTCGGCGAAACACTCGAACGTCACGACAAACCGCTGCGTTAACCGTGTCGTAATAACAAAATACGAAGAAACGTACAGCAAAAATAGAGCAAACATTATTTTGTCAAATGTTGTATTGTACATCGATTACGAGGCGAAGCCTCGTGACGTTCGGACGGCGAGCGTGCGTGTTTTCCAAGCTTCATATCATGTAGATAAACGTAGAGATTCATGGGTATATTTCTCCGTGAGCACGTAGATCTTATATGCGTTAAGAAATTTATTCAATGTTGAGCCGGGCGATCGGTCGTTACGATCGGCTAGTGCGATGATTTATTAATCGATTGTTCTTCGAATCTGTACGAGAGAGAGAGAGAGAGAGAGAGAGAGAGAGAGAGAGAGAGAGAGAGAGAGAGAGAGAGAGAGAGAGAGAGAGAGAGAGATAGTATTTATATAAAAAAAGATATTCTACGACACAAAATATTCAAATGTAACGCGAGGGTCAACTGACTGGTCCCGCCGATATTATTGTACACATTCCTTGGACCAGACAAACGCATTACAGTTTGCCAGCGAATGCTGCGTATTAATTATTCGCGTGCGATAAGCTTTAATCAGCTAGATTTATTAGGATAATAAGGAGTTACGCGCGTTCACATAGCGCTATACAACAAAGTTCTCATAGTCATCGTGTAGTCGGGATCGATTGGAGTAATCGTGACACTTATTATAATTAAATATTAATATAATGTTGTAATCGCGATATTTTGCTATCATACAATCAGTTATAATTGTCATGGTTATTTTTGATCACAACCATTGTAATAACGACGAATAACGGAAAGTTTCGATGAAAGAGATAAACTGAATATTGAATATCATTTTTAATGTGTTTATATAATTATGTTTGCGCGATCGATATTTAACGATAATTACAAAGGTGTACATACAATTACATGTATAGTATTTTATTATTTGTAGATTTAAACATACACACACACACACACACACACACATATATATATATATATATATATATATATATATATATATATTGTCACTTGTGGAATTTTCAGCTTGGATTACGATAGCTCCTTCGATCAAAACTTCAAGTGCGATCGGTCGAATCTATCTGTCTAACGTTACCGTCACGCACGTAACGGATGTGCACGAATCTCTCAGACTGTCGCTCGTAGAATGCTCTTCTGTCACTTCTGTCACACTGTTTCTCGCTTTCCTAATTGGCGAGCCACCATTCATTCGCGAATTCACTGACTTTTCTGTTTTGCGAGGGAATGATTATCTTCGTCGTTCACTTCCAAGTCGCAAATTTCCAGAGAGCCAACGAGATACGAGCTTACGAGGCGTCGTGCGCAATACGGAACGTGTTCCATCGGTCGAACTCATGCGAGATTGTGAGAATTCTATATTATCTACCTCCTGAAACGTACCAAAGATAATCGAGCGTCTGCGAAAGGGTTACTTCGGTCTCGCCTAGACAAACGGCTCCATGACGCATACGACTGTTTGACCCTTTTCCTCTTGAAAAGAGCGGAGTGATTGTGACAATGGGATGATATACCGCGAGATTGTTCAAAAGCTTTGTACCGATTCATTTAGTTCTTTGAGTACCTCCTAAATTTTGTTATTTACGTGACATCGTCGAGTCCAGACCATCTCATGGATATATAGAGCGACTTAAAAATCTGCAAAACATTTGGGGGAGGGGTTTTCTTTCCTCTTCTCTCATATTTTATCTTTATCTTGATTCGAAACTGCGGGCGTTACAATTCACATGGCCAAAGGTATCTGAACCGAGTTAATTAATGGCAAACTAATCGAGAAATCTTCGTCACCGATAAAAATCATACTGCTCGCAGTCCGGTCGCATTAAACTGATGACTAAGTGCTCGTTGAATCGAAAAAGAGTAATCTAATTATTCTCGGCGTCGGAAGTCTTTATCACTCGGACCATGTTGGGGACGAACCTTGAAAGGGGTCAGACACATCGAAATCCACGTTGCATTTGTAAGCAAAATTGCAGTTTCGTCCACACGATCGCACTGTTTCTCTCTCTCTCTCTCTCTCTCTCTCTCTCTCTCTCTCTCTCTCTCTTCTTTCTATCTCTTTTTTGTCTCTTTTTTTTTTTTCAGTCCATGGACTTCGTCCGTAACGTGTGTTAGAATCGAGTCATCGATCGACTTTGATACCTGATCGATAATGATCATTTCTGCTCAATGATTGCATTCTATCTTCTGTCCTCCTGGCCATGTTTTCTATACTTGTACAATATGAGGGAGAAAACTACTATGTACCGTGTTCAAAGTGTCTCAAATAGTGAAAATAGTGATTCGGGTAGTGATAGAATGTTATCCCGTCACTTTCCGTTACGTTGAGCGATCAGAGGTAAAAATTGGCAATTGCATTTAATGTGTAGCAGTTATCATTAATCGTGTCAACCGGATTTCTAATATAATTGAAAGTACATATGTTATGGCCGACTATATCTTTGAAGAAGACTCGTGTGTCCCTGTAATTTTTAATTAAAATTAAAAACAATATTTTATCATTATAGTGTTGCGATACTCGCTCGGCGTAATGGAAAGAAATCTCGTCGGTTCATCGCGTGTTGGAATTGAGTGAAATTGATTCCCTGACGAATCGAGCTTTTACTCTGCTCCCCTCTGCCCTTATCTCCCGTTCTCTTCATATTCTTTCGCATCCCACCCGGACAGAAAGTAATCAAGTTGAAAAGCGAAATAATTGATTAATAGACCTATAAGCGAAATAATTATCCGCGAATTAATCAAACGTGCCAATCTCTTTTCCCTTTCCTCCTACTTTCGACGAAAGAAAAGGGACGTGCGCATGTTTCATATGGTTTCAACGATCTCGCGGTACATCATCGATGCAATTTGCATCTAAACTAAACGTCTCACGCAAGATAATTTTCTTTCTTTTAGATTTTGATGTTTAGATAAACGAATTTTCAGAGTATATTAATATGAAATATAAATAAATAAATACACACACACACACACACACACATGATGAAAAACTTGTATCTACACAATGAACGTGCAGGGATCGAAATAATATAGTACAATTCTCACAAATCCAACTTTCGATGTTGCACAAAATTGTGTCAACTCGACACTCGAAATTATGCCAGCTTCGATCCCTGCAAGGAAATGCGTCCAACGCAGTAATCGATTATATGCGTTAGTATACTACGATGAAGCAGATAAAATTCGAAAATTCGATCGAAAGCGAATCGCATTTCGCAAGAGATCGATGTATTTTCGTGCAAGTAAATCTACTACGCACTATTGAATGATTCGGTTGTTCATATCTTTTTTTATTTTTATATAATTTAGCCAACGAATAGAAATTTATTCGACTTTTGCAGAAACGCCGCTCACTTTCGATTCGAAGGAAATTATACTCTTCTTTTGCTTAGGAAACAATTTCCGAGTTGACAGCCGTTCGCAAGATTTTTCTTCAAAATATGATCTTGCCGACGATCTGTCGCAGAAAAGAGCAAAAAGGAGAAAAAAGAACAAAAAGTCTAGAAAGAGCGACAAGGATCCCCTATTCCACTCGCTTTTTTTCTCGTGAGGAAATAGTACAACTCGCAGAAAGTCGCAGCAATTTCCTTTTTAGTTTCTAACGGAAACTAATCGAGGAGATTCACGACTATCTTCTGACAATTCGAGCACTTACGATGATATATATTAAATCCGTGATACTTTTTCTAATCTTTTCTAGGCGAACGTAAAGCGCGAGAGAGAAAGCACGAGAGAGAGAGAGAGAGAGAGAGAGAGAGAGAGAGAGAGAGAGAGAGAGAGAGAGAGAGAGAGAGAGTGAGAGAGAGAAAGAAGGGGGGAAGCCCGGAGCAACGGCGGATGGTCTGCTTTTCCGTCAATTGTCTAATTTTTCAACTTTTTTTACTTTATTTTTACGAATATTCTCGCATATGACGCTGTCGACTACGTAATCAATATATTGGTCTGAAATTTATCGTCCGCATAATGCTTACGTCAAAGGCGAAACTAAGGAAAAGTATGGCCGCAATTATAATGGAGATCGTCCGCCATTGCTTCGGTACACGTACTTTATTTAAACTGCCGGATACACTCGAGGAAATTAGCCGTTCTGGCCGTTCGACAAGAAAATCCGAGACTTCTCGGATATGTTGACATGCGAGGAAACGCCACATCGCCCATTCTCCCAGCAATACATGATCGTTCGTGATTATTTTTCAATGCAATGTAAGACAATGTGTGTGTGACGAAAAATGAAGTAAAAATTAAAATATTTCTAATGTTATGTAAATAAAATTATAGGGACGGAAATACATTTTCGAGTACTGAAATATGTTTAAATGGCGACGACGACGACGACGACGACGACGACGACGACGACGACGACGACGACGACGACGACGACGACGACGACGACGACGACAACGACGACGACGACGACAACGACGACGTTAATACGTTTAATGACCTCATCATGTTCAGAAAGAGAGGAAAATAAAGTAAAATAAACTGTTTATGTGTGTTTTGATAATTGTCTGAATCATTTGAAATTTTGGTTTATTGATCATTTTACAGTCGTTAAATTTGTGTATACATACAATTAAATAATTTTCTTCGAGTAAAAAAATGAAATTTAAAGATGAAAATATCTATCGAGACGCTACAATATTGCCAAGTAGTTAATTCTCGCCTTACATGCGATCCTTTACCATCGTTTTCGAGTCATATGCGTTTGTAACACGCAAAAATTCGTCCTTCGTCTTGACATCTTTATCCTCTCCATTGTCCAAGATTATCGGTAACTCGGTATCTCGCAATAACACTGCGGTAGTCGTCGTGGTAGACGTCGAGTTGTTATCCTGGAGAGATTGCTGAAGAAACGCCCAGAAAGGAACAATGAATGTGTTAGCGAGTACAAAAAGTTTCCAGGTGAATAGAAGATAAATTTTTAATTAAATAGTGTATAGTATAATGAATATATATATTCATTACACTATACACTATTTAATTAAAAATTTATCTTCTATTCACCTGGAAACTTTTATATATATATAATGATGTATAATGATGTGCACGTGTCACCAGTAATTACCTGCATGACGTTTATGAGAAACAAGAAAGCGAGCAAAGTCAGTGCACTCAGTGCTGCGCCACTTCCACCTTTGCCTTTGGAAGAGCTGCTGCAATATATGAACACAATGAGAGATGATAATTCACGAAGAAGCAGAAGCTTGTTTTGCGAGATTCTGATAGCGATACCAATCGCGATATCAATCGTACCTTTGCCATCCGTGATAATGGTAGCCACTTCCTTCATTGTGATATCGTTCGATAGATGTGTAAGAAGGTTTTCCAAAGTTTGCAAGATTGACTAGAGATTTGAACGTCATTTTTGCGTAATATCTGAAAAGCAATATTCTTTGCGAATCAATAAAGACAAATTAAAAATGATATTGTACAGAGTGATAAGATGTGCACGTACAAAGGAGAAAAGAAACAGCACATGTATCTTTCTTCACTTGCACATGTAACTTGCGCATGTAAAGATAAATCACACATATAAAGACAAAAGGAAATAATAAATAATACGATGGTGATGTAATTATAAATTGCTTATACATTGCTTGCCTCGCTTGTTGTCTCCGATGCGAAGAAAAGGAAGAAGGAAAAATGGACAGACGGACAGAGAATCGCCAAGTTGCGCGATACCGAGTCAATTTTGAGAGTCCTCGTCCGACGAGACTCTGTACGAAACTGTTTCGTCATAAGAAAGAGTCATCTCGTCAGCTTGGATGACTATTCCCCGTCACGGTTCCCGGAGCCTTCACGCTTGTTAACGGCAACCCGGAACTTTGTCTCTTCCTGAACATACATCGCACCCTCCAATTGCTCTGAATATCGCGTTGGCGCGTTGGTACACATATGCAGCATCCGTTCCGTTATCGTTGCATCAACGTTCAATGGTGGACTCTTCGGCCTGAAAACCGATGTCAATTTTCATCGCACTCGTCGATGAACTCGACGTCTCACCTCGAATATCTTATATACCCGAATATAACGAATCATTATATCATCATCATCATCATCACGGCATAATGCGGAATAATATCTGACAGACAAATTCCTTTAGCTAATGAGAAATATATTGCGGATTATAGACGTGCTTGGAATGTCATTCATTCCGGCGCACAATCTAGCACACGAAAGCGAAAGAAGAATATATACGATGTAGTATACACACGAAATACAAAACTGTACACTGATAAGGCCATTTATTGATGTATCATTATCAAGGTATTAATCACGCTGCACATACGTACATACAACTTAGGCCTACATCATGTACTACTAGTGAGCGACAAGTAACATGGATATTGTAACGTGGGAAAGAAAAAACAGAGTTAATTCCACCCATGTACCTAATACATGCATAATATCTATATACAGTAGAGCTAATACGGATTTAGGGAGAATACTGAGAGAGAGAGAGAGAGAGAGAGAGAGAGAGAGAGAGGCGATAGAACATCCTGAGATATCAACACGTACATTGTAATAAAGAGGGAAGGTTTTTCAGTAATGAGATTCGTTCAATCACTCCCGTCGTGAAACGCCAATAGTTTCGTGGTCGCGTTTTTTTATTCTTAAAATTCTTTAATCTCAAAGTAAAATAAATATATGCAAATTCCACTCACACTTTTTATACATACATAACAAGAGTGCAACGTCTACGAATTCGAAATCCGAATTTATTTAAAAGTCAGTCTCGGTTCTTTATGAAGAAACGAAAGACTACAGCAATGTTTGAACGAAGTTCATCGAGAGCACATTAAATTCACCGATCCTTTTTCTCCTACAGTTCTAAGCGTGTCTTCCTCCCTAAACATCTTCTTGTCGATAACGCTTAATTGTATACACGTATAGTGCACATTTGAGCGTGCACCGTGCGTACACGCGTTTTCACATGAACTTAAATGTTAAATATAAGACTCCAAGAAAAAAAGTCAACACAACTTCTTATACCATACTCAGTTTTCGAAGCCATGGACGCAAAACTGATTTGTATGCTCATCTCTGATTGTCATCTTCTTTGATTATGATATATCTCTGATTAATTGATACAAAAACAACCTCCGTGCAAATTTTGTGTATCATGAGAATGAATAGTATCGACAGTCAGATTTACGCTGTCATTGTTCAAACGTCGCTATGCTTATCATTATTTAATATTACCGTCGTCGCATACTCGAATTACCGGAGAATACCGGAACTCGCGCCGAGCCCCAACCACGGACACTACAGCTATATTTAAAATACGCTCACAAAGAAAAATAAATAGAAATAAATATATGCCAAAATCTCATGTATAATCGGCGTGTGGCGTGTAGCGCGAAATTCGACGATCGATACGAAGAGGACGACTCATAATTCTCAACGCGATGAATGAGGCAGCCAAAAAATGTCACTAGACATTGCAAATTATACATATCGATTCTTTCAAGTTGGCGCAATTGTATTTCAAATAACCAAAAGTCGCGCAAACCTGGATCTGCGAAATCTTTTTCGGGATTGTTAGAGAGAACATAGAGAGAAAGGGAGAGGATCAGGATGAGTCAGGGACGAGGAGCGATCGGAGGACGGAGGAGGATTTGGATCATCGAGCGCTTAGTTTGTTCGGGACGTCAGTCACGATCCGTCGAAATTATGAATCTGTATTAGCGCGTACGCGTGCGCCGAATTCGCCGCTCGACTGAAGAAGCGTCTAAGTAAGAATCAGTCGTGAGATCGCCGAGCTATCAACGAGATTCGATGCGAATCTCGGCTCGGCGCGCTCTTCGAGTCACATCGCGGTCACGTCGATTAAATGCTAATGTTTCCATTCTAGCGTGGCCCAGACCGACCGAGGCACCGGGACCTCATCCCCCTCCCTCATCAAATTAGCAACAAGACTCGCGATGCCAGAACATGCTTAACCAAGATATATTCGTAACTTTCTATATTTTTACATTTATCAGTAACAGGTCTTATAGAAAATCATTGGAGTGGTTCTCATCGATTAAAACATTTCGGCATAAAATGTAAGCCCAGAGTCAAGTTCCTCATATATCTCTCGCCGTCACTCGTCATCTATCGCGCGAGTCTTGTTTCTAATTGTAACGCTCAATTGGGATCAAGATCCCGAAATCTCGCAGAGTCGAAACCACGCTCGACGGAACTTTCCGCGCGAATTTAGACGTGTTCATACGGCGTTGCAATCCATGAAGAGGGTTCTGCAGTCTTCTCCCGTGCGACCGCGTCGTCCCGCTTCGTATAGGGCCTCGAAGCCAACACCGCTCTGCCTCTGCAGAAGATAACTCGTCGCGTACCTGCGTAAAGATCAAAAGTCAGCTGTAACTTCGTTACAAGGACGCCGTTTGAAAATTACAACTTTTGCAATTTTCAATTTTTTGGGAAACAACGCTCTCGCTCTCGCTCTCTCTCTCTCTCTCTCTCTCTCTCTCTCTCTCTCTCTCTCTCTCTCTCTCTCTGCCTCTCTCTCTCTCTCTCTCTCTCTGCCTCTCTCTCTCTCTCTCTCTCTCTGCCTCTCTCTCTCTCTCTCTCTCTCTCTCTCTCTCTCTCTCTGCCTCTCTCTCTCTGCCTCTTTCGAGAGATCACTCACGATCCGAGTTGGCAGAAAATCGACGACGGGCCTTGCGTATCAGCGATGCACTCGGCGCTGGCTTCGCAAAGAGCTCTTTCGGCACATCCACGATGGCCCTCGTCCTCGGCGCGGCCTACGTAACTGAAGGACTTGACAGATCTCATATAACCCTGGTGACACGAGTTTGGAATTACAACCGGCTATGCTTGCGGACGATTTTCAGTGAGAAACGATATATCGCAATTTACCTTCAGCATAGAGATGGATGCTATCGCAGCCTCGGAAACGGTATCGCGTCTTCCTAACGAGCGAGCTGTCAAAGAACGATGGGAGAATGACGTCTTTAGAGCGTCCAGCAGGTTGATGACTATGCTGATGAACTGCTTGATAACAGGGATAAGCAGAGATGTAAGATGCAAGTTTATTCATCGAGCCAAATATTTGTTCGAGAAGAGGGAGAAGGATCGAACGGTATAGATACACACGTAATCCATTAATTCCATCTATCTATCTATCTATCTATCTATCTATCTATCACTACAAATTACAATGAGATTATAATTATATTACACAATTATATACCAAGTGCAAGTTGATTAGTAACATTGTCGTGGGAATATTCTACATAGCTAGTCGGCGAAACCAGCTCAGTCTTCCAATATACTCGAAAAAAGCAGGCGCACGAGATAAAGCACGCATTTCGCTTTCGAAGGCTGTAGCAAAAGTCGAAAATTGAAAAAGAAGATTTATCGTCGAATTGATTTGTTCGTTTGCTCGTTCATTCGCGATCTCGTACTAACCTCGGAGGCGTTTTTCGCCATTACAGCAACTTGTTCGGGATCTCTGCCCTGTCCTAGAAACACGCCCAGCACCGCGGTCAAAATTTCCTAAACAACCGACACCAGCCATGTGCGCTAAGTCCAAAGTTCGACAAATTATTTACAGGAAATGTGAGCAAATGTATATGCGTGCGTGCGTGCATGTGTGTGTGTGTGTGTGTGTGTGTGTGTTTATGCAAAGTAAATTGCAATTGTATCTTTGTAAGAGTACAAATTTTGCTTGCGCGCGCCCCTCTTTCCAGCCCCACTGCCTCGATTGTTCTTTCAGAAGCGAGGTGAAACGTCGGCGAGTTTCCGGTCGCGAAGCGAGCAAATTACATTGTGTAGAAAACGTAAAGATTGTGTGACACAAGTGCGTGAAAAAATAATGGCTCATCTCGCGACCGGGACAATTATTTGACGCATTCTTCGCTAGTTATCGTAGCAAGGTAGCTCGTGACTATAAGCAGTCACCCAGTCATGAATTTTCAAATTCAGACTTATTATATATATATATATATATATATAGTCTGTGGATACTAACTAAATTTAAACAAAACTTTTTCTCATCCATTAACAAATTCAAAGTGACAAATTTAAATATCACATACACACACACACACACACACATACATACATACAATGGAAAAAAAGAGAATTTACTAGCAAGCGCTTAAAAAATGGTTCGGAAGAAATAGCGGAATAGTGTATTGTGAATGCGAGACGGTAATTTTGCGAGGCTCGATCAAATAACTACTCGCAGATCCCTGATCCTAACTTTTTTACCTTATAATAGAAACAAACTTTGACGTTTTAAACGGCACTTTGTGTCTCTCGCGACCGAGAATTACTCTCACTGATCGTGAGGTCACGAAGTTTCTCTCCGAATATCTACTTGCGTGCTACGTACCAATAGAGCTACATATAGATGTAATTAAAGTGAAAAGAACGCAAAGAGAATCGATTCCGTCTCTCTCTCTCTCTCTCTCTCTCTCTCTCTCTCTCTCTCTCTCTCTCTCTCTCTCTCTCTCTTTCATCCGAAATGTATACAGCGGCAAATAACGTACCGACTCACGCATATCACGCTTATTTTCACTTACCTGCATGGGGCTGCTCTGATTGTCCACTTTATCGATACCGTCCACCGATTGCTGAGGTCCGCCCAGTAACGCTGTGAGGACCCTGAGGCCCACGGATAACAAGTTAGCCCACGGGCTCGCTGACGCGCCGTCGTCTATTTCATTCTTGCTGGGTCCAGTCGCACCTCCGGTTTGTCCCAGCAACATCTGCATCAGCATTCCCAGCATATTGGACCAAGAGAAGCCGCTGCTACCACCCTCCTAGGATAGACATGTCAAAGTATACGATATCAGTGTACGCCACGGTGTTTCCGCGGTGGAAAGAAGGAAGGGATAAAATGAGATTATCGACTGAAACTATATATATATATATATATATATATTATATATATACACACACACATATATAAAAGAGAAAAGAGCGAAAAACAGGACTTGTCTTCCTTCCTTTTTCTCTTGTTATTTTCCTTTTGCATCGGTAATCGCTATAATTATTAAGTAATGTGCCTTGACACTCAATATCAATATGGATGATTGTCGACTTCGATAACGATTCGGTTGTCACGATGGAATGTCACTTGTCGAGAAAAGAGCGCAATTTCGAGCGAATCACCTGAATCGAATTGGTGCTGATGTCCTCGAGGTCATCAATCGCTACCTTCTTCATCGCGTTCGGCTTTTCGGCAAACTTTCTTTCCTCCCTCACCTGTTGCTGATATTGCTGCGGAAATTGCTGATTGTATTGGGAATGCTGCGGTAATGCCGCTGCTTGTCCCAAGACAAGAGCGATCAAGCATAACGATGCATACTGGATGTGCCGCATTCTGCAATACAAAAGAAAAGCGGTTACGTATCTATTGTTTATTAGTATTATTGACCGCTTGTCCCCCCTCTTTACAGTTTACACCACGAGAGAGAGAGAGAGAGAGAGAGAGAGAGAGAGAGAGAGAGAGAGAGAGAGAGAGAGAGAGAGAGAGGAGAGAGAGAGAGAGAGAGAGAGAGAGAGAGAGAGAGAGAGAGAGAGAGAGAGAGAGAGAGAGAGAGAGAGAGAGAGAGAGAGAGAGAGAGAGGTACAGAAGAAGACGCACGCTGTCATCCGAAGCGACGCCGACACCGACGTGAAAAATACTAATGTGTGTGACGATGATTCACAAAAGAAAGTATGCCACGGAATGCAGCCGACACGGACGGACCAACCGATACATTCCGATACATTGAGTCGAGGGTCGAACGTCAGTCGAACGATGATCCTGTTGGTGTTTGAAACTCGTTGAGGTCATACGACAAAAAGATTCAAAGTAGGCCGTGGCCGTCTTCAATTCTTGATCGCGCGCGAAAGAAAGACGGAACGGAAATCCGTAACGGATAACGCGCAAGTGTGCTCGCGTCGACGAGTCGGGCCAGGAAGAACGGTGCTGCTAAAAGTGTGCCACGGTGTGGTTAAGGTCGCCTCGACGTCGATCGCGCTCGTTAGCCCACTTCCCGATCGGCGGTGCTGGTTTGTTGAACCCGACAGATACCGTTACTCCAAAAGGCGGTCATGACCTACTGCCGTCGTTCGTGCGACCGCGACGGCGACGGCGACGGCGACGGCGACGGCGACGGCGACGGCGACGGGGACCGGTTTCCCGGTTGTCCGAGGAGAAAATCGGTGAAGGAAAGCAACGACTAGGAGAAAAGCGACTGGCGACTGGCGACGAGACTCCGAGACCGGGTCCCTCGACCGCGTCAATCAAAGATCCGCCCGCGCTAGCAACTTTTTTCAATCATCCGTGTATACAACACGAGGAACAGGGAAATTAAGCTGAAAATCCCTAAAGGAGAAAAGTACGAATTCGAGGCAACCTATGAAACGCGACGCGAACTCGAGCGACTCCAAGTTTCAATCCGACAGTTATTATTCGTAAATTAATGAAATTGAAGCGCTTTCTTCAGCGCTATTTCGAAAGCTAAACAAGCGGATTATTTGAATCGACACTTTGAAATATCGCGCATCATTCATTCAGGAAGAGCGAACGAACGCGCTAATCAATTCAATTAGAGCGGTCATTGGTCCAATTCCTCTAGACCTCGTCAATAAGAAAAATCTTATTGTCGCAAGCGGAATGACACAACACGACAGATTGATAAAAAGGAAAAGAGAAAAAAGAAAAAAGAAAAACATTGAGATCGCACGAGAAGCCAGTCGTCAACTGACAGCGAGGGAGCCTCTCATCTCACGGGAGTGAGACGCACCGTTTGGCAAACGGTACACATCACGATAATAGAAAAGTCAGCGAACGAGTTTCAAACTATGTGCACCTTTTGCACCTGTCAGAGGCACCTTGCCTACTTGTCTACTTGCCTTGTGGCAGACTTTGTCACGTAGAAAAAGAATACGGAGAATGAATAATCGCTCGAGAAGCAAAATCGAAAAATTCTTCGTACAAACAGATTGACAGAGAAATGGAAATGAATTTCCACTGCTCGCGAAAGATGAACAATTTCCAAAGAAATCTGTTTCATTCGTGTGTGTTCTCTCCTTTTCTTTCAATTTCAGATTCGAGTAAGTATACTGTATAAGAAAAAGAAAGAGAACACACTTTAGCACGCAGCTATAAAAATATCACTAGAGCGCGCGATACAGTTGTGGCTTGAAATCTGAAGATGGAATACAACAATATAATGTTGGTTGAGGTGACACAAGAAGCATGATCATGTGGTAAATTAAAAACAATTACAAAATTGTAGATTAGTACAATTACCCGTGGTTAGATCCCGGACTTGGTATATAAGAAAGCTAAAGCTAGATTTAAAAGCGTCGTAGCGGGGCAAGTTGATTAATAAAATAATATTTTAGAATTTAGTCTGAATGAGTGAAAGAACTCAATATCGCGGCGCGAATCCGAAAGTAATATGGGGAAATTGTGTTACTCACTTGGTTACCTCCAAGGTGAACTTCCGTGACACTGACTCTCAGTTCTGAAGATGAAATTCCACGCGGGGTCTTCTATATAGCCTGCGAGCACACGTGGGGGTAAACCGTTCGGCCAATGACCACTCATCTTTGCTACCATTTTCAATGAAGCTATCCAATCGCGCCGAGTCGATCAGCAAGTCGATTTCGAAAGGTCTACTTATGGTGCATTTTTCGTAGTTACTTTGCGCGATGAAGAAGAGGCAACAAACATCGCGCCTTTACGTCTCTTGCAAGCCTCTTGCAAGCCTCTTGCAGCCTCTTGCCAGCCGAGCCTTACTCGATTATTCGAAATCGCATTGTCCTATACGCCGATCTGGCATATCTGGCAGCGCGTTTTATCTCTGATTTATTTTCCCTGTAACAAAATCCATGTATCCACATTATATTTATAAATGCCGTACGCCCATAAGCGCGCGCTTATCGATTCAACATTGCTTCAACGTGGTCAGTCGTGTCAGTAACCAATGTTCTTTGCATGACTCGAATGTTTCGAATGTCCAGCTAACAGTCGAGAGACTCCCCGAGAACCAAATCCGCTAAAACTCTGTATCGCGCTTGCATTCGGAGATGCCGGTGGCCAATAGCCAATAGCCAATTATTAAATCATCGAGTCAGCATCGAAACTGCTGATGATCGGAAAGCTGATGAATGAGGATCCAAAGCTGTGTGACCTAAACAACGAGAAGCGTTCTGCGAAAAAGCTCATAGTCCGACGCGCAATCTCCATGCGAGTCGCGGGTTTGTGTTTTGACATTGGTATTGGCATTGGCGTTGGCACTGGCGTTGGCATTAGCGTTGGCGTTGGCGTTGTCCGCGCATTCCAGCAGCATTCTCGAGCGTCGAGATTCGAGCGTCGGCTCGCCGTGCCGACGCAAAAGCGTGGCAATCCGTCATAACTGTTTCAGTAGCGGGATGCTGCATCGGCTCTTCTTATTAGGAGGATCTCGCTAATCGCGCGCCTCCGGATCGACCTGCCCCGCCGCCGCCGCCGCCGCCGCCGCCGCCGCCGATCACCGGGCTCCGATGCTTCCTCCCAAGTTGCACAAGTCGCGGCATGGTTCGCGGCAAGTTCAGTGAACGTATTACGAGTCGCGGATGGATTCGAGCGTAACGGAATCGACGAACGACCTTCGCGAATGCGCAGGAAGTTTCGTATTACCGCGCTCGATCGGTTGCGCTGGACATCCACGAACATCGTCTCGCAGAAATCGCGATCGCGAGCGATCGCGTGCGACTTTACGAACAACGCATTTTATATTCGCTCGAGTCGCTTGAGTCGTTCCACGCGAGGCGCGCGAATCAGCATCGACTGTAACATTGACTCCTCGCTAGTATATCCGCCAAGCACGTCGCCACAGCCACGTGACGATGAGTAATATCGCGCGAAAGCGCAAAAGCGCAAAAGCGCGAAAGCGGCAATTACTGCCGCTTTTGCGGCAATTGTTAACGAGCGCATTCGCGGAATGCGATTTATGCGCCATGCGGTGCCAGTTGTGCGCCAGGATTACAGGCGCTTACGGAAGCGTTGCGAAGACTCTTCGACTTCTAGTCGACTTCTAGTCGACCGTAACACGCTCTGTTTGCGTGCAATGGGCTATATCCTCATCCCAGTTACTTGGAGTTTCTAGGACTAAGCGTTATCTTCCGAAAATATTCTATTCCGTGGCTGAATGCGTCACGCGATCACAATCCGTCGAGCACGAAAGCTCGAGCAGAAACGAACTCCTCGACATCGGCAAGTTCAGTCAAGATGAAAAAGCTGTGCTCCCCCCTATGTGGACAAGCGTGAGCTTCATTCGCGTGGAAGTTTCTTTCGCAATATTATATATTCGCGCATATAGTTATTTATTTCATTATTCATATATTCCATTTATCAGTCTGATACGAAAGAGATAGCGAGACACCGCATTTATGCACGCGCGCCCGCGTCCGCCGTTTAAAATAATTCTGGTATCGGTCCAACACTTGAAAAAAAAAATGAAATGATTTCAACAACTCCGAAAGTTGACTCGACTTCGACGAATTCAATTTCTATTTCTAAATCATTATGCTATTATTTCATGAATCGATCGTTGTCAGTGCGATCATTCATTGAGAGAAATCGGAAAGATCCGCGTGTAAGTAACGATTTTCCGCGCAGGCGTTCTGGCGTGTGCCTCAGCAGGAGGAACAGCAGGAGGAGAGTAGCCACTACAGCTATTCGACACAGAAAACCTTAGCTATGTAGCGGGACCGGCACGTGGAGGATTTACATATATATAAACGTGCGTATGCACGCGGCCGACGATCTATCGCGGCGAGCGACGATGGAGCGCGCGCGCGTCTCGGTTTAAAATTAAAATGAAAACTCGTCGAGGGACGAATAAGAAAAAGGACCAGAGCCGCGCGCGCGCGCACAACCTCCGCGAGACGATCTTGCTTGAGAATACGGGATTTGGTTTCGTCAGCTTCAAACAACAGGAAGCAAAGAGAGCTCTGGAATCTGATGGGTTTACCCCACCCACCTACCCTCCACCGTTTTACGTCAACTGTAACATACAATCCCAAGTATTTTTAGTACGCAAAAGCCATTACACGCTCGAGCCATTTGAGAATATTATCTCTGAATACGAGGCGCGAATCTTCAGAGTTCCGACTTGTAAGTTCCAAAATGTGATACCGAGTCTCTCAAATCCCCGAAAGATTAACCTACCATTGAAACATTTGCGAGTATGAGTGAAGAACTTTGTGCGAAATATTTTGACAGGTAAATAGGTTAATCGTCAGTTGTATTGAACATCGTGAGCAACCTGCATCGTGTCTAACCTGACACGCGATTTGTAATGTTTGAAAATAAGAATACCTCGTTATCTTCTCTTATTTAATCGTGCATGTTCTAATCGCTAATTGCTGACTAATTGAAACACCTCCCGCCTTATCGTTGAATTGTCGAATTTGCGTTGTGTGATAGATCGTGAAATTTGAAGAGATAATTACTATCTCGTCGCGAATCGAGAATCGAATCGTTCTTTACGTGCTGGTTGTTTCTCATTAGAAATTGTCGCGGCGCATAGCGGCAATTTTCGCAATTTTTATCCAAAACTCGAACTCTGCCTTGCCAAGACTCAAGTCTTTATCCGGTAAACAAATTCTCATTCTACTTCGCTAGATGGCAGAAGAAGCGCGCAGTCCGTTAGTCGCACAATTACACATTTTCAATAGTTGATATTTTATAAATTAAGCAACATATTCAGCAAAATATTCAAACATTCAGCCCGAATACAAATGTCTGAATGTAAATTAATTATACGTAATAGCGTATTTAAAGACAATCACTATACGTTAACTCGAAAATAATAAACTCGAAAAGGCTACCTCTTCTTGTCCTTCCTCCCTTTCTCTTGGCCACAAAAACAAATTCTAAAAGGCATAGAAACTACAGGGTGCAGATACAGATTTTCGTATTATCTTCCGTATAGCCACCGACGAGGTAATATAAAGACTGACAGCTGTGGATAAATTTTTGTATCAGCCAAGGGAACCCCAAAGGGCCCACAGGTAATCGAAGAGCGATGATAATACCGACTGCTTTAGCTACGCTCAAGATAATACAGCTAGCAACTATTGCCGATGCACGGCGAGGGGAAGATAACAAAAACGGTATGGGACTTTTATGTTTGTATTAACAGCTCTATGTCTCCACGAGCTTTGCAACAATTGTTAGGAGACACCCTGTATACAGAATATTGCAGAACAATTTTTACGACGACGACGACGAAGACGACGAAAACGACGTAAACGACGAAGACGACGAAGACGACGAAAACGACGAAGCGACGAAGACGACGACGAAGATGAGGAAGATGACGAGGACGACGGAAACGACGAAGATGAAAGACCAACAGTCTTTATAGTAGTATCTCGTCGGTGGTATAGCTCAAAACAGTCGGTATTGTCACCACTTTTGAATTATCTCCGGGCCCCTCGGAGCCCCTTTGCCAGTATCGCGATAATCTATAGTAATACATCATATGAGTTGTTGAAACAGATTCGTTGTTGGCAGTGAGTACTGGAACTCAGCGTTATTATCGCTGCAATGCGAATCGCCCTGTTAACTGTGACGAATCGTTTCGTGTTGAGAGGTAAAGTTAACGGGTTAGTTTGTCGTATTCGTGACAGGCATTTTTGCAGTGTTTGGTCATTGTAGCGAGACGATAAGTGCGTGACGATACAAAAGTTTGCAGTACAAATGGAGTGCTTGATTGGTATCCAGTGCAAAGATTTTGTGTTGGTTGCAGCGGATATGACAACCACACAGTCCATCATAGTTATGAAAAGCGGTAAGACATGCGGTTTGACATCATTTTTCAGTTTGTTAGCAATACGCCGACACTTCCCGCTTGTTAATGTTAACAATTAATATCTATATTGACCTACACAACAATATAGTATCCTCTAAATGCTATTAATATCGCATCATATACATTTCTCTGCTGCGATTGTGTGATTCGCATCATATTTCGCCAACAAACAGCATATAGATCTTAGAAATAGCATGCTCTGAATAAAAAAATATTTCAGATGAACACAAGATTCATAAGATCTCTGACAAACTTGTCATGGCGACATCTGGAGAATCGGGTGATACAACACAATTTTCTGAATACATTGGAAAGAATATTCAGCTTTATAAGATGAGAAACGGCTATGAGCTGTCTCCCAAAGCTGCTGCTTGCTTCACCAGAAGGAATCTGGCTGATTATCTCAGAAGCAGGACACCATACTTTGTGAATATGCTGATGGCTGGATATGATGATGATGCTGGGCCTGAATTGTATTTTATTGACTATTTAGCATCATGTGTGAAAGTTCCTTATGCGACTCATGGATATGGTGGGATGTTTTCCATGTCTGTCCTGGATAGATATTATAAACATGGTAATATTCATTTTTATATAAGAGGGAAAAAAATGTGAGAGGAGAAGAAATAACATTTCCAAAAGGTACAGAGATATTAATCAAGATAATTCAATTCATTACAGATTGTACTGAACAAGAGGCGTATGCATTACTGAAAAAATGTGTTCAGGAAATACATAAACGGTTGATTGTCAGTTTGCCAAATTTTAAAGTTCAAAAAGTATCCAAGGATGGAATAAAGGATATGCAACCAATCACAGCTGAAAATATTGCTATTGAAAATGCTGCTAAAGGATAAAATATCTATTTTACATCTTATCTACACGAATAGGGAAATTACTCTTCGGATATAGTAATAAAATGTTCAAATACAATACTTTTGCCACAATAAAGCAATTTTTCTTATTTAAATTTTCCAAACTGGACATTTCCAATTTCTATGTATTTTATGCGTGTAACTTTTTCATGTACATTAAATATACAGTTGTAACTTATCAGATTAGACTATACCTTAGCAAAAATATATCATAATTTAATTCTTTTTTTTTCAATTAATAGGACAGCTGAGATAAAAAAAGAATGTTTGCATTTTTACTCAAAGAAATTTTAATAGCATAATACTCTAACCCCCTTCTTCTCATCTCTTTATCTTCCGTCATTCTGTCAAATTTTTGCCTTAAGAACAGATGATCTGTGATTGTCAAGGTCTCGAGTTGTAAGTACTAAATTTTTTTATTTATCCAAGTTACAATTTTCTCCATATTCTGCTTGGTCAACTTAAAAAGAATGCAATTTCATATCTTATGTGTGTATGTGTATATACATACATACACACATGTATACACACACATACAGAGTGTCCCAGAATTTATGGAAAAATATGAAGAGGTGTCTTGCAGGCCAAAATAAGGAATATACATATACATATGGGCACCTTGTGTATGTGTGTGTGTGTGTGTGTGTGTGTACATATTGTGTCTGCAAATCAAATTTCGAAATATATATTGTACTGACTATAATTATAAATATATACACACCTTTCCAAAATTCCTTTCTTTCGCAAATAAATAAAGAAATCCATATTCGCTTTTATGTGTAGTACAATTGTAGACTTAATATATTCTATTATGACAATTTTAAATAGGGTATAATGTATATATATGTAATTCTTCTCCTCATACCAATTCATCCAACACATCATGTAGAAGAAAGAGAGAAAACCGCTTCTTCCTTCCCTTTTTTTTATATTAATAATTCATGATTATCACTCATACATGGTGGTAAAATCATCGAAAATGCTGGAATATCAGTAAAAACTTATGTACGTAACTATGGAACCTGAAATTTTTAAAATAGAAAACGCACACTGTGTAATGTACTGCAAAACTCAGGCGGATTTACATATATCGGCAGCGATCTGTCGTGTGTACACGATGTATATGAAATATAAATCAACAATTGGAAGTATCTTCGCATTCTACTCTACTCGCTCGCTATACGAAATAATGAAACTCGCTATTACCATTGCACGTAACGGATAACAATGTCTTTTTTTTTTTTTCATATCCTCAGTATACCCCTCTCTCTCTCTCTCTCTCTCTCACACACACACACACACACACATCTGTCCGTTAATACCACACATGAGTGATAAAAATTCCGTATTAATCTTGCATGCAAATGAATCGCCGCGCTCAATCATCACATTCTATATCTTTTTCTCGTAGAGTTTCGCCCCTTACAATCGGACTAAGGTCCAATCAACATTCGCGCAAACGCAAAACTACATGTAATATCGGTAACATCGGATTTACATCGCACACAGTTCCATTTTTAAACGGTAAAGCCGAAAGTATATCGAATTACCTCGCAGTTCACGTGCATGCAAAGGCATAAGTTATACGCTATTATATTTTACAACGCATGATTGTACGTCTTGAGCGTGAACCATGAACTATTTCCGTTTTCTTTGTCTTTTCCCGTAGGCGCGATGAATTCGGGAGATAATTACAGCACGATAATAATGTCGAGTTTCTCATCGTTTTATCTGTTAAATTAAAATTATTATTTATCTTTTTTCGCGTCTACTTGCGTCTGCTCCGCCTGTTGCGCCGCATTTGCTGGTTGCGACGGATGATCCTCGTATCTATAAACATCAGCAAACGTACATGTAGTTAATATGGATGAGAAAGAAATTTGATTTACAGCGAAAGTACTACAGCAAAAAAGTACTTACGAGAACAACGCCTTGAGGTCTCCTTTTACTAATGCTAACAACAACGGCGTACCTAAGCACGCCGGGACTAAATACAGTAGAGCGGGTTGTGCGTGATTAAATAGGTGCATGATCATTATGGTTATGAGCAATCCCATAAAGTATGCGAAAAATGTCGAATAGAAGTAGACATTTGTTTTCCTGCTCAGGCTATTATCGAATCGTAGCAGCAATGCGATAAAAATACCGGGCAGCACGATATCACCCAGCCCTAACATGGCAAAGTTACCAGCACTCAAGCCCTTCTCTAAAAGATCCTGTGGAAAGACGAGCTTGATGGGCACCTCGAAGGACTTTGCGACAGTCACCATCACATCTGTACCAAACACCCAGAAAGCGTCGTAGAAAAGAAGACCGCACAGCAAAATGCACCCAGTAACAACATTATTGAGATGTAACAGTTCAACTCCGTTAATCGCAAACGCGATACCAAATAAGTTGTTGGCTATCCAGTGCTGAGAACAGAAAGAAGAGAAATGGTAATAAGAGTGTCTGCAGAGTGCCGCAGGGCCATCTCTATAGACTCTTCGCGCAGTATCTAACGCCATTTAGTGTCGTTACAACAGTAGTCGTGACAATATCAAATGTGTTAAAATTGTTGTAACATGGTCATATTTAACTTGACCTGTGCTCACCTTCTTCAAGAGGTACCAAGCACCCACAAATGAGCAGCATATAAGACAAACAATGTCATGTAAATTGAACTTATAGTTGATTATACATTCCTCGTTCTCACTTGTGAATGAAATATGGTACTGTGTCTTTGGGATGGCAGCTGGCACCAATGACGAGATCAGTGGACTGAAACATTTCAACTTTTAAATATAACCGTAAAAATTTTGGCTTATTGCCAAAAGTCAAAAGATAGAATGAAATTTACCTTGTAAGATGACACAGAGCTAGAATGCCAAGAAAGAAGAAATATCCGGCCAATATCATGTTTACATATTCTTTTGCAAATACCTACGGAAAATCATCTCATAATGTCATATTCTCAGAATCAAATGTTTGGCACAAATCTTCAGTTACCTTATACAGTATATACAAGCCAACTAACGTAACGCTGGAGATGAAGGGAAACATAGCAGCCTCTCTGCAAGACATTATTTCGGGCTGCTCACCACTGGCTTTATACTGTTGCTACAAAATACAGATATCGGGCAACATTAATCGGTTAAAATCGGCAGAATCAACAGAAATCTTCGACGGAGCGCATAAACTCACGCAACCGTATCGCTGTACCGTTTATACAGCTGCGCCGTTTTATGCTTAATTGACAGTTTATCTGATCATCAATTTTAACAAGAGCCATCAAGAGATAATGCTTGTTGACGTTTGAGGGACCGCAACCGGCCGTTGCGGAATTGGACGAACAGTTGCGCGTTTCTCCGCAAAATGTTCACGTTACTGTCGTCGCAGTGGCAAAGACGAACGGCTTTTGCAGAAACGCGTATTCGATAACATATGTGAAGACGCATGACTAACCTGCTGCTCCTTATGATGTCTAACGGCGCGATAGCTGCCGAAAAAGATCGGCAGAATGGCCATAATAATGAGGCTACAGTACGCGATGGCCATCCCCTCGGGAGTCGAGGGATCTCTCGTGTTTGTCGCATTTTGGTACTCCGTAAGATTCTCGCTCGTCTGGGACGCGATCTCGTTCACCGTGCTTGCCATCTTGAATATGTTGACACGACAAATACGACGAGTGCGCGAGGTACACGACTCCGACCGTGATGAGAAAAATTACGTAGAAGTGAAATAGAGACGCGTACTGCCTGCTATGCCATCTGATAAAAAAAAGAATTGATACGAATATATCGAAAATTGTCACCAGATGGAGTCTAGACGTAGAACACGGCGCCATCTACGAAAATCCACCGTAGTCAGGATTAGAGTAACGATTTTATCCAAGACAGATGGCGATGTTGTACAAAAAGTCGAATCGATAATTATCCAAATACTAGTCCGAAAGAACACGTGTGTATCAAAAGAAGAAAGAGAGGAGAGCGAGAGAGAGAGAGAGAGAGAGAGAGAGAGAGATATGATGACGCTTAAGTATTTTATTATGCTCTGTTCTAAATTTTAACTTGTTATTATCATTACATACAATTTTATTGTTTTGACATTAGAAAGTAGGAAAACGAAAAGATCACTTGCATCTTACAAACTGCTTTAAGGCGCTTTCTTTTGCAACGCGACATTGCCATGTAAAGAGCGGCAATGATATATAACGACAAAGGATGGCATCACAAGCGAGCATCATTATTGCGCAACGTATCGCATCACATCATATCGATCATAATCTTATCGTTCTCATCTCGCAATTACATACGAAAGAAGAGAGCACCTAGCACTTTCGCGTTTTATCGTACAACGATGAATCTTATCATTTGCTCCTTTCGCAGGTAAAAAAGCTTCGAACAATTTCAAGTGTGTTTTACCTCGAATGCTGAAAATTGTTAAAAGTCACGGTTAACTCAAAACAAATCGTAGGCCGCGGCGTGAAAGCCTCGATTTCCGAACGAGACTGCCCGATTTCGTAGATGCGCGCACGTGCGCCGAGGTCGATGACCTCGAGAGAGTTATGCAGCGAGAAACGGACGGATGATAAAATGTTCAATGGTTTCTGGGTCGTCTCGAGGGAAAAAGATCGTAACACGTCGCGATTGCGTCTTATAGCGCGTCATTAGGCAACCACACACACACACACACACGCACGCACTGCCGTCGTCGTCGTCGTCGTCGTCGTCGTCGCCGTCGCCGTCGTCGTCGTCGTCCGTCGTCGTCGTCGTCGTCGTCGTCGTCGTCGTCGTCGTCGTCGTCGTCGTCGTCGTCGTCGTCGTCGTCGTCGTCGTCGTCGTCGTCGTCGTCGTCGTCGTCGTCGTCGTCGACGTTGCTGGTGCTGTTGCCGTTTCGTGCTTGTCGAAGATAGGCGTTGCGTCATTACGGATCGCCCATACATGCGTCGTTTGACCGATACACGTGTACTTGCACGGCCCTTTCAGCTCGCACTCTCACGAGCCCTTTCTACTTTTAGAAAGTTACTCCAAGTGGGACACGAGGAAAATATTACACGCGCTGTAGATTATATCACTGTCTAATGATGATAACAAAGAGAATGACACCAAATCTCTGTTCAATAGATGTATAGATGTTCACCGCACAGAAAAGCGAGCATCTATTTCACATGTTATGATATACGTATATACATATATATGTAGTATTTATAAATTATTATTTCATCGTCGAATCGATGATTCTCACCGAGCGCACAATCAAAGTCGTTTAACCGATTAATTGAAAAGATGCACGCGTCAGTAGTGTGTGCGCACTGTATAAAACATGAAATAACATTGTAATCTACGGAATTAGCCACAGCACATTACACAGTCTGTCCCAGATCCAATGAGACTGGTCTAAAAAAAATATAAAGCGTTTATTATTTTGATTTTTTATTCTTGTTTATTCAAAATAGTCTCCTTCTGAGTCAATAAAGCGCTGGAAACGTTCAACCAATTTTTCGAAACATTTTTTATACTCATCGGCTGGAATGGCCTTTAGTACGGCGGTCGAAGTCTTTTGGATGACCGGGATGGTATCGAAACGATTTCCTTTCATCGCCAATTTCAGTTTGGGAAATAGCCAGAAGTCGCACGGAGCCAAATCAGGTGAACACGGTGGATGATCGATAACAATGATACCTTTTTTGATCAAGAATTCACGTACCATGATGGCTTTGTGCGACGGTGCATTATCGTGCAACAAAAACCAACTGCCTGGCTCTCGATATTCCGGTCGAACTCGTCGAATTCTGGCCCACAATCGTTGTAGAACTCCCAGATAATATCTGGGCAGACACACAGCGGTCACTTCGAAGAATTTCTTTGACTTTCTCGATATTTTCTTCATTGCGAGTGGTTTTTGGCGGTGGTGCTCGGTCATCGTCTGCAAGGTCCTCACGACCGTCACGGAATCGGCCAAATCAACGGAAAACCTGTGCACGGGACATGCATTCATCCCCCCCGTACACATTTTTTAGCGTTTCGTACGTTTCACCACTTTTACCCAATTTAAAAGTTGGTTTTTCGACCGACGTACACAAAGTGACTTTACATAAAATGTCAAACCACAGTGAAATATCAACCGAATTCGCTCAAATTTTGAGGTTAAGTAGATGAAGGGTAGAACATTCACCTACCATCATTCACTCATAGATATGAGCTGCGCTAAGAACTTTGATGGAACCAGTCTCATCGTATCTGGGACAGACTGTGTAGCTGTGTCAAGACGCACGTGTACATTAGAGATTTCAACGGTTTCTTATATCCATTGTGAATAAATAAGGTCCGCGTAATATACCTATTGTCGTTTGTACATCGAACGATTATGAACGAAAGTTAAAAGTAAACATACAATTATGAAATGCTCAATCAATCTGTCGCATGGAGAGAATAGCTTACGTTAGTTGGAGCTTGCAACTCGAATTATATGATTTGTGTCTCTCTTTTTCTCTCTCTCTCTCTCTCCCTCTTCCCCTCCTCCTTAATTGCACATTTATGCTATTCTTAGTTGCATCTGACGAAACATGCTGTAATCTTTAATTTTCTTATACTTTTGCTCACGCTTGTACTACTCTTTTACTCGTCGTAGACGAGAAGCACGGTTTTATCGCTCTCGTTTTCGTTGATGTCACGAATACTCGGATGGACGTTTCCTTCAAGATTTCGGAGGCCTTTGCACTGCCCGTCATCGACATTCATCTTGTAGACACGACAAGTCAAGATAGTCATTTCAGTTTTCCACGTGACCGTTTTTCGAACGCTCTTCACCGACTTGACGCGTGATTCTGATATTATGCAATCACTAGGAGAAACCGAATGAACGAAGAAGAAGCGGAGAAAGCTAACCCTACGTCTAGCGAAGACGCGGCCTTGACGATTAATGCACCCAATACAGTGCAACCAATAGCACACATTATTACATGTGGTCGTTGATGGTCGTGAGGTCGACGACCTCTCGCAGAGACCCTTCTTTCCACTTTCTACATGCATCGGTGAATCAATCTCTTCGAATCTACCGCACGCTAATCTGTCCGGAGTATCAGTAAACTTAACCCTGAATTGGAGATTCATCTAGTCGCATCGCTTCGCGGAATTGCGAGAATGGTTACACACAGTTAGGAATTTTCATTCTATGTTCTTTCTCTCGCATTTGCGTCCACTAATCTATTAGCATCTATGCACAGTTTGTCACATCAACCAACGATATATTCGTAATGCTGATAAACTGTCTTTGTTTATTCTATCTGAGTACTGAGATTTGCTAATTATATGTGTATACAAGCAATTTTTGTTTTAAATTATATCGATCAAATTATCTCCCCATTGCGTCTCTTCTTCTCTCTCTCTCTCTCTCTCTCTCTCTCTCTCTCTCTCTCTCTCTCTTCCCCCCCCTCTTCATTCCTTCCTCCGCCTTTCTCTCTCGTGCGCGCGATTACTGAGAGCGATATCTCTACTTTCGGAACTAGTAACCATGATATTTTTTCCGAATAGCCTCGTATCGATATCGTGATGATGTCAACGAGGACAATGAGCAAAAGTCTCGAAAGCATTCCCCCGAAAATGTAAACAACCCCATCCAGAAATTATGTAATCGATGTCCTCGCTACACATCGACACGTCTACGTGGCACATTGTCGCAAAGTCATCATGAATGCGGTAGCCACAGGCGAGACTCCGAAACGCAAAAGAAATCCCAAAAAAGTCCATCGAGAGGGACGTGCCTGCGCACTCACACACACACTCTCTCTCTCTCTCTCTCTCTCTCTCTCTCTCTCTCTCTCTCTTGCTCGCTTGCTCGCTTGCCATTTCGGTTTCGGCATGATCGCGGACTCGTTTCTAAGGTCGCCGTCTCTCTCGCTTGCTGGCATAGCTTAAAACAAGTCGCGTTGAGATTGGTCAAGGTACGACGTCGCTTTAGACCCGCTCTTTCCTTTGGTCCTCTCTCCCATCCCCTTGCCCCACTCTCTCCTCAATCTCCTTCCCGTCCCGCCCTTCCGCGACATTGCCAGTTCTAGCCGGCTCAGCCCCTCTTCCTGCTATCCTTTCGTCGTTGTTACTACCGCCACCGCCACTACCACCATCACCGCCGCCGCCGCCGCCGCCGCCGTCGCTGCCGTCGCTGCCGCCGCCGCCGTCGCCACTGTCGCCACCGTCGTCGTCGCCGTCAACCGGTCTTCTTTCTCCTACTCCTCGTCATCATCCTCACCGTTCCCTCCCTCTGCTTCCTTTGCCAAAACGAGCGCCTAACTTCCTCGCTAAAGGCGACGCAACCCCTGTACGTTTCGGGATCGCTTACGGACGAAACGACGCACGTGTCCTCTTCAGGGACGGCATAGCGTTGAGTATACGAGGAGTCGAAAGTACGCAACACCGTGTAAGCGGTTACACATGCACACTCTGTATAACCTTTCTGGTTCTTAATTTTATTCTACATTTTTATTTCCCGATAATAAATATTATTACGTCGATAATAAATATTACCATATATATTTTTGGTACATTTCTCAGTGGGACATACCGTGATTTTCTACGCTACTTTTGTACGCACACTACTTGATGCATCTGCATTCATAACACAGATAAATTCAATTGAATAAATAAAACTTAACATCG